GAATTTGTTTCTTTTCTACCGAACGTTCGGTTCTTTAACTTAGCGAATTTCACAGTATTTTGCCGCGAATCTCGTGAGATTACCGGCGGCCATTTTCTGACTTCCTGTCTTCCTCCCTACCTTGTGTGTGCGTGTACCACTGGTCTGGGCCCTGGTGAGATCTCTCTTATACCTATTGCTCTCAGTTTTGGGTGACTAACCCATACTATTCTGATAATCTAATTATTAGGGATTAGGTCCTGTTTTATTCTCCATTATGCTTAAACCCAGACTACCTTCTGGATCCCCACCCTCTGGGGAGACTTATGCCCCATTTAATTTGGGTGATACCCCTGTCACCCCAGGCACTCCACCCACCCTGGTAGACAGAACCATCCACCCTAAAGAGGCACAATTCTTAGCGCTACAGCGCTCAGTGACAGACACCATTATGGCAGCCATGGGGTCCATGTCATCTACCCTCTCCCATACTATTTCCCAAGCCTTATTACCACGTCCTTCGGACGAGCATTTCTCGGGCTCTACGACGCCACTATCGTGTCCTGCTGTGGACCCACCGGGAGAGGCACCCAGAAAGCCTACCCATAAGTCCAAACATCCCTCTGCCTCCAGAAATTCTATGACTGGCATACCTACGGTCACCCTAGAAAGCGTGTCCCATCCACGCAAAAGAGCCTTTCCGTGCCAGAGCACAGTTAGAGAGCGACTCCGACTCAGATATCGGGTCAGGTGAGGAGGCTAAGATTGAGTCGGACAGTGACTCTGATGTGGATGACGCAGATGTGGGCTTTGACCTCCTTCCCTCTGCTCAGGCAGAGATGTCCGGAGGCGATACAGGGACTAGGCACCCCGCGGCTGCGGGGTCCTCCCTCATGGACCCGTTGGGTGTCCCACTCTTCGACCCGGATGACCTACACCATCCGAGGTCGGCAGAGTGGCTCCCGGCCGACCACATTGCCACGTACCTTGAGAATTGGGTACGGCGCCCTCTTAGCAAAGTGGCACGTAACAAACTGAGGGCGGAGTGTCCCAGGCCTGTGGTGCCTAATAAAGTATGTGACACTCCTGAGGTAGACCCCAAAATGATTCAGTTCCTCACTAAACTGGGCTGGAACCCCCGTAAAGTGCTAGCCTTGAAATCTTGCCAGGATAAACACCTGGACATTTTCATCCCCCTGGCCAAATTATATGACTTGGCGGAAGACGCCAGAGCGGGAAATCGCATGGTTGACCCTGAAGACCTACGTGGTTGGGTCCAGAGAGCAATTTGTATTGCCAGGAGTGTTAACACCTCCCTCTCTATAGAACGGTGTAAAGCCATCTTGTTTAAGATTGAACCAAAGCTGGCCAGTCTTGCCCTCACAGAGGCTGGTAAGGACGCCCAAGGCTTCTCTTCTGCGATTCCTTTATTAAGGACTTGGGGTGTTTCGTTGGGGCATTTACAGCCCTTGACAAGGCCCAAGCCTCCATGAGACTTGTATTCCAGGGGCGGGTCTCCACCAGGGCCGGCAGATTTAGGAGCCGTTTGTCCGGCCGTACCTACTTCCAATCCCGTGGCACGGGACGAGGCTCCTTCCAGCAACGTGATAACTACTAGGAGACTAATACCCGTCCCACTTTCTTCCCGTCATGCGGACGCCAGTGGTGATTCAGAGATTTCTGGGGCAACTCCAGTTCCAGATGATCTAACGGTGAGTTTCCTCATACCTTGTATTTCTTGTCATGTTTGTGTAGGGGGCAGACTCCAAAATTTTTTCCCAGCTTGGTCACTAATTACCCTTGGGTGCTGACCACTGTTCAAGGTTTCCAGATAGAACTAGTGGGGCACCTTGTACACATTCCCCCTCCTCGACCGGTCTGCTTCTCACTCCGGGATTGCAGATTGATCGACGAAGAACTCTCCACCCTCCTTGTCAAAGGGGCAATAGAACGGGCACCTCTCAACCCAGCAGGTGTCATAAGCAACATTTTCCTGGTGGAAAAGAAAGGCGGGCAAATGCGGCCCATCATAAACCTGCGCACCCTCAATGCCATGGTTCGGTACCGCCATTTCAAGATGGAGTGTATTCACCTGCTACAAGATCTTCTCCTACAAGGAGACTGGTTATCAAAACTAGATCTCAAAGACGCATACCTGACTGTACCGATTGCGGTGATGTCCCGAGACCTCCTGCGCTTCCACTGGCGGCACGAGATTTGGCGATTTACCTGCCTACCCTTTGGCCTCTCCTCAGCTTAGGAGCGCTCCACTCTCCTTACACACCTACGGTTGGCCATAAACCTCCTTTACCGCTTGGGATTCATTATCAACTGGGAAAAGTTATGCCTGACCCCTGCCACTCGCATGAAATTCCTAGGGTTCCTCGTGGACTCGGGGGAGGCGACGCTGAGTTTGCCGATGACCAAGATTCGATCCATCCAGAAAGAGCTTTGCAGAGCCCTCATCCGACCCCAGCTCACCTTGCACGGCTCATCGGCCTACTGGCCTCATCTATACAGGCAGTATTTCCGGGCCCGCTCCACTACCGAGGGCTGAAGCGCCTGAAAATAGCGCACCTAAGGGCCAGTGCATCCTACGCGGATCTGGTGTCCCTGGACAGAGAAAAGAGGGACGAATTACGATGGTGGATCCTCAGCCTGTCCACGTGGAACGGCAAAGCGATCTTCGGCTCGCTGCCAGAATTCACCATCGACTCCGATGCGAGCCTCCATGGCTGGGGGGCCCATTGCGAGGGAGTTTCGAAAGGAGGCCGCTGTTTGGAATCTGAATCCCGGCTACACATCAACGCGCTGGAGCTCCAGGCAGGCTCCTCCGCCATCCGCAGTTTCGCGAGGGACCGGGCCCTGGCATGCATCCGCCTCCGCATGGACAATGTCTCAGCAGTGAGATATGTCAACCACCTGAGGAAATCCCATATTCTCCTAGATGAAACACGTTGGATTTTCTTCTCCTTATGGACTTTTAATTTATGTTCTTTTATTTTGTATTTTATTGTTTACCTGTATTTGGCGGTTCCATAAACCTGTTCCTGGATTTTCTCCTGGATTTTTTTACCACGCTGTACAGGAGTTCCATGTTATAGGGAGACACGCTCTTCTCAATATTCCTATGTGTAAGTGCGACCAATAAATGTGATTTTGTATTTTTATAACAAACTTCACTATAGCTAATTTCCTTTATTTACATATATTCCATCAGATGATATTTCAAGTTCATATTCATCATACATCATATTACCCCTGAGAGGGTGAGAAGCCTGATTTCACGTTTGTTTGTGAGTGTACTCATTATCACATTTATCACACACTCCATTTAATACTGTATTACGCTATGTCAGCCTTTTGATTCTTTATACAGATTATATCCACGGATATTTACCTGATTTCAGGTTGTTTAACTTGTTTATAAATATTTTTACATATTCTGGGTGTTTTCCACTTTATGTTTTGGTTGTATATTGATTAGGTGTTTGTGAGGTACACCTGGGATCACTTCCAGTTATACGTTTTCCACTATATAAATTTCTAGTGTGTATACTTTTCTCTGTTTGTATAATCTCTTGACTGGGTTGGAATTTAAAGGGAAACTATGGTGCTAGGAATACAGAGTGGACTATAATGCACACACTTTAGGACAACCTAGGGTTGCCACCATGCCTATAAAAAAATACTGGCCACACTAATTTGCATAATTCATTATATATGCGTGACATTACAAGGAGTAATAAAAAAAATTACTAGAAAACTGCTTACAGTTTGTTTTGCTGTGTAGAGGGGATTGTACTGTAGCTTGGGTAGACTGGACAGAAGCTCCTGCTCTCCTGAAGGCTCACTCAATGGACTCAATGGCATTCTAGAATTGTGCACTCAATGCACGGACTGAAAGGTAAAGGAGAGAAGCAAGAGAAGGAGTTGCAACGCTTTCCACACTAGCAGAAAGTGACTGAGTATGTTCCGCCAGTGCCATGTGCAGCAATCAGCCGCAGAGGAGAGCCTGCAACAATCATACTAGTCCTGCCATCTGACCTCTACTGCGGACGACTGAAATCATCAATTGCAAGGGATCTATGGAGACAGTAAACATGTTACTGCACTCTGGTACCCCTGGTATCCTGAGTCTCAATATTGGAGAAGCACTTTTATTCTTCGCTGCAAAAAGAAACACATTGCTTTATTTTACTGATGATGCTTTAATTCGGTAAAATACAGAAGTAAAACATTTCTTTCTGACACTATCGCTTTAACATCACAGTTGCAGATTATTTACAGACAGGCAGCATACTGTTAAGTTGCATTAATGTACACAGACACGCTACACAAATATGCTATACTCCTGCATTCATGCATAAAGGCACAACACAAAAAAAATAAATGATGCACGCAAACACATCACACACACAGGGCTGCCATCAGAAATTTTAGGGCCCCTGACACAGCTCAAGATCTGGGCCCCCGGGGCCAGCCCCGAGTCCGCCCACAAGGATGAAGTGTGTATGTGTGTATAGTGGATGTAGAATGTGTGTCATGGATGCAGTGTGTATAGTGGATGTAAAATGTGTGTAGTGGATGTGGTATGTGTGTCATGGATGAAGTATGTAAAGTGGATGCAGATTGTACATTTTGTGTAATGTATGCAATGTTTGTATGCATGCATTAGATGCAGAGTGTGTGTGTAGTGAATGTAGGTGTGTATAGTGAATGCAAAGTGTGTTTTTGTAGTGAATGTATTGTGTGTACAGTGAATGCAGAGTGTGTTTTTTGTAGTGGATGTAGTGTTTGTACAGTGAATGCAGAGTGTGTGTTTTCTGTAGTGGATGTAGTGTGTATAGTGCATGTAGTGTGTTTATAGTGAGTGCAAAGTGTTTATAGTGCATGTAGTGTGATTGTGGTGAATGCAAAATGTGTATAGTGAATGTAGTGTGTTTGCAGCGAGTGCAAAGTATGTATAGTGATTGTAGTTAGTACAAAGTGTGTATAGTTCATGTACTGTGATTGTAGTGAATGCAAAATGTGTATAGTGAATGTAGTGTGATTCTGGTGAATGCAGAGCGTGTGTATAGTAAATGCAGTGTTTGTAGTGCAAAGTGTGTTTAGTAAATGTAGTGAGTGCAACATGTGTATAGTGAATGTAGTCTGGGTGTGTGTGTGTATAGGGCAAAGTGTGTTTAGTGAATGTAGTGTGTGTGTGTGTGTAGTGCAGAGTGTGTTTAGTAAATGTAGTGTGTTTGTAGTGAGTGCAGAGTGTTTTTAGTGAATGTAGTGTGTGTGTGTGTGTAGTGCAGAGTGTGTTTAGTGAATGTAGTGTGTGTGTAATGCAGAGTGTGTTTAGTGAATGCAGTGTGTGTGTGTGTAATGCAGAGTGTGTTTAGTGAATGGAGTGCGTGTGTGTAATGCAGATTGTGTTTAGTGAATGTAGTGCGTGTGTGTAATGCAGATTGTGTTTAGTGAGTGTAGTGTGTGTAATGCAGAGTGTGTTTAGTGAATGTAGTGTGAGTGTGTGTAATGCAGTGTGTTTAGTGAATGTAGTGTGTGTAATGCAGTGTGTGTTTAGTGAATGTAGTGTGTATGTGTGTGTGTAATGCAGAGTGTGTTTAATGAATGTAGTGTGTGTAATGCAGATTGTGTTTAGTGAATGTAGTGTGTGTGTGTGATGCAGAGTGTGTTTAGTGAATGTAGTGTGTGTAATGCAGAGTGTGTTTAGTGAATGTAGTGTGTGTGTGTGTGTAATGCAAAGTGTGTTTAGTGAATGTAGTGTGTGTAATGCAGAGTGTGTTTAGTGAATGTAGTGTGAGTGTGTGTAATGCAGTGTTTAGTGAATGTAGTGTGTGTAATGCAGTGTGTTTAGTGAATGTAGTGTGTGTGTAATGCAGAGTGTGTTTAGTGAATGTAGTGTGTGTGTGTGTGTGTGTGTAATGCAGAGTGTTTTTAGTGAATGTAGTGTATGTAATTCAGTGTGTTTAGTGAATGTAGTGTGTGTAATGCAGTGTGTTTAGTGAATGTAGTGTGTGTGTGTGTGTGTGTAATGCAGAGTGTGTTTAGTGAATGTAGTGTGTGTGTGTAATGCAGAGTGTGCTTAGTGAATGTAGTATGTGTGTGTAATGCAGAGTGTGTGCTTGTAAGGATGCAGTGTGTGTTTGTAAAATAGGGGGGAGAGGAGTATTTTTAAAAAAAAATGTTGGTGTGTATTTAAATTGTATTCCCCCCTCCCTGCTTCTTACCTTGCCAGGAAGGGAGGAGATCACATTCCCTGGTGGCATGGTGGAGGGAGCCAGCAGTGGCACATTGCAGAGGGGGGGGTCAGCAGCACACCCTGTCTCCCTTTCCAGCTCCTCTCTGACGAACCCTCGCGAGACATGCATGTTGTGCGGAGCGTTGCCATGGTAACCTGTGGCAACGCTCTGGCGGCCACATGGCACTAGAAAGTTACAGAGAGCAGCCTGGAAAGGGAAGACAGAGTGTGCTGCTGGGCCCCCCTCTGTAATTTGCTATATATATGTGCACATAAGGAATGTGGGGCTCGGACTTCCAGAGTAGTCTGGGGCCCCCAGGACCGCCGGGCCCATGACAACCGTTATGGTTGTCATGCCCTGATGGCGGCCCTGCACACACATATATTATATACCAGTGAAATCAAGCATACAGACACATCACAAAAATAAACTCCTGCATTCATGGACAAATACATACCACACAAATATACCCCTGCATTCCTATACATACAATACACCTTAAAGGATCACTACAGTGTCAGGAAAACAAAGCGGTTTTCCTGAGACTATAGTGACCTGAGCGTGGGGGCACCCTTTAATATTCACACATACTGGAGTATAATACACTTCTGCATTCATGCACAGTGACACACAATAGACTTCCATTCAATTTCACACACTACACTCTGTGCTGAGATCATGAATTGAATTAAAAATAATAATACTAATTGAAAAACATAAAATCTCTATATGTATTTAGTATCGTGCTCTTTAAATCACTGCTATTAGCTTTCATTTCAAACACTGGACATAATAAATGAATTATCCTATGTAAAAAAAAAAAACACACACATTTAAATTAATGCCTTCTGTTCACACTGACCTTTAACTTCATTCTCACTCCCTACATTGTTTCACAAAGTCCATTTTATTTCCAGAATCTCTTCCCTTTTCAGCCCCACTCACTTTCCTCTCTGACCCAGCCTGTTCTAGTTCCTTACCTTCTCAGACCCCCTTCTTTCCCTGTTATAGCTCAATCTGTCTCCTTCTCACTCTCCATGTGCAACTTCCCTCCTTTCCCTAGTCTCTGTCTGCATGTCTGACATCAGGAAAGGGGGAGCCAGACAGTCAGGAAGGAGGAGCCAGACCGTCAGGGAAGGGGGAGCCAGACCCTCAGGGAAGGAGGAGCCAGACCGTCAGGGAAGGGGGAGCCAGACAGTCAGGGAAGGAGGAGCCAGACAGTCAGGGAAGGGGGAGCCAGACACTCAGGGAAGGAGGAGCCAGACAATCAGGGAAGAAGGAGCCAGACACTCAGGGAAGAAGGAGCCAGACAGTCAGGGAAGGGGGAGCCAGACAGTCAGGGAAGAAGGAGCCAGGCGGTACACCAGCTCAATATACGGCAGGAGGATTCTTGTGACAGAGACCCCTCCCCCCTTGCTCAGGATCTACTGCATATTGTGAGACAGAACATACATTGAAAGTAAACAAACACAGGTACCGACCTGGCAAGGACCTATAAGTTCAGGGTACACGTCACTTGCTGCTTTCCCACTCGACCCACATCTGAAAATAAATACCGGTCTTTGCATTGCCGTATTCCTGCAATAACAGCACCAGCCACACAGCCGGTGTGCCAGTAAAATACCGCTCAGGTGGCAACGCTAGGAAAGCATTGAATCCATGCTTTCCTATGGGGGTTTAGCTGACGCTAGATTTCCTGCAAAGCGTGAGGACGTCCAATGTCGGTGAAGCGATAGACAGGTAGACAGCCACTAGAGGTGGAGTTAACTCCGCAATGTAGTTATTACAGTTTACCAATCACTGCGATAATTGCAGCGCGGGGTTAAACTGACAGGGACACTGCACACGAACCAATTCAATGAGCGGAGTGGTCTGGGTGCCCATAGTGACATTTGAAGCCGGCCAATATGAGTAATATAAACATTCTATCCTGATGGAATACTAATTATGTGTTGCGGGGGGAGGGATGACACTGGCTTTGCTTTAACTATAAACACAGGGGAATGTTTCCAGTTCGGTTACCCTGGCCTTGAGTTTGAATTCTCTATGGGTGAATACCCCTTTTGGAGCAGTGACTCCTGGCAGTGTTGCCTAGCGACTGTCAGTTCCAGTACCTGCCTGTTACCATAGAAACCAACTCGTTTCCTCCCCCCCCCCCATGTTGACGTAAGAGCGTGACGTCAGCAAAGGGCGCCCTCCCCGCATCCCACTGGGCCTATAGCGACCTCGGGAATAGCTCTGAGGGTGGCAGCCAATAGGCGTGCAGAGGGGGTGTGGCCTTCCGTGTCGTAACCAATCAGTGCATAGTGGGTCAGACCGGAAGAAGTTTGCCTTCTCCTACACGTGGGTCTGGTGTGACCGGGGCAGGGAGAGCTATCATGTCTGGCCTGTTTATTAAGAAGGGATCGGAAGGTCCCGCGCGGAGGCGGCGGGCGGAGGTCAGTGAGGCTGGGTGCTCCTGCTGCCTGTATTTGTTATTAGAGCGATATGGGGGCTCCGTGTCTGCGTCCCCCACACTCATGGTTTAGATCCTGTGGACCACGTTGGAAATTATGTTCAGCCATACAAATGGATGGCAGAGGATGATGGGTAATGTAGTCCACAGTATCTGGAGAGAGTTCCTCCTTTTATCAGTGTGAATAGAATTCTGCAGTGTTTTAAGGGCAACTACAAAGTTTGTCATTTCTTTAGCTTGGCAAAGCTTCATGGAAGTTTTAACCCTGCATGAAATGGATGTTTACCTTGGGACCCCCTTTGTGTTAAGAGTTTATTTCCATTAAATGTTGCATTGCTTGCAAACCTTCACTATATTTTGCTGGTGAGTCCTTTCTCACAGACATGCTTTCCCAAGAGTGCATGTCATATGTAAATAAAGGATACTCTAAGCCTCGATCACTGTAGCTTACTGAAGGGTTTATGGTGAGTGCTCTGGCACATTACCAATGCAAGTGGTCCAACCTTTTTAAGACCAGCTTGACAACTTATATTGGGTCTATCAGTTGCTTATTCAAGCAGTAGCTCCTACGCGGAGTTAAATGAACACTATAGGCACCCAGACAACTTCAGCTTAATGAAGTGGTCTGGATACCTGGTCCAGCTAGGGTTAACCCTTTTTTTTTAATTTTTTTATTAACATAGCAGTTTCAGAGAAACTGCTGTGTTTATAAATAGGTTAATCCAGCCTCTAGTGGCTGTCTCATTGACAGCCGCTCGAGGCGTTTGCGTGCTTCTCACTGTGAAAATCACAGTGAGAAGATGCAAGCGTCCATAGGAAAACATTATGAATGCTTTCCTATGAGACTGGCTGAATGCATGCGCAGCTCCGGCCGTGCATGCACATTCAGCCAAAGAGGAGGAGGAGAGCTCCCTGCCTGCAGCTGGAGGAAGGTAAGATTTTAACCCCTTCCTCTCCCCAGAGCCTGGTGGGAGGGGGTCCCTGAGGGTGGGGGCACCCTCAGGGCACTATAGTTTTCCTGGCACTATAGTGGTCCTTTAAGCCTGATTGGGTGCTTGGAGTTTTCATTTAATGCAAAGTAGTTAACAGTGTCTTAAGGCATTGGTGGTTAAAGTGTTAATTCACACACAATGACCACTACAGCCTGCAACAGTTGCTTGGGTTTACCTGGGTGTCTAGCCTGCTCTGAAGCAGTGTTCGCGACACATAGAAACATAGAATGTGACGGCAGATAAGAACCATTCGGCCCATCTAGTCTGCTCAATTTTCTAAATACTTTCATTAGTCCCTGGCTTTATCTTATAGTTAGGATAGCCTTATGCCTATCCCATGCATGCTTAAACTCCTTTACTGTGTTAACATCTACCACTTCAACTGGAAGGCTATTCCATGCATCCACTACCCTCTCAGTAAAGTTATACTTCCTGATATTATTTTTAAACCTTTTTCCCTCTAATTTAAGACTATGTCCTATTGTTGTGGTAATTTTTCTTATTTTAAATATAGTCTCCTCCTTTACTGTGTTGATTCCCTTTATGTATTTAAATGTTTCTATCATATCCCCCCTGTCTCGTCTTTCCTCCAAGCTATACATGTTAAGATCCTTTAACCTTTCCTGGTAAGTTTTATCCCGCATGAACCAGTTTAGTAGCCCTTCTCTGAACTCTCTCTAAGGTATCAATATCCTTCTGAAGATGAGGTCTCCAGTACTGTGTACAATACTCCAAGTGAGGTCTCACCAGTGTTCTGTACAATGGCATGAGCACTTCCCTCTTTTTACTGCTAATACCTCTCCCGATACAACCAAGCATTCTGCTAGCATTTTCTGCTGCTCTATTATATTGTCTGCCTACCTTTTATGTCATCTGAAATAATCACCCCTAAATCCCTTTCCTCAGATGTTGAGGTTAGGACTCTAACAAATATTCTGTACTATGCCCTTGGGTTTTTACGTCCAATATGCATTATCTTGCACTTATCCCACATTAAATGTCAGTTGCCACAATTCTAACCATTTTTCTAGTTTACCTAAATCATTTGGCTTATCCCTCCTGGAACATCAACCCTGTTACATATCTTAGTATCATCATCAAAAAGACATACCTTACCATCAAGACCTTCTGCAATATCACTAATAAAAATATTAAAGAGAATGGGTCCAAGTACAGATCCCTGAGGTACCCCACTGGTGACAAGTCCAAGCTTCGAATATATTCCATTGACTACAACCCTCTGTTGCCTGTCACTCAGCCACTGCCTTACCCATTCAACAATATTGGAATCCAAACTTAAAGATTGCAGTTTATTGATCAGCCTTCTATGTGCAACAGTGTCAAAACAGTGACAACTGGCTCCTGCAGAGCTGCTGAAGCCTGCTGCCATTTCTGGCACTCATTCATTCATCCATCAGTGTCGGCTGATCGCTTTCTGCCAATAAATTACATTTTGTGAATAGACATATGCACAGAATTGACATTAGCTGGCCTCGGATATCCTGTTCTGGGCTGGCTGCTGTCACCACAATGACTCTGCCGAAAGTGGAATTAACACCTCTTTGTAACTGTGCAGTGATTCATAGCAAAACATGGCACCTACTGACTCAAGGCACCATGAACACTTCAAATCACTGAATTGGTCATTTTGCCTGGAGTAACTCTTTAAAGCAATTCCATTGTAGCACATAGGAAACCCACACATTAGCCCAACAATCCATTAACCGGGGAAAGGTTACTATAAATGATTTTGAGTCCCTTGTGATGATGTCCATAACCTAAATAACATCCTAGTATTTAATGCAGTGGCCTAAATTTTATGTCATTCCTGGTCGATTTCTAAACATTCCCTGAATAACCCCGAAGGTGCATGCATTGCTTGTGTGATATGTGTCCAGTCATAGCTATTGGAAAGATCAAAGGTGAATTCTCTGACTTGTATAGTGTCTCAGAATATATTTATGCTCTCTAATTAGTTTGTACGGTATTTGGTCTAGTTTATCACATAAACAGAGAAAGTTGGTTCACTTTGTGGGTAGGTGAATGTTTTTCCAAGGAGTCTGAAGATCAGTATGTCAATACGGAAGGCTTTATGTGCATGCTGACCGTGCATTCTCCCCTCAGGCTGGAAATGTAGAAGTCACATCATTAAAGAAAAAGCAAAGAAAAGGTGCAAGCCTAAGGGAGGAGATTGAGAGTGACTCGGATACAGAGATGTAAGTGTCCTACAACTTTTGCTGACATAGAATTTATGAATAGTGCATCTAACTTGCAAAAGTGGAGCAATCGTCATGGAAACCAATATTATATTCCTTGTGTTTGCACTGCTCTAAGGTAAACTAAATCCCCATTTCAGCTTTTGTTAATGCACTTCCTCACCATACAGTGTGCCTGTTCGACAAAAGCCCCAGGAGGATGAGGAAGACATAGAGGAGACAGCTCAGGAAAAAAAGCTGCGGCTTGCCAAAGAATATCTGAAGCAGTTGCAAGAGCAAGGTGAGACATGGACAATCTCATGGCTTTGCTGGGATTCAGCACCTTGTGTGCACAGGTGGAAGTTTGTGTTTGATTTTTTTATTTATTTTTTCTTCCCTTTCAGAGGAGGAGAGACAAGAGGATGAGAACCAAGATCTCATTGGTAGCAGACTACAGGAGGACGTGGTAAGCTTTCCATATGATTGCAGGTCAATGATGCTAGTAAATGAACTAGATAGGTGTGTTTGTATTTCTTTTTGCTTTGTTTTGATTTTGTTTATGAATTTTATTAACTTATTATCTTTCTGTAGTTGGAGCAACGTGGAAAACTTCAACGACCTTTGGCAAAAGAGGTAATCCTATACTGAAATTAAAGGGGTTTTTTTAATACTCCCCTTAACCCTCTCATCTAAACTGTCTTTTCACCACTGATGTTGCTCTTCTTTGAAAGTTAGTTTTTCTCTCCCTGCTTCCTTTTCTCTGATTTCTATGTCTGTTTTCAGTTCCGTTAGTTTTTAAGATTCTCAATAAAAAATGTTATTGTTTTTCAGTTGGTTCCCCCTGAGCCTTCGGAGATTCGACTACTTCGTGGTCACCAAGGACCAATCACCTGCCTTGTAATAACTCCTGACGATCAACATGTATTCTCTGGATCTAAAGACTGTTCCATCATCAAATGTGAGCACTGGGAATGCTAGAACAAGTTATGACTATGTAACTATGGATGGTTTTCTGGGATGATCATATTGTCATTCTGCCTTTAAATATGAATGTCAGTCTTCTGGGGAGAGTTCTAAAAGTGTAGCAGTGAACGGTATATTTGTTTCAGTGGTAACTGTTTGTTTGTTTTTGAAATCCTACAATTGCTCTTTACACATAGTTCCCTATGCACCTGCATGTTTTGTAAACTACTCTTTTGTGTGTATCCTCTGGCAGGGTCTACATGTGATGGGAAGAAGGTACATAAGATCCCAGGCGGAAGAAAGGGAAGTGAAGACAAGCATGTTGGCCACACTGGACATATTCTATGTATGGCAGTATCCTCTGATGGAAAATACCTGGTAAGGCAGTCGGCTGGTTGATAAGTAACCATGCTCTGCATTTGGAGTTATTTTAATGGTCAATCTCTTTCGTCTATACAGGCATCTGGTGATCGAAACAAGCTGATCTTTATTTGGAATGCTGAGACATGTCAGAATCTTCATAAATTCCAAGGACATCGAGATGCAGTGTCTGTACGTGAATTTCCTCCACTATCTAAACCAGGCGTGTCATTTGCTGTAAAGGACTTAATCTTACAATAATGTACATATGGATGGGCTTCATTTAACTCAAGAAAACAAAAACGACAAAATACATGCACAGATTACACAAATATATAATTTTCAGTTCCCAAGTGCCACTTTAATTCTTCTGGTCTGTGCCAACCTAACACTGCTGGTGAACATACAAATAAATAGGATTTTGATTATATAGAAGTGACCCCTCCCAAGTAGAAACAATCAAAAGGTAATACAACCTCGATATGAGAACAGAAATAGTAGTAGCCTGGAATATCTAAAGGCTTAACTTGGTGTGATAAAGGAACACCAAAATAGACACAAAATATAATTAGGAGAAATCACATCACAAGAGTGTAAATAATGTCACTTATCATCCTTAAATGGGGCATCTGGAATAAATATTCTCCAACATGATGTATATCTTCCCAAACTTCACATGAAGCAAAAATAGTGCAGATTGCAGGTATAAAACAAGGATTTATTAAAATTGCACTCACAAGATAAATGGTGCATTAGGCATGTCTCCACTCCCAGTGGATTTGGATACAGCTCCTGGTGTCTGAGTCAGCTCAATGAGAAGTCTATGCAAGACAGGTTCCCTGAGCATTTGCGGTCTCTTGAGTTTAGCTCCACTGAGCTAATCAATCCAGGCCGTAACATGACCTGTTGCCTACTTGAAAGCCATGCGGTGTAACCAGGTTCATTTATAATTGAGTAAATTTTCATTGAAATATGATTTTTTTTTTTTTGTAAAAGGAAAAAATGACACCCTCTTCACTCACAGCTTTTTAGCAAGCTAAACTGATTAGGCTGATAGTGTCCCTTTAAGTAGGTAATGATGGGAGTCTGTGCAGTGCCGCTCTAATTCAAAAAGTAGCATATGGAATTCGTTCTGAAGGATAGACCAGAGAAGATGTGGGGAGCAGGGTAAAAACTGTTTGACTATGTTGTGGAGAGACATTAAGGATGTTGGCAATGGTAAAGTAGATCCGATTTCAGAGGGAGGTTGGCTGTATCTGGAGTGGGGTATTGACCATAGTAGAGAGCACAGGAGACAATAGGTGAATGAATGTAGGAACACAAAGTAAATAACTTTTTAATATGCATCTTGCACAATGAGTTGACCTCCGTTTCCTTTTTTTTTATACGAACAGTTAACCACTCTAGTAAGATGAGAGAGAAAACTGTACCGCATGCTTAAAAAAAACGCCAACTTGAGTGATGGTCCTCACAACCCTGATCTAAAATAATGAATTTTTTTTTATTGGCTTCATATTTTCATCTTCTTTTTACACTCTTGCAGGGTTTATCCTTCCAGAAGGGCAAACATCAGTTGTTCAGTGCATCACACGATCGCTCTGTTAAGGTGTGGAATGTTGCTGAAAATTCCTACATCGAGACGCTGTGAGTATATTGCTGTGGGTTAGTTCAGAAAATCAGAATGTGTATTGATATAGTAAAGGGTTATTCCAAGCATCATAACCACTACAGCCTGGTTATGCCCTCTTACCTGGATCCTGGTCTTCTCTCTAGCCGGTGACTACACACAGCTTCTATAGAAGCCGGAAGTCAATCTTGCTAGCCATTCATTTTCCAAGGATGCAGTTCAGTTGATTGTGAAGAGCCTAAGAGAAAGCATACATGTTTTCAGGACACTATATTTCTCAATGTCCGTGCCCTTTAATTGAGAAAGGACTCTGTCCTGAAATGTCTTTTCTTTTATGCTCTTTGCAATAAAGTATTTGCAGATAGGGGGGCCAGCATTCAACAATCTGTTTGGTTTTGCTGTGTTTAGTGGCTGCCACTGGTAAGAACCAGTGATGGCTTATACATTGTATGGCATGGGTGTTCAACCTTTTAGTTTCCCTGGGCTGCATTGAGCGAAGAGGAATTGTCTTGGGCCACACATCAAGCAGGCAACATTCGGCACTCCAGATGTTGTGAACTACATCTCCCTTGATGCTGGAGTGTCGATGGTTGTCTACCTCGATATAGATAATGCATATAAGGAATATATCTGTAAAAGCCCTTTTCTTAATTTTAATATTTTAATTTAGTAAATAACTCCATTATTTGTTATCCTTAGGTGGGATTTGCATATTTAAGGATATCAAATTATCTATTAAACACATGCACATGTATATACATATGCGCACATAATCAGACACACACACAATCACAGACCCTATATACACCATAACATACATACATACACCCACACTCCCAGACCTATATACACAATCACACACACACACAATCAGACCAACACACACACATAGGTCATGTCAAACTAACCTAATTGCATTCTACGAAGAAGTAAGTTGAAGTATAGATCAGGGTGTTGCAGTGGATGTGATCTACTTGGATTTTGCCAAGGCATTTGATACAGTTCCTCACAACAGGTTAGTCTTCAAACTAAAAGAAATTGGTCTAGATGAATATTCTTGTTCTTGGGTAGAACACTGGCTTAAGGCTAGAGTACAACGAGTTGTCATTAATGGTACATTTTTAGTCCGGATGTAAGTGGTGTCCCTCAGGGTTCTGTTTTGGGACTGCTTCTATTTAACGTATTTATAAATGATCTTGAAATGGGCATTGAAAGCCATGTTTCGGTGTTTGCAGATGACACAAATCTTTGTAAAGTAATAAAATGTGAGCAGGATATTGCTTTGCTGCAGAGGGATTTGGATAGATTGGGGGACTGGGCACTTAAATGGCAGATAAAATTTAATGCAGAGAAATGCAAAGTTATGCACTTCGGGGTCAAGAATGCACAAGCAACTTACATCCTAAATGGTAGTGAATTAGGGATAACCACACACGAGAAGCATTTGGGAATTGCTATAGACAACAAATTAAGCAGCAATATGCAATGTCGATCTGCAGTTGCTAAGGCCAGTAAGGTTTTGTCATGTATAAATAGGGGCATATTTTCTCGGGATGAAAATATAATTTTGCCTTTTTTTATAAATCGCTGGTAAGACCGGACCTTGAATATGCTGTGCAATTTTGGGCACCTGTTCTAAAGAAAGATATCATGGCACTAGAAAAAGTACAAAGATGAGCTACAAATTTGATAAAAGGAATAGAGCATTTTAGTTACGAAGAAAAGTTAAAAAATTTAAATCTCTTTAGTTTGGAAAAACAGCGCTTCAGAGGAGAGAGAACATTATGTAACCCGCATGTGGTTCCCTTATTTACCACTATAATGTCTTACAGCATAGAACTTAGTAGGGCTAACCATACAGATATCTTAGCCATAATTTTATATATTTAGTAAGAGATCCTCTATTTACCATTTATAAATAATTGAGAATACAATATAAAATAAGGATTGTCTTGGAAGCAATAGTTTTGTCTTTTTGGATATTTATTATATAAAAATATAAAATCCATTATAGCAGAGTTTATAAGATTAAATTACATGCTTGCAAATATCATTAATAGGTTAACATACCCTTCTGAAGATGTCATCATGTCAGCCTCTCTGTCATTTTAAGATGGAGCAGCGTCTGTCTCCAAGTCTCTCCTCTGTGTCTTAACATTTAAAAGTACACCTATTTATACCTTAGGTGTCTCCATTTTCGGGTTACCGTAGTTCATATGTGAAAAAGTAACACTTCTTTTACTTTATTCATTTTAGGACCTCCCTTAATTTGGCAAACATACAAGGCCATAACTAAAGGGTGCAAACGTCATGGAAATTTTCCTGACTTAGTTCAAGATGGCATCTTAAAGTCTGAATAGGTTATCTGTTGTTTATACTAAGTCGCAAGTGTACAGTCGTGGGAGATTCCCGGATTTGGGGAAGTTCCATTAACTTGGGGTTACCACAGTATATTGTGTACTGAAAGAGTCGTAGCATAGCCTTGAAGCTTGTTTATGCATTATTGTTATTGTAATTCGTCTGGGACAAAATGGCGCAAACATATTATGCACTGAGGTTATTGCTTAAAGAAACCTCTATGAAAAACAATATGTTCCATTTCTAACACCTTGTCAGTTTGCAATATCTCTTAAAGACAAAGTACACAGTTTAAGAAATACAACATTTCATTCTAAAACTTGTAATATTTACATTTGCCCATAACAATTATACAAATATATTCGTGGCCAGTACAAACCATTATCTGGAAATCTATTCATAAACAGGGCTATACATAGGACACGAAGTCAGGCATTTAGGCTGGAAGAAAGGAGATTTCATTTTTTTTTTTTTTTTTTTTTACAATAACTATAATACAATAACTATAATGATATGGAATTCTCTGCCTGAATAGGTGGTTTTATCATAGTCCATACAGATGTTTAAACAGCAATTGGATAAATACTTCCAAAAACATAACATACAGGGATATAATTTCTAATTAGTGAGGTAATAGCTGCTTGATCCAAGGAGATATCTGACTGACATTTTGGGGTCAAGAAGGATTTTTTTCTTAGTTTGTTGCAAAATTGGAAGCGCTTCAGACTGGGTTTTTTGCCTTCTTTTGGATCAACAGCAACACATGTGAGGAAGGCTGAACTTGATGGACGCAAGTCTCTTTTCAGCTATATAACTATGTAACAATCTCATATCTATACATACATTCACACACCTATACAAACATAATCCCAGATCCACGCACATAATCAGATATGCACAAACATAATCCCAGACACATTCCACATATCCCGTCCCCACACACACACAGCCAATCACTGACAAAACATACACAAAAATTACATGCTCACACACTTGGTACTAAAGTGGTCCACCCAGCCTCCCTAACTAGCTCCTGGAGGGCTGGGATGGATCCTTTGTCCCTAGTGGCCAGTGACTGCTGCTTGACTGGAGCCTGGGACCTCTGTGCTCTTTTTGCACAGGTCCCTCGCGTGCCTAGCAGTGATGCTGGGATGATGTCATATCCCAGTAGCTGGCTCACTGCCGTGCCACAAGGAGCTGTGCAGGTAGAGCACAGAATGTAATGGACCCTCTGCCCGGCAGCATGGGTGGCAACCAAGCCACACTGCTAGCACTCCCGGGCCACATTGGGGCACTTGGGCCTCGGGTTGGACACCCATGCTGTATGACATGTTAAAAAAAAAAAAAAGAGTAGAACTAACACTTATCTACTTTTACCAAGTTTTTGCATGTCATGTAATAAACAAACCTGGCTCTGTAAAACTTGGTATGACTGTAGCTTTCGAGATCTACGTTTTGACAATTGCTAACCTTTCTTCAGTAGCGTGAATGTGTGCATTTATGCAGTGTGTTGCAATGTAGTTATTAAATCTACCATAAGTGAATTTTATAAATGTAGGTATAGCAACTCCTGCTGCTTCGCAAATCAATGTGATACTTAAACTTTCTATCTGTCCAGCTTTGGTCATCAGGATTCCATCACAGGGCTGGACAGCTTGAGCCGAGAGCGATGCGTGACCTCAGGAGGAAGAGATGGAACCGTTAGAGTGTGGAAGATTGCAGAGGAGAGCCAGCTTGTGTTCAGTGGCCATGAGTGAGTAACATCATTGATGTAACTGGGTCCCATGTGCTAGGAAATTGTGAATATTTTCCAAGATGGGGAGAGTGACACAATGACCGAATGAGATGGGTTTCCACTGTGTATATATACAGTTCACAGTGCATGTTTGATGTGTCATGCACAAGTGCAGTGCACCCTTCATCATTTTAAAAAAAAAATTGTGCTTTTATTATTTTGGTTCCATTCAAAATAGATTTTATTTCAAGACTACCATAACTTCACCCAAAACCTTTTAAGGTGAAATATTTGCACAATTGAAATGGCAGGAGTTTATGTTGAAAGGACCACTATAGTGCCAGGAAAACATACTAGTTTTCCTGGCTCTATAGGGTCCTTGGATCCCCCTCCCGCCGGGCTCTAGGGTGAGGAAGGGGTTAACCCCTTACCTTTTTTCCAGTGCCGGGCTCTCTCGGCGCTGGGGACTCTCCTCCTCCTTTCCCTGTCAGCTGAATGCGCAGCATGAACCGCGCGCGCATTCAGCCAGTCCACAGGAAAGCATTCTCAATGCTTTCTTATGGATGCTGGTGTGTTCTCACTGTGAAAATGAGACAGCCATTAGAGGCTGGATTAACCCTATTGTAAACATAGCAGTAGGGTTACACCTGCAGGGTTAACCCTAGATGGACCTGCCACGCAGACCACTTCATTAAGCTGAAGTGGTCTGGGTGCCTATAGTGGTCCTTTAACATACATCTTATTCACATTGCTTGCTGCAATCTAATGCATCCAATGACCCCAATTTGTGTATTTTTTTGGGGGGGGGAGTTTAGGTGTATGGAGGTTGGGCTTGTTGTTTTCTTCATTTGGGAATTCGTCTCAATATGAAAATGCATCCTCCTCCGTTTAGCAAATCTGAAAAAGATCTAATCCAGGTTTTTCCCATCTTGCGGGGGAGAGGGGGGGAGGAATCTTGCTTAAATTTGTGTCAGGACAGACCAGTGGCCCAACACGCAGAATTAAGTAAAACACGTAACAATACAAACAGTAACAACGTATTACCGGACCTTAGAATGGCCGGAATTAACGTAATAGAATAACCCGTAACAAACAGAGGTCAGGAATACAAAAAGGAACAAATACGGAAAGAAAAAAGCCAAAAGGTCAGGGATACCAGAAATACAGGAAGTCAAGCCAAACTAAGATCAAAAGCCATTAATCAGAATCAGGAACGCGCTCTCGGATAACCAACAGGATGGAAACCCACGACAGGGCTCTGAATAACTGCAGGTTTGGGTTTAAATAACCCAGTAAATCCTGCTATTGGCTAGTTTGGATCACATGACCCCAGAATATTCATGCATGGCGAAAACGTGACCGTTCACGTCACTAGTGACGTCATTGTGGGCGGCATTATTATTTAGCGCCGTTTTTGCAGTGGCTGGCGTCCCTTCCAATGCTGAACTCTGCCGCCGATCCTCAAGCTGCATGGAGGGAAGGGAGAGGCTCTGGCGGTGAGGTAAGTAACTTCTCCCTCCATTAGTGCGACCGCGCCAATTAGGCGCTGTCACACTGTGGTGCTGTTTGGGCACTTTGATAGCCTCCGGGTGCGGTCACACGGAGGTGCCGATCAGGCACCATGACCATTTGATACTGATTATTTGTGTTTATGTATTTACTAGATAGTTTCTGTCCTCTCGCTTTGTTTTAACAGAACATACAAGGTCTCTAGAACTCCTATTATTTTATTCAAGAGAACACATTTATTATTCAGTCTGGGTTGTTGATTACATACATCCCAAGAGACTAATCCATTTTGTACATCTGCTTTTAACAAGAACAAGCATAAACGTAATCAACACAAGCTGTATCCTTGTCTTACAGTACCTAATGAAATAAGAACCGGTAATAGTTAAACCACTGTAGGAAACAAACGTTCTGCTTTACTGCAGTACTTTATTTTAACCTGAAGATGTCTCTCTTCCCATGAATGTGCACATTTTTGTTATGTGCTTAACACATTAACAGCTGATTAATGCAAGTTACTAGCCCATTTTTTCATGAGAACTCCTGAGTCGACATTGTAATATTTGGGGGAGGAGGGAGTGTTCAGCATTTTTTTTTTGTTTTGTTTCTTTTATGTGGTTTTGTATACCCATATTCATTTGATAAGTTAATCTGGAAAAGCAAAAAAAAATACATTATGAGTTTCCTTCCCAACTTCTCTTTTCAAAATCTCATTGTTGCATTGAAGTTGGTGTAAAAAAAATATTGCTCTGGCAATAGACCATGCATAAGGTTCAGTAATGATAGAGGTATTCAGGCTTAGGGTAACATTAAGGTAGGTTGGGGTAAAATGAAGTTGTGAGTATGCTTAGTGTGAATTCATTCCCCCTCCTGTATCTGGGAAATTTATGAAGCTAATTCAGTGGCAGTGCTGCAGTTGTGTAATGTGTGTAATTTTAACCAAATGGTAGATATACTTGGAAAATGTCTCATTCCGCTATTTTGGATTTCAATTAGAAATTTATGTTTGCTTTGAATTCCTGTAAATTCTCACTTCAGTAAATACTTGTTTGTGAGTGATTCTTTGGGTAAAGTGAGTGATTCTTGTGAAGAATGGAACACCTGGTTTCCTACTTTCTATATCCGTGGTGTGCAGGTGTTATAGCAACCCAGACCTGAGTGGACTAAAGCTGCAGAACATCACATCAGGTTCTACCTTTTGGGCTACGTTTGGCATACAATTTGCAAATTGGCACAGCTGGAGACTGGAATAACCTCTACTGATTTGTTGAATCTCCCTCCCTAATCATGCCATTTCTGCTTTGTATTCATTGTAGAGGTTCCATAGACTGCATACGACTTATAAATGAAGAGCACATGGTTTCTGGAGCAGAAGATGGGTAAGCTATTCACTGTACCTATATAAGTAACAGATCATCAATTAATTTAAAATAACAAACGTCTATGTGTTTAGTGGCTTTTAATTGCTTGATAAAGGTCACTTACAACACCACAATGCTGCCAGTAATGTCAGTAGGTATTCAGTGGGCAGCCATAGGGACCTGGTAGTGCCTCGTAATTTGTGTTACTATTTTGTTATTGTTTGTTTCAGGGTGCCTGGCAGGTCTTTGAATAGAATGTCAACTATAGCATGTAGATCCATTTATATCGATAGGTGACAATTGCAAAGGCCATTATGTGCATTCTTCATGCCCCCATTCAGAATTGGCATCATAAAGTTTTGGGCCCTTGTAAAACCATTGGCCATGTCCTTGTTCATAAACTTTCCCATGATATCAGCTCTAACCCATCCAGTCCTATTTCATGAACTGTATATCTGTTCGCATTGCCCTTCTATCTAATAACCCCCACTCGCTCCCACCACCACCCAGGTCTCTGGCACTTTGGAGTGTTTCCAGGAAGAAGCCTCTGGCACGGGTGAAATGTGCTCATGGTCAACATGGCAATCCTGGTTTGGAGCAGCCATACTGGATTTCTTCAGTGAGTGCTGCTCTCAACAGCGATGTTGTGGCCTCTGGTATGTATTTGGAGAAACCCTTGTGTGTTTATGTGCGTATTTAGCATGTATATAAAATGTATCGTGTTTGTGTGATTTATGTTTAGTTCAGATATATAGCCCATACACTAAGATGGTGTAGCAGGATTTTTTTTGTTTGTTTATTTTTGTTCATCGTATTATGTGTGTCTCCTGTCCAATAATGTCAATGTATTTTGGGGACCATTAAGCCTGATTCTAAACAATCTACCTTCGTATTTACAGCCAACCAACCCTCCTACATCTTTTTAAGAGGAAGTCCTTTTTTCTTGCATCCTGATTCAAATTTCTCCCTGTTCAGTCTCGTCCTCCCTAGCTGCCTTTAGTATCTTGCCTTACCTGCAGAGTAGGGTAGAAGGGTGGTATTCAAAAGAGGCAGTGCTTACAGTGCTCTGATGCTTCCACATATGCTACCATTCCAAGCTTTTCTAATGACTTTATGTTGTAAATGATGTTCCCTTTAAAGAAGCATTGTGCAGGGCAGCAGTTATCTCATTCATTTTTTTGGTTTTCCTCTGTAATAGGATAAAAATAGCTGCCTAATGTGTATCCATCTGTGCAAGGTTGTAGTCTTTAGATGGAAATGAAGAACACCTCTTTTGAATGACTGCTATAAAACAGCAATACGATTAGCTAGTAGGTGTTAAATGGTTATTCCACACACTATTACCACTTCAGTGATTTGAAGTGGTTATGGTGCCTGGAGTCTGTATGTGCAGCTTTTCACTGTGAAACAGAGCCCTTCCATAGGCTGCATGTGGTCTTGTAGGGGAGGACAGGCTGGTGTTTCTAATTATCATGTGCATATAAGCAGACAAGACATATACCTTATTCTGAAATTAGGACAGAGTGGTCCATTGGTATTTACTAAATCTGTGCCTGAGAGTCCCCTCATTTAAAAAAAAAATCTCTGTTCTTGTTCCAGGATCTAATGATGGCAATGTTAGGCTCTGGCGCTGTGGTGAAGGGTTCCGAGGCTTGCATCCACTGTGTACCATACCTTTGGTGAGTTTTGCCATCTACCTGCCTGGTAACTCATTTATGGTTACAACTCTATCCATCAATTTTTTTTTTTCTTCCTTATTTCAATCTTATAGTGCCTGGATGTACAGCTTCCTTAATTATGTTGGCATAGTTGTCACTTAGCTAAGTTTGGTTTTGTATTTTTGTTTTTCCCATCGTCAGGTTGGGTCTGTGAACAGCCTGCAGTTTTCCAGTACAGCCGATTTCCTGGTTGCTGGAGTTGGACAGGAGCACAGGTATATGATGACAGGGATATTGGTTTTAAATAATGGAAATGTTGAGACACCATACAATATCTATCTAGATGGATGAAATGTTTTCTTTGATTTTAATAATATTTTTGTTTTAAATAGACTTGGACGTTGGTGGAGGATAAAAGAAGCCAAAAACGGACTTTACATAATCCCTTTCAAACGGAAATTGCCCCTCAGCGAAGGATCATGATCTCCCCTTAATATGAATGGTCATTGTTAATCTGCATTTCAGTTCTTCTGCAATTTCCACCCCCATATTTCAGAAGTTAAATATAAATGATTTATTATGTGTAAATGTGTTTTTTTGTTGTTTTTTTGGTTTTTTTTGGTTCCCTCCGTCCTGTATTATCACAGGAAGAGGGGGGGGGGGATTTCTAAAGACACAAAATGTCAAACTACAAACATGTTTTATTTACATATACCAACGTTAGCAGCGCTTATATCACGCTAAAGGAAAGTGCTGGCCAGTTATGTCTACTACATAAAATGGTCTTTTCAAGTTAGAAGCACGACAGTTATCCCTCCCCCACCCTCACAATGACCATAGTCTCCATCGTAGGTCAGATTCATAGAACCCACAATGTTTTCTGATATGGAATGTTCGTAATGTGCAGTCTCAGCAAGCAATACTTTCAAACCTCAATTGAGGCTTAGAGTCAGAATCCACCTTCACTTCTTGGCAGTTGTCATACTCCACTGAGCAGCAGATGTTGAGCGCCGGTTTCTCTGCATGTCAATTTTTTTTTTTTTTTTTATGAATGTATTTCTTTTATCCCGGGGCATGGTGTTGGACATCACGGTCACTTGTATTTTTTTCACCCCTAATTTGACACATTGTGACATTTTGTGCTCATTGATCTCTGCTTACTCAGTGGGAGGAAGTATTGTTCTGCCATGCGGTAATATCTGCTCTTGTCACATCCCACCCTCTCTATTCCCATCACAGAGATGAGGTTGTGGAGTCCACTACTTCGCGCCCGTTGCACACAGTTGGTACATACTGCACGGCTGTGCCTGGAAAGATGAATAATGCATATATTAGAATTAATACGGACAAAAATGGCTTTAGACAAACGCACACCAAACAAATTTGTGTCTTCTACTGAGGGTCCCATATTTTTAGAGAATTGATGATTAGAGACTGTGGATGCTACATCACCCAGCATTCTGAAAATCTGTCTCCTTTAGTGAAACAGCAGGGGGTAGTATTAATGAGCCGTCTGTTAACTCCCTTGTTAGTGAGTCTGTGTATTCTTTGCAGGTTAATGGCCAGCCAGAGGCTCCTGTGGGGACCTGAATCTCAATCAAGCCATTAAAATAGTCCCTGGGGGCCTTTTGGGCAGGGGGTTAAAAATGAGATGACAAAGGAAAGAGGAGGGGGAGGAAGGCATTCAAACTGCATTTCTTCACATTAAAATGATGCTCCTAATGTATGTGAAAGTTTTGTTCTACGCTCTTCTTTCTTTGCAGAAGATAAATTAATGTGCTTTTAGGCTTGCTGGGGAACATCTGAAATTGGTCATCTCTTCCTGATTTTTTTTTTTTCCTCCGTTGCTTAACCCTTTCAATCCTGGTGGTAGGTTAAGATGCATATTTAGGAATTATTAGCTTAGTTGACGTAAAAGCAAATTGCTTGGGTTTACCCCCATGAAATCTGGCCTGCTTTCTGTTCTAGAGAAGCCCACTTTGTCATCATTGCCCTACTTTGTTGTTCTATTTCTGGATTTGTGCTGCTTGAACACAAAAACAAGAATTTACGGATAATCCTTATTTCAGGTCTGGTCCATTTGATCTGAAACCAATATATTTATTTTCCCAAAACATTTCCTATGCATGGAGCTATTGCAGTGACTCTTGAACAGCTTTTTGTTTCTATTTAAACAATGAATCCTTGACCATTTGTGTTCCACTGCATCACACATCTATCCATGGGATCCTGATCTGGTTGGGTCCCTACATTGTAATTTCTAATGAACAACGAAAAATTTTTTAATTTTTTTTTCAATACAGAAGGTTTGGTGGTACCATAACTTGCAGATCCGAATGAATGTGTAAAATCTTTATTTTGCTGTTCTTATTACAGATATTAATCTCCAGTGTATTACTTATCGTGATAGGGGTTTATGTACTAAACTGCAGAGTAAAATGAAAAACGCTTCTTATGGTTAACAATAAACAGGATTATTTACTAAATCAGACAGTTTGCAGAGAGCTGAGAAGGGACTCGCACATTTTAAGCCATAATGAAAGAATTGTACTGTATATAATTCTCTAACAATTCTGAATTCCAGCAATTGTCAGTTTAAAGGGATACTACAGAGATCAACACAACTTTTAGCTTAATGAAGCAATTTTGGTGTATATATCATGCCCCTGCAGTCTCACTGCTCATAACTCTGTGTTTATATAGTCCCTGCATGTGACTTGCACAGCCTTCCTAAACACTTCTTGTAAAGAGAGATCTAATGTTTAAACTTACGTTCCTGGTTAAACATGGCACCATCACTTGACCGCTCCTCCCCAGCTGTCAGGACAGGAATGGTTAATTAACAATTAAAAAATTAAGAATAGTTAATAAATGCAACCTCACACCTACATTTTTATTCATTTTTTTTTCTTCATGTTCTAGCTGAGCGGCAGGGATGGTTTAAGTCTTAAAATGTTTCTTTGGGCTCACTACCTTTTTTTAAAATTGTTCTATCAGAGGGAGCTCAGCCTCTCTGCCTCTGGAGAAAGCAATAATCAGACTGCATTGGCAACACTAACTGGTTTGTTTCTTAGTAGAGTAAGAAACTCCACAGTGGGGATTAATATGCAGAACAATCTCTAGCAGCATGGATTGAGCTCTGATTATATTCATCAATACTAATGTAGTGTGGCAAGCCATGCTCCTTGGTATGTAACTTATCTGGTCTCCCTGAGGTGGCAGATTAGTTGGCAGTAGAGGATTATAGCTTCCTCATTTATTTCTGGCCAAGACATTATAAACTGCAACTATTCCCTTGAGCTGAGTTTTTGTGGCACTAACCATGTTGCACTCCTGTTCCTGTGGCGCTGTAGCGGTTTGTGGCAGTGCGGTGGCTGGCAACATTTTTCTGTGGCTGAAACATGATGATGTGCAGTTTTGGAGTGAAGAGGCAGCCGAGAACCACAGAGCCACTCAGACTTACTGAAACACACAGTGTTGTGGTCTGGACCTGGGGAGAAATGTAGAGAATTGAGAAAACATATTTCCCAGTGGTGACAAATATAATCACAGGTTAAACCAAATTCAAGCTCATTCTTTATTTAAAAAAATGGATTATATAGATTGCACACTTTAAATTTTTTTTTTTTTTAAATTCATGTGTTTGATGGAATAACCCAAACATTGCAGCGTTGGCAGTGAGTTCTGTGCAGACCATGATGCGGCCATGAAATCATGACGCTCTGCTAAATTTATATAGATTGCACTGCTGAACAGAACTTTATGGGTAAAGCAAGAGGATTTATAGTTCAACTGTCCCAAGTAAAACTTTGAGAAACTTAATAAATTATGTAATACACAATAAGTGGAGAACATCCCTTGCAAATATATAAAACAAAACATTCATTCTCTCTCTCTATATGTATAGGGGGTGTACTTTCTTGTACAAAATGTATATGTAATATTGTAGGATAATTGCTCAAAGTGCAGAACACGTAAGACTAGTGATGTCCCGAACGGTTCGCCGCGGACGGCGAACATATGCGCTGTTAGTCCGCTCCCTATGTCATCATTGAGTAAACTTTGACCTTGTACCTCACAGTCAGCAGACACATTCCAGCCAATCAGCAGCAGACCCTCCCTCCCAGACCTTCCCTCCTCCTGGACAGCATCCATTGTGAAGCTGCATTCTTAGTGAGCTGTCCAGGAGGTGGGAGGATCTGGGAGGGAGGGTCTGCTGCTGATTGGCTGGAATGTGTCTGCTGACTTTGAGGTACAGGGTCAAAGTTTACTCAATGATGACGAATAGGGGGCAGACCAAACAGCGCATATGTTCGCCACATCACTACGTAAGACACATTTGGTAGAGCCATTTTTCGATTGGCTCTGATCTCTAAAGTCTCTGTCGTTAAAGGGACACTATAACCACCAAAACAACTTTAGCTTAATGAAGCAGTTTAAGTGTATAGATCATGCCCCTGCAGTCTCACTGCTCAATTCTTTACCATTAAGGAGTTAAATCAATTTTGTTTCTGTTTATGCCGCCTTAGCCACACCTGCCCTAGCTGTGACTCGCACAGTCTATTTGAATCTTTTATCTCCTGTTTTGTAAATTGAACTTTAATTACACAATAGGGGCTCCTGCGGGGACTACAAGACTACTAACAAAGCAGGTGATATGAAATTCTAAATTAAACAGAATGTGCAATAAGGAAAATAGTTTCAGACTGTAATTTTATTTTCCTGATCATTACACAGGGGGTGCTCACCAGGCCAAGAAAGCTTAAAACAGATACCAGACATGGTGGTCACAAGTATGCAAGTTCTGTTTGCTGGGTCTTCAGGGAAAGATGCTTATTTATCCTGTAGACCGCTGTCATCCATCCCTTCAGGTAAAGAGTTAGGTGAGACCCTCAGTCGCTAAAGGGGGTGCCCAGGGAGGCAACTCTTACATATGTACAATTGCTGGGTTTTCAGGGATTAGAGTCTGGACCCAGGTTGTTGCCTGGTGAGCATAAAAACTAAATCTAGGCCTGCTAACGCAGACTCCTTCCAAACTGCTGTGAAGGACAGGAAAAAAGACTGCCTGATGGGAGTGGTGGATCTATTTATACCAGTTTCAGAGTTATATTTCCTGTCCTTTATGCTGTGAGGGTGAGGGCTACCCTTGAGTAAATGCTGCCATGTTTGATCAGGAAATGAAGCTTAAAATTAGTCTCTTTTCAGGAAGTGTTTAGGAAAGCTGTGAAAGCCCTATTCGGAGAGGTGTGACTAGGGCTGCGTAAACAAAGAGATTTAACACCTAAATGTCAGAAAATTTATACAATAAGACATGATCTATAAACCAAAACTGCTTCATTAAGCTGAAGTTGTTTTGGTGCCTAGAATGTCCCTTTAAGATCTTGAATCCTAGATATGGTATACTTCAAAAGGAAAAATAAAAAACAATAGTGCAGTATTTTTAATAGATATATTGGTACAAATAAAGAAGAAAACTGCTCACCTTTAATGGAGCCAACAAAAACCTTTCTCCAGGTAAAGTTGGCTCTGTGCCTTTAAAGGGCAGCTCTATCCTTTAATGATGATGCTAGACCTGGGTGTACACTTAACTACACACACCACAATTCAAGAAAGTGTAGACAGCCACTAGAAGTTTTTATGAAAACTTCAATATTTACAGTTGTAGGGTTAAGGGTAGTGGGAGTTGGCACCCAGACCACTCCAATGGGCAGAAGTGGTCTGGGTGCCTGGAGTGTCCCTTTAAGATGTCCATCTCTAAATAAAAAAGAAGAATAAAAAAAAAACAATGTTCTACCCTGCAATTTTGATACAACTGATACTGATACTGATATTGTCCCTTTCATACTTTTTAAGTGGAGCACTGCGCATAGCTCCTACAAGCTAGTTAGGACTTCTACAGTGAAAGCCCATGTATAAATACTTACATAATAAAATTACAGTCGGCATAGTTTAAACCATGTTCGTTATACTGCAGAGTCTGTATTAATATTGATGACTAGTAGAAGTTATAACTGCTGTGTGTATGACTTTGATATTTGTGCATAACACGGTGGCCAATATTTGGAGACTTTTGCGAGTGAGAATTTTCATGATAACAATGAAACAGAGGCTGCTTGTGCCCTGACCTGGGTGGATGAGTCATGGGTGATGTATGATATAGGCAGAGCACTGCCTGATGATGCTGATGATGATATAAGAAGATGGAATTTTTGCGTTTTGGTAAAGAGTTCTTACCCTGTAGTCACTAGAGGTCACATAGAAGATAGGCAAGAAGGCCAACCAGATAATGCATGTAGTATACATAGTGAAGCCAATGAATTTGGCTTCATTAAAGTTCTCAGGACATTTGCGTGTTTTAAAAGCATAAAATGTGCAAAGCAGGACAAGAAGTACATTGTAGGATAGCGACACTAGCATGCTCCCATCACTGCTGTTACACTTCAAGGTCACCACATAGCGTTTGTCGGGGGCTGTGTCCTTTCGTGTGCCTGGTGGCTCTATAAGCAACCAGATTACCACCACAAGCAACTGGCAGGAGATTAGGACCAAGCAGATGCCTACTTGTGATGCGGGGCTGATAAAACGTGGGCGCTGGACTCCATCTCGAGCCCCATTGAAAATACGAGCGATCCGGTTGGTCTTTGTGAGCAAGGCCGAGTAACAAATTGCAAAAGAGGTGCCAAGTCCAAAGCGCCGTAGGGTGCAAATAGAAGAAGATGGTTTGGCGATGAAGATGAAAGTCATGGCATAGCAGAGGAGAACCCCGCTCAACAAGATGTAGCAGAGCTCACGTCCAGATGCTTTTACAATTGGAGTATTATTGTTCTGTAAGAAAACACCAACCGCAAAGAGGGTGGAAAGTAAACCCAGACAGGATAGGCACACTGGCCCCAATGCCCATGCATCCCTCCAGCGGATATACTCTTGGGGCAGGTCAAAGCAGCCATTAAGCTCAGTATTGGGCCATTGCCCCAGCTCGCAAGCCATGCAGGTAAACTCATCCAGAAGGAACTCATAGGGCTGGCATGGGATGCAGATCCAGCAGCAGACATCTCCTGGCTGCATGCTCTTCACCTCATTCTTTTTGCAAGGGTCGCTGCACTGGGACACAGGCACTGCACTACGTGCCCACGGGATCAGACTTGTGTTGAGCGTCAGCTCCTCAGCCCAGTAACCTACTTTTTTATAATGAAACCGACCATCTGTGTTCTGAAAGCTGAAGATGTTGTAGCGACCTATTCCGTCACCAAACTTGTCAAATCGAACTGTGCTATGGGTGTCCGGAGGAGGAAATGGGGCTAGGGTGGAAGAAAGAGAGGGGAAAAAAAATGCTTTGTCAATAACACAGAATATAACAAGGAGGGTAAAATGTATACAAATCACTTCCTCAGTTACATAATAAAGGTTTACAGGGTTCTGAGGGCTGCAGTTGACCAATTCTTATGTGGATAATGCATTGAAACTATATGCAAAAAAACAAATTCTGTATATATATAAAAAAAAAAAAAAAAACAGGTTTTTGAAAGTTGTAGTTTAGTTGATAGCATTTTACCGAGAACACCCTGTGTAACTATATTATTGAAGCAAAAGGGAAAATGCAGTATGTCCAGGCTATATGGCTATGGTGCTTTTTATTTACACAGGTGAAGATACACATGCAGCTAAAGTTATGGAATGCTTGCAAATCTATAGAAAAAAGTATTAAAGGATTGCCTTTTAAGAGCACAGTAACCAGAAGTAGGTGTGCAATATCTTATTTTACTACTTTAACCCCATCACAACCAGGGCATAGGCAAATACAATGACATCATTGCCATTCTATCATGCCATCTGTCATAGATGGGGTTAAGAACCATTGGCAATGTAAGCTTTTGTGAGATTGCAACCAATGGGAAGCAGCGGAGTAAATTGTAGCCTCTAAGTGCTAGAAATACAATTCTAACATATACGCCATATGAGATTCTTTACCATGTTGCAAATTAAGTCACAGAAAATGTATTTTAGAGTGGATCTGGCATCCAAATGTGAGTGCTTGGCAAAGGAGTGAAATAACTAGAAAAGAAGACTATAGATGAAAAGATATACATATCTGCACTTTGTTTCCCAGTGCCAATGTCAATAAAATGCAAAGTGAATCTAGAAACATCAAAAGAAAATAGTATTTCATCTAAGTTGGCTCAAACAACAGGAGTTGGATATTTAAAGCTGCTCATGGTGTAGAGTAATAAGCAGGACCATTTCACTGGTTTCCATGGTGATTGCTCCACTTTTAAATCCCTTTAAAAATGCCTGACTCTATTAAAGGACCACTATGGTGCCAGGAAAACATACACGTTTTCCTGGCACTATAGTGCCCTGAGGGTGCCCCCACCCTCAGGGTCCCACTCCCGTCGGGCTCTGGAGAGAGGAAAGGGTTAAAATCTTACCTTTTTTCCAGTGCCGGGCGGGGAGCTTTCCTCCTCCTCTCCGCCTCCTCTCCTCCCCTTCGGCTGAATGCGCACGCGCGGCAGGAGCCGCACGCGCATTCAGCCGGTCTCATAGGAAAGCATTCATAATGCTTTGCTATGGACGCTGGCGTCTTCTCACTGTGATTATCACAGTGAGAAGCACGCAAACGCCTCTAGCGGCTGTCAATGAGGAGGCTGGATTAACCCATTTATAAACATAGCAGTTTCTCTGAAACTGCTATGTTTATAAAAAAAAAGGTTAATCTTGGAGGGACCTGGCACCCAGACCACTTCATTAAGCTGAAGTGGTCTGGGTGCCTAGAGTGGTCCTTTAAGCAGTGAAGGCAAACTTTGGCACCCAGATATTTTTAAGCTACATTTTGCATGCTGTTTATTAAGTAAAGGGAAGATGAACAAAATACAATTTACAAACACATGGATACCTAAGTTAACAATGAATGCTTTGCAGCTTCCTAAGTGTCCAGTGTATACTCTGTGACATGGATCATGTTTTAAATATCCACCATATGAGTTTATGGTGACATGGATCATGTTTATGAGTTAAAAACCAGTTGATGAAAAATGATTGCCATGCAGTATTTTATTTTTTTATACTCACCACTGAACTTTACATTAAGGATATAGTCACGATAAAAGCGTCGTCCATTTATTGGATTCATGGCAGCACATGGTTGACTGACATTGGGGCATAGAGCTAGGTACATGTTGTTCATGGCATGAGCCATAGCATACACCGCGTTCACCACAAACATTATCTTGGATTCCTGTTCAAATTTCACATTCCTCAATGAATGTACCGCACAGTCCGGTGACGTAAGCCGGCACTGAAACTTGTTCTCCCAGAATTCCCGGAACCAAGGATTGCGTGTGTTGTTGTACGGGTGCAGTGACTGGAAATATTCTGAAAACTCCCACAATGGGTATGATGCAAGTTCAAGAGTGATAGCACCTTCTGCCACATCTTCACTCCCAGACACCACACTCTCCAAAGCTCCCCAGCCATCACTGGCCACCCACATGAAGGACACATTTAGTTGTTGAGCTGCTGCCAGAAGCTCTCGAGCATCCTCAATCTTGGTAAAGAGGACAACTACCCGAGCAGTGGGTTTTTGCTGCAGTGCCCGAATAACGCTTGTGAAGGTCTTCTTGTTCATGGAACGTCCAACCTTCTCTGAAGTGGCTATGCAGATATTCCGAGCCCGTGCCTCCTGCTCAAATGCCTCAATACCTGTCTCTCCATAATCTCCTTCTGATGCCACTGTGGATACATAAGTCCAGTTGAAGAACCTTAGGATATCTGCCATGGCTTTGGCTTGGTAAAAGTCTGGTGGTACTGTGCGTGCAAAGAAGTCATAACGGGATTTGTCACTTAATTTGGCACTCGTTGAGGCATAGCTTATCTGCGGGATCTGAAAGAGGCGCAAAAGATTGGCAACCTAGTAGGGACAGAAAGAACACAAGAACCAGTTGAAACCAGAAACAGACATAAAAAAGAATGCAAGATGTTCCTGCAATATGGCACATAGACTTTTTGATAAACAGAGTTTGAAATATGGTCAAAATCAGAGTTATTCAATAAGTTCTGATTTCATAAAGGCATAATCATTTATAGGTATTAAAGTAATTCAAAGGATACATTACAGAGGTGGATCACTAGATTTACAATTCCCCTTTATTCACCAGACTGCTTCAGAATTGGTGCGCACAAGTTCCAATTAGGAACCTTAATTTCAGAAAACCCCAAACAGGCCCTAATAATGTTTCAGATAGATCACTCAGCATTTAATTTTCTGACTTATTTCCCCATATTAGTAAATGCCGGCTGGCTAAGCGAATAGACAGCCCTATAGTTTAGGAAGGATCTGGCAATATGGACTCTCCAATTCCTGCAAAAAAAAATACAGTGTTGTGAAATGTAAAAATAGAGCAGGTGGGTAGCTGTATCTGAACAGCAAATATTACTAGTATCTTTGAATTTTGCAGCATCTTTCCCACTTTGGAGGTTGTTTTGTAAATGATTGCTGTTTGAAAGCAATTGGAATTCCATACTTTGTATGACATTTGCACCATTTATTTCCTATTTTATCAGACATTGATATATACACTTAACAAAATTATAAACTCAACTCTTTTGTTTTCGCTCCCATTTTTCATGAGCAGAACTCAAAGATCTAAGACTTTTTTTTTTCTTTTTTTTTGTAAATCTGTTTTTATTGAAGATTTTGACAATAGATACATATAGCAGTAGGGTATATCAGGTGGGACACGCAGTTCACCATCATAGCAAGATCATGAGCATTAAGTTTGTGTGGCATGCGTTCTCGTGAGGTTCTCGGGTGTAGCTAGTGTATCTCTCTGAGTGTTTTAGCCTGTGGCCTCTGCTTGTAGATTCCAACATGACCTCTTTCCACTCCCGTAGGTCTTATGGAGTTTGTCACCGTTTCACTGGACTGATTTTGTGCATTTGCCCATGTTTTGGACCTAAGGCCCCCCCCCCCATATATATTTGGAGCTGCGTCAACCCCGTAAGGGTGTGGTCCTATTCTGTCTTGTTGGTTATGCCCGACCATTGGCTCTGATTGGGGTATAATTGTCATCTTCATTTTAGGTAAGGTGAGGTGTAGAGGTGTGTGAGTGGTGTTGTGTGTGATCAATAGGGAACACATGGGCGGATGTGTACTGTAGTCATTGCTACCGGCCCAGTAGTGATGGGAATGAGCGCAGGACTTCTCTTTTTGTATTTGTATTTACTTTGTATCACACAGCCTTGTTACAATGCTGCCGCCCATCCCACGTGTTCCCTATTAAGGGTTAATAAGTATATAGGGGTGTATGTAAAAAATACCCCTTTCTGTCTCATTAGAGATATCTTTGCCAGAAGCTCAAGGAAGCAGGCTGAAGGGTCAGTGTTAGGACCCGCTTAGGGGGGTCTGCCTTGACGTTGGCAGGCGGGCAGTGGCGTACATACCACGGTCGCAGGGGTCGCGGCTGCGACCGGGCCCGGCCCACCAGGGGGCCCGGCCGCACCTGCGACCCGGTATGTAGCCACAGGGCCAGCCTCTTCCCCTGAGTGCTCCCTCGCGCGCCCGCCTGCCTGCCCGACCGGCCACCCGCCCAGGAGCCCAGCAGCAGCACCACTGGACCCCAGGGAATCCCCCCAGCACTTCAAAAGGTAAGGAGGCTGGGGGGATTAAATTAAAAAAAACAAAAAAAAAGTGTTAGTGTTTGAGTGTTAGAGTGAGTGTTAGAGTGAGTGTTAGTGTGAGTGTTAGAGTGAGTGTGAGTGTTAGAGTGAGAGTGAATGTTAGAGTGAATGTTAGAGTGAGTGTTAGAGTGGATGTTAGAGTGAATGTTAGAGTGAGTGTGAGTGTTAGAGTGAGTGTGAGTGTTAGAGTGAGTGTTAGAGTGAGTGTGAGTGTTAGAGTGAGTGTTAGTGTTAGAGTGAGTGTTAGAGTGAGTGTGAGTGTTAGAGTGTGTGTCTTAGTGAGTCTGTTTGATGTCTGTTAGTGAGTGTGTGTTTGTCAATGAGAGTGTATGTTTTGTGTGTGAGTGTGTCTCTGTTAGCTAGTGTGTATGCGTCTGTAAGTGAGAGTGTGTGTGTCTTCAGCACTTACCTTTCTCCAGCGCCGGAGTCCCTTGGCGCTGGGGATCCCTCAGCCTCTCAGCTCCGAATGAGACCGCGCACGCATTCAAACCGCCCATAGGAAAGCATTACTTTCACTAGAGGCTGGATTAACCCTCAGTGAAACATAGCTGTTTCTCTGAAACTGCTATGTTTTCAGCTGCAGGGTTAAAACTAGAGGGACCTGACACCCAGACAACTTAATTGAGCTGATGTGATCTGGGTGTCTGTAGTGGTCCTTTAAAGGACCACTATAGTGCCAGGAAAACATACTCGTTTTCCTGGCACTATAGTGCCCCGAGGGTGCCCCCACCCTCAGGGTCCCCCTCCCGCCCGGCTCTGGAAAGGGGAAAAGGGGTTACACTTACCTTTTTCCAGCGCTGGGCGGGGAGCTCTCCTCCTCCGATCCTCCTCCTCTCCTCCCCGTCGGCTGGCTGCGCGCGCATTCAGCCGGTCACATAGGAAAGCATTCATAATGCTTTCCTATGGACGCTTGCGTGCTCTCACTGTGAAAATCACAGTGAGAAGCACGCAAGCGCCTCTAGTGGCTGTCAATGAGACAGCCACTAGAGGAAATAGGGGAAGGTTTAACCCATTCATAAACATAGCAGTTTCTCTGAAACTGCTATGTTTATGAAAAAATGGGTTACCCTAGCTGGACCTGGCACCCAGACCACTTCATTAAGCTGAAGTGGTCTGGGTGCCTAGAGTGGTCCTTTAAGTGTGTGTGCATCTGCATGCACTGGTGTACATACCGCGGTCGCAGGGGTCGCAGCCCTGTAACCCCTGCGACCAGGTGCCCACCGCCATGTGTTGCGGCCCGGCCCGCGCGCCGGGGGGGGCCACGGATCAATTTTCCACCGGGGCCCCATGGGTCATGTGTACGCCACTGCAGGCGGGCATTCCCTCCAATGGCCATTGGAGCAACTAAATGACCTCCATTTGTCTAAATATACATAGGGATTAAGGAAAGAGCGCAGGTAACTTTTTCTTTTCTTTGATTGGGCAACTGCTCACATTCGATGGCATCTTGCACTTTGGAGAGGTGCTCTCTTCATGGATGAATCCCTGTTTTCACTATACAGGGCAGATGGCTAACAGCATGAATGGCGTCGTGTGGGTGAGCGATTTGCTGATGTCAATCTTGTGGATCGAGTAGCCCATGGTGGCGGTGGGGTTATGGTGTGGGCAGGTGTATGTTATGGACTATGGACACAGGCATTTTGAATGCACAGAGCTACCATGATGAGATCCTGAGGCCCATTGTTGTGCCATTCATCCACGACCATCACCTCATGTTGTAGCATGATAATGCACAGCCCCATGTTGCAAGGATCTGTACACAATTCCTGGAAGCTGAAAACATCCCAGTTCTTGCATAGCCAGCATACTCACCGGACAGGTCACCCATTAAACTTGTTTGGGATGCTCTGGATCAGCGTATATGACAAAGTGTTCCAGGTCCTGCCAATATCCAGCAACTTCGCACAGCCATTGACGAGGAGTGGACCAACATTCCACAGACCACAATCAACAACCTGATCAACTCTACGCGAAGGAGATGTGTTGCACTGCGTGAGGCAAATGGTGGTCACACCAGATACTGACTGGTTTTCGGACCCCCCTGGACTCCCCCCAATACAGTAAAACATTTTCGAGTGGCCTTTTATTGTGGTCAGCATAAGGCACACCTGTGCAATAATCATGCTATCTAATCCGCATCTTCATATGCCACACCTGTGAGGTGGATGGATTATTTTGGCAAAGGAGAAGTGCTCACTAACACAGAATTAGACAGATTTGTGAACAATATTTGAGAGAAATAAGCCTTTTGTGTACATAGAAAAAGTCTTAGATCTTTGAGTTCAGCTCATAAAAAATGGGGGCAAAAACAAAAGAGTTGTGTTTATAATTTTGTTCAGTGTATATAAACAGAATTCTGCAAATCTGGGGTCTCTGTGGAGTTTGCCAATACCCTTGAATGAGCAGCCGAGTTAGTCATCGCACTGGGAACTGTGTGTAATTGACAATAATATTGCAAGTTAAGGCTAAAATAGAGATGTTGGAAAAGCCCAAGGGGCAGATCGACACAAAGCCACAAAATATGGTATCCTAGCAACACAGAGGTTACTTACTAAACTCAAATTTGCCCTATCAAATGTAGGAAAGATGTTTTAAAAAAATCAATAATCCCCGAATTGGGGCTGTTTTGCTCAATTGGTAATTCCTGAACAATCCTAAAAAGCCAAACACACAACTTAGTGATAAACGTACAGATAGACAGGTTCAGTGGGACAGTTGGGAGGCATACATAAAGTTCTCCAGCAATGACTGGTTAACCCGCACCCTCTCCACATTGAATATTTCAGTTGTTGAATTGCAAGAAGCCCTTGAGCTCTTGGTAACAAACAGATAACGACTTGAGTACTGGGTCTCTGCTCCAGCGCAAGGATGATACTGGCAACAGGGCTATTTCAAATATTCCCCAAGCCTAAAGTCCTTTAAGAGATCCCTCTCTACATATCTCAAAACAGAATGCACCTGTCATGGTTGATTATATATTTCCTACCTGTTCTATGTAAAATTTTGTATATATTGTGTATTAATATTGATTTTGTATTTTATTGTACCTGTGATAGAATTTATCTTGATTCCAAGGCTCAAGCTTATAGGTGTCATATAATGATATCCTATATTAAAATTGGCTAACTTGGACTCAGGAAATGCTTGATGCTTAACACGACACTTAAGACCATATATGTCTAGTTCCGGGAGCAGAGAGCCCCCACCTGAGATTTCTCTTCTCTAATGTTTTTGTTCTTTCTTAACTTGGAACTTATTTGTTATGTGTACACGACGTTCATCCCTATGTCTTATCTGTACTCCCTTCCTATTACTGTTCTATGAGTATTTGCACGTAAGCACTTACTTTTTAATGTATAAAACCCAGCTGATGAATAAAACGGCAGAGGCTTATTTTGAATACCAACAGGTGTCTGGTGTCTAATTCTCGCTTCTCCAAGTGCACTTGTAACAACAATTTGGGCTTCCTCTGAATATAACAAAGCTCAATATTTGGATCCACAACATACCCTAATGTATCAATGCAGTGTTTTGTGGACCCAGGACATACTTGAAAGCGAGAGAAATCTCAATGTATCCTTCCTGGTAACATATTTTATAAATACATTTACTAAAGTGAGAATTTAAAGTGAATTTCAAATCACAGGCCAACATAGTCAAACTGGAACCATAGCTGGTATAGAGAATGTTTGCAGTTCAGCTTTTTTTCACTTTTAATTTGAAATTCAATTTGATTTCACTTTGAATTCTCACTTTATGAAATAACAGACACAACTGACAGAGAGAAAGGGTGACGGAATGATTTTGAGGTGAGATACACAGGACGAGGGGGGAGGGTGTTGATGGCATAAGGGGCTGAGTGATACTGGGAGAAGACTGAGAGACAAATGAAGAAGTTGAAATGCACATAGGGATGTTTTAAATAGACAGGAATGGCAGCCTTCCTTGACACATGTCTATGCATGGATGGGAAGCACAAGAAAAATACTGCCCCATTCAAATCCACTAATTAATCCTGGAGGAATCCTGCAGCATGTGAAGTTTAGAAATTGACGAGGGAATTGCATGTTTTAGACCAAAGATGCCAAACTGGAAAATGGATCCGCTATTTTTTCCCCGTGTGATTATTCTGGACTATAATTTGCCATTCCTACATTTATAATACAAGCCTCTAAGTGGTTGTTTGGAGCATATTAAATGCCTCATTTAAACTGTCTTACAGAACAGTACTTAGAAGTACAGTTTAGGCACCATAACAACTTGATTGAAATGAAGTTGTTATGGTTCCAGTGTGTCGCTGTCACCTTAAGGGATTAAACCGCTCTCAAATGGCATAATCCCAAAGTCTTTTTTTTTTCAGAGCAAAATTGGGCAGGGGCGCTGCTGATTGCCTGAGAGCCGTCAACTGAATCAGCAAATCCCCATTCATAAAGCGTCTTGATTCTGCAACAGCCTTCTGGTTTAGAGATGAAGTTGTTATGATGTTCCTTTAACATAAGTGAGCCGGGAGTATATTAAGTATTTAATAACAGGTTTCAGTCTACTTGCTGTGAATCTCATTACTCTGTGGGTGTTTGGACATACATTCATCTTAACATAAAATGGCATCATTTTTTAATTGGCAGGTTTCTATTTGAATAGTCAGCAAGTGCTTCCATTTACTTTAAATTCTTTTTTAGATTCCTTTAATTCCCAAGCTTCTGTTTCCAGATTATCAGAAACTCAACGCTCAGCATTATTGCAGAGTCCCTTTAAATGCTAGGTTATTTTATAAGAGCCACAGAAAGTCCATGGGGACTAATAAAATTTGATTTTATTAAAGGACACGGAGGCTCCTATTATGCTTATTCTCTTTCTTTATTCCTCAGCAGCAAAAGAGAGAGATATTGTAAATATTCAACAAAATTTAAATAATAACGTCATTTACCCCAAAGGGTTAACCACATATAACACATTAACCAATGAGAGTGTCCCTATCCTACTAATGTCCCATGTGACCTTGAGCCACTCCTCTTTCTTTTGCTGCTACCTCCTCAGCTAAGTACAATTTTACATCTCTCTACATATTTGGAAAATTATCTATTTATCTCTGTTTAGTTTGGGTACATTTGCCTTTAATTAAACCTTGTTGCATTATCTATGCCTTATTTGTCCTTTTTTTGTGGTAAATTATTGTTTTTTTAATTACTGTTCTATTACTGTTTTTTCCCCCTTTCCCTCCCTCACCCCTGCTTTTCCTCCCTCACCCCTGCTTTCCCTCAGTCACCTGATCGGTTTGATTATCTTCCAACCACGTTTTTACCATCCTGCCTTGAAGGGACCTCAGCCCGAGGCTCCCTCCTCGCACCGGGTACCGTTTCCCGCGGTCCAGGCGGTTCCCGGCGTTAGCAGCGTCTAAGTGCCGCTCGCGCATGCGCACATTGCGAATGCGCATCGAGGCGGCCATATTTTTATTGGTGGTTTTGCCGCGCTTTTCCTAACGCGGCCAATACGCTCACCTGGGGGCGGGAACATATCTGTGTTACTAGGCACGTCACCGGTGCTCCCCAGGACCTTATTCCTGAGGGAACACTCGGTGAGCCTGCTCTACTGCTCTAATTGTGCCTAGTTTTTCCTTGTTATGCAACTTTGAGTAGTGTTTAACTTGTGCCTCTTAAAGCTGTATTGCTTAAATAGCTTGTGCCTCTTAAAGCTGTATTGCTTAAATAGCTTGTGCCTCTCCAGCTGTTGGCTTAATTAGCTACCTGCTAAACTGTCACACTCCTAGTCCACAGATAGTAATGCCCAGTTAAGGATAAAACTATTTATCTGTCGGTCATTTAATCCTTTCCTCCTGTCCATGCAATCAAATAAAATGAGTGATATTTCTGGCTCTGCCACCAACGTCACCGTAACCCCTAAACCGCTCCCAAAATTCAAAACTCCCATAACGATTGAAGGGCCACAGGAGCAAATGGACTCTGAAGAGTTGCATTCCCTCCTGGACATGGCTATGACGAAGTCCGTGACACAGGCTATATTTACCGCTATGGGGGCCACATCAGACAATATCTCCCTGTCAATTACCAAGGCACTGAAATCCTCCACTTCTAACCCCCCAGAGGATAATCCGGTAGCCCCTAGAGGGCGTAAAGCCATCAAAAAGTCCCACCACCTGGACGAAAATGCCTCCAAAACATTACAGACGGACAGGGTACGTCCTGTCACAGATCATGTGGTTGAACCACAACAAAGAGCCCCCCACCAGGCAAAATCGGTGAGGAATTGGAAAAGGGCTAGAGTTTAGGCACCATAAACTCTGCGAGACCTTATGGCGATTGAATCCTCCGAATCTGAGTCGGAGCAAGAGGAGGCACAGAGCGAATCCGATGAGGAGGACTCTTATGATCCCAGCTTTTATCTCCCTGAGCACAGCTCTGTGACAGGAGCGGGAGCAGACTCCAAAGATGGAGTAGACGACTCCGCCCTGGTTGATCCTCAAGGTGAGCCAGTTTTTGACCCCAACACCTTACAACACCCGAGATCCGCGAGTGGTATCCCCTAGAGCACGTTGCGAAATATATCGCTGCTCGTATTAGAAAACCACTCGACAAGGTGGCACGGAGCAAACTCCGGTGGAATGCCCACGCCCTACTATTCCTGATATGGCATGCACCACCCCTGACGTAGACCCAAAAATTGCCCAATTCTTAGGGAAATCAGGCTGGAAAGCCAAGAAGGGCCTGGATTTTGCCTGGCGGAATTGTCAGGACAAGGTCCTGGATGTCCTAGGGCCATTTGCAAAAATGTTCGACATGGTTGAAAGCACAATAACAGGTGGTACAGCGGTGAATTTAGAGGCACTCAGGGGGTGGATCCAGCGAGCCATATGTCTGTTGGGCAACGCCAATACGGCGGTAGCCACAGAAAGGTGCAAGGCAATCTTGATAAAAATAGAAGCTAAGCTAGTGAACCTAGCTATTTCTGAGCCTGGACCCCAGGCAAAAGCCCTCCTATTTGGAGATAATTTTATTAAAGAGCTAGGCACATATGTAGGCACCTTTACGGCACTTGATAAAGCTCAGGCCAACATGAAACAAGTGTTCCACCAGAGAGTTTTTGGTCGGGGCCGTCTGCCCGTCCAAGCACCCCAGGGGTTCATATTGGGGCTACCGAGGCCCCATACAGTCCAGGCTTACAGCACCTGAACCCAGAACTACCACACCGTTCTTCTCAGTCTGGGGAAGACCATGGCAGTCTCGGGGACCCAGAGGTTCTATGCCTCGGCATCTGGCTTCACTAACTATGGTGGGGGGCAGACTGTGTAATTTTGTCACTGTATGGCGCAATCTCTCTGCAGATGCATGGATCCTTCACACTGTTCAGGGATACTCTATAGATTTTGTACACTACCCTGTTCAAATACAACCCCCAAACCGCATGGTGTTTCCCACTTACGACCAATACCTAATATCTCAAGAAGTCCAAGCCTTAGCCTCCAAGGACGCTTTTGCAGAAGTCCACCCTCTCACACCGGGTTTCTTAAGCAATCTCTTCCTGGTTCCCAAAAAGGGCAGTGGCGTCTGTCCAGTCATCAACCTACGACCCCTAAACATGTTTGTCACATACCACCATTTCAAGATGGAAGGTATCCACTCTCTACGAGATCTCCTGCTTAAAGGGGACTGGATGGTAAAGCTCGACTTGAAGGATGCATACCTCACGGTTCCGATGGCTGAAGAGTGCCAAAACTTCCTACAATTCCAATGGAAAGAGACCTTATGGCGATTCAAATGCCTACCGTTCGGCCTATCGTCGGCACCATGGTGCTTCACGAAGCTCATGAAACCAGTGGTCGCCCTCCTATGCAGCAGAGGAGTTCGACTCATAATATATCTGGATGATATCCTCATAATGGCACAAGACCCTCATCTGCTCCATGAACATTTCACTATAGATGCTGTGAACGGGGCACTCCTACTCCCAACAGCCAAAGTCAAATCCATCAAAAAGGAAATCAGGCGGACGTTAGCACGTCCCATTCTTACCTTGCGACAACTGGCCAGGATTGTCAGCCTCCTCTCAGCGTCAATCCAAGCCATATTCCCTGGGCCTCTGCACTACAGGGCACTCCAACGACTGAAAGCCAAATATCTTCACTCAAAGCACTCATACTCAGACTCTGTTCCTCTCGACTGCACCGCCAAAGAGGAACTCAGCCGAGCGATCTTCGGAACCACCCCAGACATCATAGTGGAATCCGATGCAAGCATGCTCGGCTGGGGAGCGCGCTGTGGAGCTATCTCCACCGGAGGAAAATGGTCCCTACAGGAACAGAAACTACATATCAACTGCCTCGAACTGCTAGCAGGATCGTTTGCTCTACGGAGTCTTTTATGTATAGCGACCAACTGCTCCATTCTATTACCCATGGACAATATATCAGAGGTCCGATATATCAACCACCTCGGGGGCACCAGGTCAACAATACTAGCAGAACTGGCGAAAGATTTCTGGCAATTCTGTCTGGACCGGAACATTTCGGTACAAGCAGAGTACATTCCGGGGATGTCCAACGTAGTGGCGGATTGGAATTCCAGACACCTACGAGATGCCAGCGACTGGCAGATGAACCCTGTCATCTTCAGCCAATTACAATCACTTTGGGGCCCCCTGGACATCGATCTCTTCGCATCACACTTGAACACACATTTGCCAAAAATTTTCAGCTGGAGGCCAGATCCGGAAGCTCTGGCGATGGACGCTTTCCTCCAACCGTGGCCTAAAACCCGCCACTATGCCTTCCCTCCTTTCTCCCTCATCGCACGAACTCTACTGCATCTGAGATGTCACCGAACCTCCTTGATCCTCATAACCCCCTTTTGGACATCTCAGCCCTGGTTCCCTACGCTCATGGAAATGTCCATGGATCTTCCGAGATTACTACCGGTGACAACCGACCTCGTACAGAATTCCGACGGGAACTCACACCCCCTTTTTACTTCAGGGACATCTCAAGCTCTTGGCATGGCTCCTCTCAGGGGACTCTGCTACATCCCAAATGTTCCACAGGCAACTCTGGATCTCCTGGCAGGAGCTTGGGCCCCAGGAACAAGGAAGTCGTACCTACATGCCTGGAAAGAATGGAATAGTTGGTGCATGGAACAACACGTGGATCCCATATCTGCAAATGTGAGTCAGGTTCTGAGTATCCTGACTTCGCTTTACGACTATGGTCTGGCATATCATACAATCAACTTATATAGATCAGCGATTTCGGCAGGCCATCAAGGCTGGAATGGACTCCAAGCAGGAAAGCACCCAGTGTGTGTCGACTTCTACGTGGCATCAAGTTTGCACGCCCACCAAGACCTAAATATGCAACCTTGTGGGATGTTGGCCTAGTTCTCTGACTTTTTGAAAATTCGCCAAGAAATGAGGAACTCTCGATCAAGCAGCTCACTGCTAAGTTGGTTACGCTATTGTGTCTAATCTTCTGTAAACTTGTCTCAGATGTCCGAGCACTGGACCTCCCAGCACGCTCGTTTACACCAGAAGGTGTCTCCTTCAACACATCGAGACGTACGAAGACATCCATTACATCAGTCTTCTACCCAGCCTTTCCACATAACGTTAATTTATGTCTAGTAGCCTGTCTCAAGGAATATGAGGCAAGGACCGTCTCAATTCGTGATTCCGGTTTCTACTATTACCATATCTCGCTGGGTTAAATGGATCATGGAGTCGGCGGGCATTGATACCTCCATGTATGGAGCACACTCAGTAAGGGGTGCTATGGCATCAAAAGCCTTTTCTGTAGGTTGTAGGCTAGAAGACCTCCTCCGTGCAGCTGATTGGTCCAGAGAATCTACATTCCGAGAATTTTATTTCCGACCAATTTCAAATTTTTCCACTTGAACTAGCATAATAGGAGCCTCCGTGTCCTCTAATAAAATTACCAGATTTTACTAATTTCATGACATAAAGTCATGATTTTATAAAGGACACGGAGGTGAGTATTATCCCACCCAATCCAGGTAAGTTGCGCCCGCCCTGTGAATATACTGTCATGTAATGGGGCACGGGTTGTGTAATAATGTGATTTTGTTCTTTCACCTGATGACTAGTACTGAAATGACAAATTGGGTTTTGGTAGATAGGATCGTAATATAATATGGAAATAAGATCCAAGAACGTATTTTACCATTTCATTTCTTTGTCTTACAGCCTCCTAATTGGGTTGTCATTCTGGTCCATGCCTGCCCATACAAGTTCAAGCAGAAGGTTGCCTGTTGCATCCGGAGCCCGTTGCTATAAATTTCTGGAAATCACGGTTCTGCACTTTATTGACTACATCTTTTTTCTGTTTGAGGAAGTGTTCGTCGACAACATCAAAAGAAAGAGGAGTGGCTTAAGGTCACATAGGACATTAGTAGGATAGGGACACTCTCATTGGTTAATGTGTTATATGTGGTTAACCCTTTGAGGTAAATGACGTTATTATTTCAATTTTGTTGAATATTTACAATATCTCTCTCTTTTGCTGCTGAGGAATAAAGAAAGAGAATAAGCATAATACTCGCCTCTGTGTCCTTTATAAAATCATGATTTTACGTCATGAAATTAGTAAAATCTGGTAATTGCGATATAAAAAAGGACTTTCTTGTTTCAAATCCATCACAGTTTGAGAATACAAGGACATTTTTTATCATATTAACTCCTTCAGCAAAGGCTGAATATGAGGTACTGCAAAATATCAAATACAAAACTTTGAATCTCTTTTACACACAAAAAATAAGTAAACATTTTACATTTGTTATCTGTCTGCCTATTTGTCCATCCATCTGTCTGTCTGCCTATGTGGATTTGTGTTTAGTTGATAAATTTAACAAGCCCAACTATTACATGTAATGTAATTTTGCAGATACAAATAAGCAAAAGAAAGACAAGTCATTTGAAATGCAAATAATAAAAAATTGGCATACAGTCATGGTTGCTTGCATATTCAATATTTTTTTTTTCTCTATGTAAATCTTTAAAATATTTGCAAAAGTATAATTAAATTCCGAAATTTTTCTGTGCTATGGAAAATAACTTAAAGACAATTAATAAACACAAAATTTTAGTGAAGCAAAACCTAGTAGCAAAATTAAGGCTAACATTTACTCTGCTATTTATGAATACATTTTGCAAATCGGTTTTCAATGCACCACATTTCATTGTATGTTTCCTCTCATGACACTTGATGAGCCAGAACTGTCAGGATGTAATAGAATTTGCCTATTCCTTTGTCTTGAAAGGGTTAATAAATCTTGCTAACAAAGCTATATTTGTAAAGGCAAAAATAATGATTCCTGGGTAATCATAGCAGCATCACTCATAGGTAGCTCCACCCCCAGCCGGATCAGAACAGGAAACAATTAACTAGACTGGAGGCACAAAAGGTCCCTCCTCCTTCCATACCTCAGTCCTTTTTCTGTCCTCAGTCGGACAACAGGAATTTACATTCTGACTAATTTTATTTTTTGTCAACCTTCAAATCTTGGGCAACTAATCATGAAGTGGATTTTTTGCAACCTTCTCAAAACCATATTCTGGAATTTATTCTGGAAGTAGGATTGGATAAGGGATTGAGTCTGAGTACTCTGAAGATTCAGTGCTCTACGCTTTCTGCCATTTGTAATGTGTCTTGGGCATCTAATCCTTTGATTACTAGATTTTTAAAGGCAACTTTGCGTATCAGACCTCCTAAACGCAATTTTACACCTCCATGGGATCTTCCTCTGATCCTGGACGTGTTGTCCGCTAGAAGAATTGGACCTTACCACCCTGACGTTTAAGAAACTCTTTTTGATAGCTATTACTCATCTAGGAGAATGTCAGAGATTAAAGGTTTTTCTTGCGAGGTCAATTACACTCAGGTGTTTCATGACAGAGTGGTTTTAAGAACCAAACAGGAGTTTCTGCCTAAGGTGGTTTCTACCTTTTCTACCTTATGCAAGATATTGTTTTACCATTATTTTGTCCTGATCCCTCCTCTGGATTGGAGGTTAAACTTCACAATTTGGAAGTAAGGGAATGTTTGATTAGATACTTGCAGGTTTCAGGGTCTTGTCGGAAGACTGATCAATTGTTTATTATTCCTGCTGGATCCAGGAAAGGTGAAGTGGCATCTTCTTCTACACTCAGAAGATGGATTTCTAACATTATCGCAGAGGCTTACACTTTTAGGGATTAGATTCCTCCAGAGAAAATTAAGTCTCACTCTACTAGATCCTTGGCGACTTCTTCAGCTAACTTGGCAAAGGTTTCTTCAGAGGACATCTGCAGGGCAGCAACTTGGTCTTCTCCCATGACCTTTTATTAAAGGGACTCTCCAGTGCCAGGAAAAATAACCCATTTTCCTGGCACTAGGGAATCCTACAGTGCCCCCCTCCCTCCTGCCCCGCATCCCATGTTGCTGAAAGTGTTAAAACCTCTTCAGACACTTACCTGAATCCAGCGCCGATGTTCCTCGGCACTGGAACAGGCTCCGCCTACGCTCCTCCACCGCTGATGTCCGCCAGTGGTGGAGACCTAATGTGCGGCAATGGCCACACATTAGACCTCCCCATAGGAAAGCATTATTCAATGCTTACCTATGGGGATTCCGGCGATGCTGGAGGTGACGTCCAGCGTCATTTAAGCGATTAAAAAGTCGTTTAAGAACCTGAAAGTCCCCCTAGTGGCTGCAATAATTACACTTGCAGGGTTAAGGATGATGGGAGATGGCACCCAGACCACTCCAATGGGCAGGGTGCCTGGAGTGTCCCTTTAAGCATTACAAACTGGATGTGGCCTCTTCTGCCACTAAATTTATAAGTTGTGTATTGGCTTCTGTTTCTTCTGTATAATAAATATTGGGTATTTTTTGCAGTATTATTGAGTTCTGGTTATTTGTTACCCCCCCTCTTTTTATATTTTAGCTTGGGTAATACCCATAAGTGATGCTGCCATGATTAGCCAGGAATACCAAAATTTTATTTCATACTTACCAGTACATTTCTTTTCCTGGCTATTTATCATGGCAGCATCAGATTCCTTCGGTTGTATATGAACTTTTCAATTGGACTGAGGTATGGAAGGACCTTTTATGCCTACAGTCTACTCTAGTTAATTGTGTACCACACAACAGAGCACCAGCCAAGGATATCATGTCCAGTGGTATATTTTGGATATGTGCTGCCCTAGGCAGGACGAAACTTGTGCACCTCCCCCCATCTAAATTTGCCCCGCGCCTACCTGTTTAAAACGAACACGCAGTTTGACTGACAGACACACACTGACACATCCATTCACTGACAGGCACACACTCTCAGATACACATACAGTGACATACATTCACTGACCGACACACACTGGCAAACACATACATTCACTAACAGATGCACACTCACTCACAGACATACACTGACAGACACAGTGACCCTCACAGACACAGTGACAGGAACACTCAGTTGGAAACACAGTGACAGACATGTACACATTCACTCACAGACACACACACATATATTCACTGACAGATACACAAATTGACTCACAGACACACACACACACACACACACATGAACTGAAACACACACACACATTCACTCACAGACATACACACATTCACTGACACACACACATTCACTGACAGACACACATACATTTACTGATAGACACAGACACACATTCACTGATAGACACACACACACACATTCACTGACAGATACCCTGATACTGAGACACTCACACACCTACAAAGTATTAGATATATTTTTAAAATTTTAATTTTAATCCACCCAGCCTCCATACCTTTGGGAGAGCTGGAGTGGAATCTTCCCTGGGGTCCAGTGGGGCGTGCTGGGCTGGCTGCTGGTGGCTGGGCGGCAGGGCGTGAGGCTAGGCAGGCACACAGTTGTAATCCTCCTGCTCAGCTCCCTCGCGCACTGCTCAGTGATGCAGGGAGCCGGAGTGACATCATATCCAGGCTCCCAGCATCACTGCATGGTGGGAGGGAGCTGAGCAGGAAAAGCTCAGAGGACCATGCTCTCTCCTCCCTCCCCTGCTGCACTGTGAGCATTTGAAAGCCTCAGGGGGCCCTCTGGTGGCCAGCCGGCCACCTCTTGGGCCCCTCATAAAAGAGGCTAACAGGGCATCTGCCAGGGCGCTTAGGTGGCGGCTATTTTTGCCGCCACCCTAAAATGCCGCCCAAGGCAAATGCCTTGTTAGCCTCGTGGGAAATACGCCACTGGTCACATCCGGTTCCCAAAATTGTGACTGTCCTGATTCGGGACAATTGGAAGGTGCACTAATATTCTGATATATTAAAATAAAGTAAACTGAGTAACATACATGTGACAGAGCTCAGTACTCAGCTTCAGTAACTCCCTCCTTTTTGGCATTACACTTTCACTGATTCTAGCAACTCACCCAAACATCAGCCAAAACTTGCTAAAGAATGAAAACATTCCACCAACTCACACATATTTATACTGGGCACAATGTATATTATATATGCAGGGAGTGATTAACAGAACAACAGCAGTTCTCTCCCCAGCACCACCAAGTCTGAGTATGAACTGTTAACTCGGTTCTCCCAGGTTGATTTAATTATGTTCAGTCTTTCCTTCCCAGACAGCGACAATAAAATAGTTTATTGACATTTTTGAGGCTGGCCTCCAGGCTCCTCTGCAAACTACTGAAACTGAGGCATCCATTACAATAAAGATATATATATATATATATATATATATATATATATATACGATTTTTCCTTCTTATTTGTTTCATGAACAGTTCTACCATAATATGTTATGGTACCTGAGCTCACTTCAGTGCCCCACACCTCCTATAGTCCACGTTACATGAACATAATATAAATTACTAAATAAAAACGATTCTGAAGGAAAACAAATAGCATATAAATTGCACAAATCTCAGTTAGCTACCAGGCTATGCAGGACAAAAAAAAACCCCTGACAAATTCCAAAATCTATATCAGTTAATTAAAACATTGAAAACACCTATATCTTGTGTTAAACCTCTCCATGTAATGCTCCATTTTCTTTTAAATGGATATCAAATATTTAGCATATTCCATCATAATCCATTCTGTTTCTAACTGGATGGCTGCTCATGTCCTCAAACTCAACCGTTCTAAAACAGAACTTTGCATCTATCCACCATCAAGCACTGCTACTCCCGTGTCTCCCTCCCTCTAAGTTAACGGCCCTACCTTCAGCTCTACCTCGCAAGGTCACTGCCTAGGTGTTCTCTTCGATTCCAACCTCTCCTTCCCCTCTCATGTCCAGTCAGTTAACCAAATCCTGCCACCTCCATCTCAAAAACATAGCTAACTTCCAACCCTACCTAATACTAAATGTATAAAAGGTGATAGTCCATGCCGCTAACATCACCCCCTCTTGACTACTGAAATCCGTTTCCCACTATTCTTATTCATTCCCAGCTTGCCGTGTTACAGTCTAAAAGAATGCTGTTCATATTCCTGTTTTCCCACACCTTCCCCATCTGTCAGTTCTTACATTGGCTTCCCGTAAGAAATATTGCTTAAAGGGACACTATAGTCACCTGAACAACTTTAGCTTAATGAAGCAGTTTTGGTGTATAGAACATGCCCCTGCAGCCTCACTGCTCAATCCTCTGCCATTTATGAGTTAAATCCCTTTGTTTATGAACCCTAGTCACACCTCCCTGCATGTGACTTGCACAGCCTTCCATAAACACTTCCTGTAAAGAGAGTGCTATTTAGGCCTTCCTTTTTGCAAGTTCTGTTTAATTAAAATTTTCTTATCCCCTGCTATGTTAATAGCTTGCTAGACCCTGCAAGAGCCTCCTGGATGTGATTAAAGTTCAATTTAGAGATTGAGATACAATTATTTAAGGTAAATTACATCTGTTTGAAAGTCAAACCAGTTTTTTTTTCATGCAGGCTCTGTCAATCATAGCCAGGGGAGGTGTGGCTAGGGCTGCATAAACAGAAACAAAGTGATTTAACTCCTAAATGACAGTGAATTGAGCAGTAAAATTGCAGGGGAATGATCTATACACTAAAACTGCTTCATTTAGCTAAAGTAATTTATGACTATAGTGTTCAAATTCTAGTACTTGCTTATACCTACCTCTTCTTACTAACAGATTTCTCCCCCAACCAGTGGTGTATTTCCCACGAGGCTAACAAGGCATTTGCCTTGGATGGCACTTTTAGGGGGGCGGCAAAAATAGCCGCCTCTAAGCGCACTGGCAGATGCCCCGTTAGCCTCTTTTATGAGGAGCCCAAGAGCTGGCCGGCTGGCTACCACAGGGCCCCCTGAGGCTTTCAAATGCTCATAGTGCAGCGGTGGGGGGAAGGGGAGAGCATGGTCCTCTGAGCTTTTCCTGCTCAGCTCCCTCGCGCCCTGCAGTAATGTCACTCCGGCTCCCGGCATCACTGAATGGCGAGCTAGAGAGCTGAGCTGGAGGATTACAGCTAACTCGCTACCACTACCACAACTGTGTGCCTGCCTAGCGGCATGTCCTGCCACCCAGCCACCTGCAGCCAACCCAGCAAGCACAGCTGGGCCCCAGGGAAGAATCCACTCCAGCTCTCCCAAAGGTAGGGAGGCTAGGTGTATTAAAATTAAAATTTTAAAAATATATCTAATACTTTGAAGGTGTGTGAGTGTGTCAGTATCAGGGTGTCTGTCAGTGAATGTGTGTGTGTGTGTGTATGTCTGTCAGTGAATGTGTGTATCTGTGAGTGAATAAAAGTGAAGGAAAGAGAGAAGGGGGGTGCTCAAAGATAATACAATAATATACTTATATCAGTACATCAATAATTCAATCAGTATGTCACTGGATCAATCTAGAAAAAATTAACAGAATATACATAGCATAATACTGTAAGGAAGGATTGTACACCAACAATGCAGAGGTAATGGGTCACTCACGATATGTAGAGCCTTAAAAAGTATTTTACCATTTATTATTAATTGTATTTTTATATGAGCGGATCCATATGGACCTAAATGCCATTTTCAAAAATGGCGTTTGTACACGACTTTATCCGGGTCAAAGAGCGGACGGCGTCAAAAGACTGGAAGTCGGAGAATTTGCCCGGGAACTTCAATTTCCGAATAGGATCTATTTAAATGTTGCCGGGAACTGTTATGACATATGCACCTTTGAAGAAGACGAAAAGTCGGAACGCGTTGTGACCATTGTATGCTGTTTATTTTATTTTATGTCAGAATAAAAGTTTTTATATCCCTATCCATTCGGCTGTGATTGTCGTGGTGTGGTGGAAGGAAGTACTTGGCGAAATTATAAGCTGATACAGCTGGGAGGAGCAGACTGGTTGACAAACTATTACAGTTAGAGCCTGCTTTTTAAGGCTCTACATATCGTGAGTGACCCATTACCTCTGCATTGTTGGTGTACAATCCTTCCTTACAGTATTATGCTATGTATATTCTGTTCATTTTTTCTAGATTGATCCAGTGACATACTGATTGAATTATTGATGTACTGATATAAGTATATTATTGTATTATTATCTTTGAGCACCCCCCTTCTCTCTTTCCTTCACTTTTATGTACTTGTATAGTGCCTTTGGTGATTTTTTGGCACTTCGGGGTAGTTGCTGTTCTTCACCTTACTAATAGCGCCAATCCACCTGTATATATTTCTCTTATTGCAAGGAAATATATTTTGTTTGTTTATCTGTGAGTGAATGTGTGTGTCTGTCAGTGAATGTGTGCATGTCTGTCACTGTGTGTCCAAGTGAGTGTTCCTTTCACTGTGTCGGTGAGTGAATGTGTGTGTCTGTTAGGGAGTGTGTCTGTCAGTGAATGTATGTCTCTGTATGTGTATCTGAGAGTGTGTGCCTGTCAGTGAATGGGTGTGTCAGTGTGTGTCTGTCAGTCAATCTACGTGTTCGTCTTAAACAGGTAGACGCAGAGCAAATTTAGATGCGGGGTGTGTGCCCGAGTTTCGTCCTGCCTAGGGCAGCACATATCCAAAATACACCACTGCCCCCAACACCTTAGTAACACAGCTTGCTTCCTATCTTGCCACTGTATCAACAACAAAAAATTATTATTTAATTTTAAAATCCTCTCGCAATCTACTTGAAATACATCATACCCACTTGTGTTATTTTACCCCTTTAGAATGTTATTTTCCCCATTTAGAATGTAAGCTCTGTTAAGCGGGGCCCTCAGCACCCTCTTCTCCAGTGTGTCCAACTTGTCTTGTTGCAAGCAAATGCTTGTCTGTTTGTCCACCTGTTTTACAGAGTTGTGGAATTTGTTGGCGCTTTATAAATAATATTAAATAATTCCATCAAGGCATAGCCAAGGCACACAATTGCAAACGTAGAGGATTTATAACATTTTTGATAAATATAGGGAAGGGCGAACATAATATTAATCACCTTGGAAAGTGACACTTCCCCTTTAAATATGCATCCATTTAAAAAAATGTATTAAAAATGCTTTTCACAGATTAAACATTGAGAGATATTGAGAGATATCTCACTATTTTCTTTCCTGGTGAAATGCTTTTTAAATGCAAAAATTATGCCAAGTAAATAAGTTACAAATAATTTAATTTTTTTTAAATTGTACTTCAGTGTGACTTGCTGGAGGGCTTTTTTCAAGGTGTGCAGATGTAATTTTCTCATTTACATGAATTACCTCAAAAAAATTAAATTAGAAAAAGAAGATTGCAAATTATAGCCAGTGGAAATTAAATTGTATTAACACAAGTTAACTATAAACTATGTTGTTTTTTTTAGTGTTAAAAGAAGACTATAATGTTGGGAATACAAAACTGTATTTCAAATGCTATAGAGTCTCTGTCCCTAGTTCTATATAGGTCCCCCCACCCCCCGTGCGATGTAAAAAGTAATAAATTAAATGGTTACTCTGTCGGTACTGTTCACCTTTATTGTCTCCCATGACATCATTACGGCACGGCCTCCTCCATAATGGTCCAATCAAATGTTCCCCAAAGAGAAGCATTGGGGACCTAATGCGCATGCTTGGCGAGTGCCGTATGTATCTAAGCTTTTCATAACTTTCCGAGGGGCTTCTGAGTCACATTTAATTCGGCCAGTGTCCCTCTAGTGGCTGTAAAGATAAAAGCCATTTTAGAAGTGGATTTAACCCTGCAATGTAAACACTGAATTTTTTTTTTTAAATGCAATGCATTAATAAAAGGACAGGGCCATTGCACAATACTGTAGTGGAATATTCTAATTAACACAAAAAAGGGTTAGAGAAATATTTTAATTATTTCTTTGTTTAGCAGACAGCAATCTGCAGAGATGGTGATCTCTGTGTGCCTGATTATCGACACTAGAGTCTCCAGCTGGTGGTGTAGAGAATGGTGAAATAGGGGCAGGCGTTGTAGAGCCAGGTGTTCAAAAGACTTGTGGTGCAGAATAAGATGGCATAGAGCATCTGGTACAAGTGGAGAAGAGAACTCTGGTACAGGAGAACAGGTAGTTGGGCCAGGTGATAAAACTAGTGGTGCTGATAGTGTAACAATTACATCTCTCTCTTGGGCTTCTTCTTGCTTGTCCAAATGGGTTATATTGTATTATGATGCCAGTTATCTCCTTACTCCCTGCAGGTGCCTGATCAGCTTGTTGAAGAATTGACATTTGGGAAGCTGACTGGCATAAAGGCCACATTCCCATGCAGATATCTCCTCATTTTTTGTTTTTGTGCAATCCATTGTAGAAGGTACAATTCAGTGGCAAACAATTGCATAGTCCAGCTTAAAAAAAAAAAAAAAAGACATCTACTGTCTGTAAAGTATGTAAAATCATCTAAAATAGCAAAATAACTGAGATTTACTTACAAAATATAATCATGCATTGCACAAGCCTGCCACTATTTACAAAGCAAGCTGTTTATGGCATAATCTAACCAGCCTTACGGTATATGTAGGTTCAAATCTATGCTCTCTTTCTGTTCTTTCTATATATCTAGTAGCAAGTGAAAGATACACTAACAGGTCTCTGCGTAATATGTTTCAGGCCTTTATCTAGCGTGCATCATTAATTTCCTACTATCAAAGTATGCCTTGGCAAGCAAGGGTGAAGTGGTGGTATGCTGCCTGTGATGTGCATGGCCGTAAAGGGGTGTGTCATTTGGCACGCAATGCATGCCAGCTTGTAGGCTGCTTGGCAAGGCGGTCAAGCAAGGCTGCCTACACACAGAGTGTTTCCGAACCGTTTGCATAACTTGTTACAGTAATAAAAGAGCCTAGCTTTCCATAGGCAAAGGATTATCATCCATTACAGTTATGGACTACAATTCACATGATGCTCAGGACTTGAGACTGGCTATATTCTGAGACTTATTGTCATTAGCCTGGGAGCCAGATTTGCTGGTCTTTCTCTGGGTTGGGAAAAGGAGCGGAATAACTCCAATATTGAGGCCTTCTATATTCTTACAACAAACATAGCACTTTCCGGCAGAGGCTCTTAATATTTATAAGGCAATTAACCTTAAACAATGAAATTCCATATTTTATTCTTACTGATTAAACATTGCTGTGCAAACGTGTGGGATATGCAGCTCTCTGAAGACCATCCCTTCCAAATTATAGAAGGGCTGCCGCATCTGTTGAGAATCTAAAAATTAGATTTAAATGTGAGTAACAGTCTGTAAATTACACCTGCTACCAAATAAGGACTTCACATTTATTGAGAGAGAATTGAAATTGTCTCTGTTTTACATTGCCATTGTTGGAATTTCTTGCATGGATGGATTTCCCATTAGCACTGGAGGCACCTGCCTACAGGTGCCTATTCACATTACTTATAATGAGCTTTTTGGAGGTTAGGTGAGCTGGTGAGGGGAAATAAGTACCAGGAGGAACCTTGGCCGGTGTCCTCTGTATTCCAGTCCTATACTTCATATTAGACCTGCAGCAACAGTTATAGAGAGTGTAAGAGCTCCTCCAGTGTCTGAGTGTGAGGCTGGACAGGAAGTGGAAGGGATCACTTCCCATCTGCCCTCTATCAGCCTCTCACACAGAAAATGCCTTGTAGGAGGAGCAGGGATAGCACTGAGTGACACACACTGTATAACAGCTCCTGCATCTCTGTTATCATTCACAGGAGGGTGAGTACTGTGCAAATAACCATTTAAACTATATATGCATACAAAAATGTTTTTTGCTAAATTTAACACCTCTCAAAACTTTCTTTAGTACAAATTTAAGCACTAAAAGACTGAACCTGAATCAATTAAGTGCACCATGTACCCAAATACTAAATGTAATACCACCCTTAACCCAATAATTCTAATCAGCCCTTATACCACAACTATAAACCCTCTCAAGCTTTTAACCATTTAAACTCTAAACACCCTACGTAATATAACTGTATTATGATAAAATTGGATTGTTGCAGTCCACTCACGGCTCTCAGCATGACTTGGAACTGCAGCAATTGCAAAAATCACTGTAGCTCTAACCTTGTCTGTTAGAACTGTCAACTTTGGTCCAAGCTTTGTGTACAGCATGCACATCTTGGACTGAACTCTCTCTAACATGCACAAACCATATCTCTGCTCTGCGCTGAGCATAGGTCCCATAGGCCTCCTAACGGTCCAATTCTGGTGGGCCAGTCCCTCTTTTAGGGTCTTGTTCCACCTTCCAGTTCCAAAACCGATACCCAAATTCTATGACTGGTGTATATATATATTTATTTTTTTAAAAGCTGACAAAACATATTTATTAATGTTGCTGCTATGTCTCAAAGAAATCTAATCTCTGGTACTGTGGATCATAGCCGTCGTTTAACAGTATCAGGAAGTGATTCCTTAAAGCAGCACTGTCCCTTTGCAATTTTATTTTGAAATGAACCCTTTTTATCCTTCTATTTCCCCTCACATTTGTTTGTTTTTTGTTTTTTTAATTTCACCTAGGAACTACTTGTTCTTATGTAGTGCATGATAGTTGGCAATCTTTGCCAGGTGGCAACGCTTAAAGGACAATTGTCATCAATTTTTGACTTTCATTTCTAAAAGTTTAAAAAAAATTACTTTGAAAGGTCAATATAAATGATTTAAAAACAAATCATTAAGTTTAATTAAAGTAATACACTTAAAGAAACCAGAAGTGAAAATTTGATGACAGTTGTCCTCTAAGGTTCTGTTTTAGTTGCCATAGTAATTTACCCACAATCCACCAGTCAAAAGAATCCCACAGAAGGACTAACTGCAGACATCACAGGAGGAGAACAAATATCTGGTGCAAGGAAGAAAATATAATAAATACATATAAAGAAAGGCAAAGGGGGATGAGTGTAATCAAGCTGAAAAAGAGAGCTGACAGAATAAAATTGAGATACAAATCAGTTTGAAACAATATCTTCAATGTTTAAATATTTTGTCTAACAAAACTATAATTGCTTTAGATGTAATTGCTGCTTTGCTAATTGCTTCACAATTTTCCAATATACAGGGATCTAATCACTAAATGCCGATTTGGCATATTATTATCTATATCAGCTGAAATGGATTAAAAAAAACAACAAACAAAACATTTGGCAATTAAAATTCAGTTCTGCGATAAGCCGCGTTCCTATCAAAGGTAAATTCTATCCAAGGCCAAAATCTATTATAAAACCAAATTAAACCCAAACTGGTAATAACATGGGCAGTTCAATTTACAACCTGTTTGGATAGTGACACTGGTGGGGTTACCCCAGAACCCCCGAAATCTACGACCTATAAATTTGAATGTGTGATGGTTGAAGAGTTTGTCAGTATGAAGGCAGCCATCTTGGTAAACCCTCCATTACATTTACATATAACAAAACCTTTAGAAAGTACGGTATGTCATGATTTGCCAACTTCCATCCACATAGAAATAAGTAATCCTTGAACTTCTCTGACAATGTTATGTGCCCAGTATGCTTAAAGAAAAGCAAAATATAGCTAGACATGGATGGATAGGATGGATGTTAGATAGAACTTATATGCAGTTAAATCAGGATAGATGGCAGAGTTCCATTTAAGTTCTAAAACACTAAACATTCCCTCCTCGACGGCACAGGGAGCCCATTAAGCCAGGTAAAAAAAAGTACCTCGTAATCTCTCAAAGTACCATGAAACGGAATCATTGGCTAGGAGTTTCTTGTGACACCATTTTTCCTTAATCTGCCCATGCATGATTATCTACTAAAAGCAACGATTTTTGCTCGCTTAAGCTAAAAGCCATTTTGATGCTCCATCGACCTTTTTTTTTTTATATTGAAAAACTGGTCAATAAACTTTAATTTAAAAGAAAAAAAAAGAATAGAATAGAAATTGAGAAGCAAGGGAGGTGGGTGGTGGCAAAGTGGGAAACACAAGGGAGATGATGTAATTACAATAATCCAAATCAATACCTAATTACCCTTCCTATATGCGCCCAATCCTTTTAAAGATTATTACATAAGAAAAAAAATAATAATACAGGACAAAATAAATGTATTTGCTACATGTGATATCAAGTAACATTATTAATTTAAAATGTACACTAATACAAAAAAATACATAAACTCATTATACCCTTTGTAATTTTTAGTCTATATTTGTCCTTCACCTTTAGTTCGCTTTTCTTTATTTTTATTTACTCTGTGATATGTATGATAGATAGCCTGATAAAAGTATATGGTTAATCAGACAAGGCTCTTAATGTAAGTCTTTCATTTGTTGTAAAATGGGCGAATTTTTACGACAGAATTGTTAATATTTTGTAACTGATCAAAATGTGCATTTTAGACTTTTACTATTACAATGAAGTATATCACCTGCAAAAATAACATTTTACAAAAATAAATAAATAAATACACATCTTAACTTAACTTAACTTAGGTAGAGAAGTCAGGGTATGTCCACTGTTGCTTTTGATAGTTAAGGAAAAAAAACCTTAATTGGACATTATCCTTTCGGTCATTGACCTTACCTTCTGTGCATGATGTTAACATTATTTTAAATGTAGTAGCCAAGAAAATAATACAAACCGATAATCAACCACTTGTTCAATTAGAGGAAAATACGATCACAGCCAATTATTGATTAAATTTTTTAACATCTCAAACCATACCAGGCAATGGGAAATTCAACTATGGAATTCAGGATAGATGTTATAACCTAGACATGAGTAAAGAAAGTATATAGTGACAAGTGAATGAGACACACCAATCCTGCTGCCTGTCACTCTTGTGTACACATAAGGTATTTTAGGCTCACCTGGATGGACACATCACTGTAGGAGCCCCCTATAACTCCACTGATGGCTGTTGGGGTCTCTCCGTGAATAGCATAGGATCCATCAGGGCAAAGGTGTTGAGGCCCATCTCCTCGTGTCAAGGAACCTCTTACTAGCTCCAGAGCCTGTTCCAGAGCATATGTATCTTTTGAACAGGTGTCAAGGATGTGTGCACCTATTCTGAGCCCTGGAAGCAGTTGTGGGTCTCTATTTATTGAATCCAAGGCAAAAAGCATTGCCTCCAAACGCTGCAAGCCACGGTGCTCATTCATCCTCCCACATTCAGCTCCAGGACCTCCTTTTTCATGTACTGGAAAGAGGCCACCAATTACTACATCTCCATCTACACGTATTTCTGGTCTTGGTGGAGCTCCACCACCACTTTGGCGGGTCAAGACTGGAAGCAGAAGCAAAGTCCAAAGAACTTTCTCCATGAGTACAGTTGATCAGGTCAGGTTTTAACTCAAGTCCAGTTTCCAGTGAGCAGCAAGTTAAACAAATGGTTACTGAAGAGTAAAAAGTAGATCGCGGTTCAGCCAAGTCACCTTCAGAAAACTGGGATAAAAATGGCACAGAATTCTGTACAAAGCCGCAAGTCCTGCAGGGAAATGAAGGACAGATTAAATGTCATTGACTGGTATTGTGAAAACAGAGAGACCAAACACAGAAAAAATGTCAGGGGCAAAAAATACTGGAGGGGAAAGATTGAAGAGACAACAGAAAACTAAAGAGGACATATCTGGAAGACGATACAATGGAGACAAAGTAATAGAGACATAAAATAAAATGACTTTTACCTTGCCGTACTTATGTGCATAACTATGATTAAATTAATTTGGGATTAATAGTGCAGACCTGTATTCGTGCAATACATGAGATTTTTTGAAGATAGTGAATAATGGAAAAAAAACTGTTATAAGAAAGATTCGTGGGGCTTATAGATGGTTTAACAAATATGGTAGGGGTATGACGGGTAGGCAGCAGATCATTAGATTGTCATGTGTTAATATGTCATTCAAGAGATTCATTCTTAATAAAAACCTAAAGGTAGAAGCCAATCTGTACAAGCTGTCATTACTTTTTATGGAAAAATATACTTACTACATGTCCCTAAACCCTTGCAGAGCAGGATGGGGCTTAATGGGCCTGGAGCTGTAAATTACAGTGAGCCTAATTCCAGAATTAGATTTTGTGATTCCACTTTCTTGTACTTAAAAGATCATGAGCCTGAACTCTGTCTGTGACTACATTTTGCAGTCATATATAAAACCCTACCCACAAACTGGAAATTTAAAGCATTTATAATCCACATTTACATGCAGGCTGAGACAAAGAGTTGGGAGAGCAATGGCCACATACTATGAATATGGCACTGAGGACTTCACACTAGCAACATAATAATAATCAAATAAAAAAAGTCTAACATCTTGGGCTTATTGCCAGTATTGTCTGGAGTTTCAGCTCCCAGTAGTCCCTAGATTCATCTACCCTGTTTCCCAGTAAATAAGACATCCCCCAAAAATAAGACCTCGATTTTTTTGGGAGGGATGCTCGTAATAAAAGCCCTACCCCGAAAATAAGCCCTAGTTGCCAATCGCTAGTTTGCTCATCTATGTTCAGGGAATTTTCCCCGAATGTAGATTCGCGGGATTCCAGTCGCAAGTGAGCTAATCTATGTTCGGGGACGTTTCCTCGAGTGTAGATTTGCGTGATTGCATTCACGAGTAAACTAATCTTTGTTCAGGGATGTTTCCTCAAACATAGATTCGCGGGATTCCATGCACTATTGAACTGGTCTATGTTCGGGGGAATTCTCCCAAATGTAGACCTGCTTTCTAGCGCATGCTTGAAACCGTTTCCCCCAAAATAAGACATCCCCCAGGAAAAATTAATATAATACCCTGTCTTATTTTCGGGGAAACACGGTAGTTCTGGAATACACACCAGTGGAATGAACAGGGCTGAGAACAGGTTTGAAAGACTGTATTCCCCTAGATACAATGATCTAAAAACAGATATAAAACTAAGCAAATATTCCGTTCTAAGCATATATTGGATATCTCAATGCATGAACTTTGCTGAAATATTAAAATATATAAAATTAATTATTTTTTTTAAAGTTATCTTATTAGTGAGAGCACAAGAAATTTCTTATAGCTGACTGGTTCAAGTTCATAATGAATAAAAAAGATATTTTAAATATAATATTTACACTTGCACTGGATCTCCATATATCTTCTGTAAAAGGTGACACTTGTGAAAATTGCATATTACCAGGTTGCTTCAAAATCATCGTTGTCTGGCATACCTGATTACAGATAAATCTGGAGAATTTAGAATCATCTTATCTGTATATTGTGTCCGGCTCTCCCCAGTCCCACAAGCATGTAACTGACCTCTTTATTTTTCTCTTATCAAGATTGTGTATTTTTAGACTTTTCTAGGGGCAGGGGCTAATTAGTATATGTCCCCTCTATACATCTATAACTTGAGTGAGTGTGCAATTGACATGTTTATGTCAAAGAAGTTCATTAAGAACAAGCTGAATCAAGCGGCTAAGTCTAGGTCCTTAGGAAAATCAACAAACTGAATTTGCTGCTGAGATTACAAAAAAATATGTAAAATGTGCAAATCTGTTTGTTTGTTTTCCACCAAAACTGCACTTAATGGTCACTATGCATGGATTTGTGGAATGCAGTAATCCAGACTAAATAAATTTTTAAGATTAACTCCTTTGTTGCTATAAATCTTTCTTTAAAAAAATGAAATAAATAAATAAGTGCACCACACTGGAGAAAGGACTGGCGCATTAATGTAAGGCAAACCAGAAATGTAAAAAATACTGTTTGCAATCTTTTTTTCCTTTGTTTTATAGATAATATTAGATAATAAAAATATAAAAATAGATGATGGTTGATTAAAACTGTTTTAGAAATTTCATTGTATCCCATACCTTATATTTCACTCTGGTTGTGAAACAGAAATACAATATTTGTGACATACAGCAGATCAATAACAAGTGTCCAATTCCCTTAAATTGACCAAAAATTTAATCAGGATATTGACATAATGTCTATATTTGGGCATACTCCCTTCATACAGTAAATATAGCAACCTATCTAAAGCCAGTCATCTGTGTTAAACACATTTTTGTTGGCTGTCATTGCATTGCTTTATGAATCAGTTCTAAGTTGGCTCTTTGGAAATATGTATAACAAACAATTTTTTAACTATACTGACTGTGGGCGGTGGGAGGGGTAGTCCCCTTTTGGTTTGTGCATTACCCTCTTCCTACTGTGAATACACACACATTTAGATGCAGAGGACACTGGCAAAAACAAAGAGGGCACTGAAACACTCACACATTTACATCCAGAGTACAATGACATTCACATTTACACACAGAGGACACGTACACACACACACTAAAATACGGAGAATACTGACACATGCACACACACATTTAAACACAGAATACATTGACACATATATTTACATCCAAAGGACACTGACACACACATTTACACACAGAAGACACTGACACGCATACACAACGAACTTTGACACACACACATTTACATCCAGAGTACACTGGCACAGACTTATACACAGAGAAAACGTAAACACGCACGCTCATTTACGCACAGAGGACACTGACACATACACACATGCATACAGAGGACTCTGACACATACACATGAAGGACACTGATACACACGCATTTACACACAGAGGACACTGACACACATGCATACAGAGCATACTGACACAAACTCATTTACACAGTTTCCTCTGTGTGTAAATGTTTGTGTGTCAGTGTCCACTGTGTGAAAATGTGTGTGTATGTCAGTGTCCTCTGACACATTCACACTCACTGACAGACACACTCTTACTGATCTAACACACATTCTCACTGTGACTCACACTGACAAACACATTCACTACACTTAAACACACACATTTACTGAAATGCACACACACTCACTGATTTGACACACACTGACAGACACACATACATTCACTGACAGACACATACACAATCTCTCACACACGCTCACAAATATTTTTATTATTATTATTATTTGAGTCCACCCAGCTTCCTTCTGTTTGGGAGAGCAGGAGTCGATTCTTTCCCTGATGTCTAATATGTGGCTGCTGTCATCTTCGTGCTCCTCCAGCACTGCTCTTTCACATGCTGTTTAGTGATGCCAGGGCCATAGTGAAGTCATAACTGGCTCTCGGAATCACCACAGGGTGCTCGAGTGAGCAGTGCTCCAATATCTTAAAGAGTACAACTTTCTTTGCCGCCTCCATTCTCCCCCAGCCGACCACCTCTTGGCATACCACTTGCCTTTGGTGCGCGTACCCGTATTGGGTACGTATACCACAGGTTGAGAAACTGGTTATAGAGCAAGGGTAGGCAATCTTCAACACTCAGATGTTAAGGACTACATATCTCCTGATGCTTTGCCAGTATTATGGCTTTAAGCGTATTATGGGAGGTCTAGTCCACAACACCTGGAGTGCAAAAGGTTGCCTACCTCTGGTACAGAGGTTTTTTTTTCTAGATGGCTTCAAACGTATATGTACCAATTGGTCCTTAATTGAACTTTAGTGTGTAGACACCTATTCGTAAAAGACACCTTAAGAATCAGTAATTCCATTCTTTAGATTTAATTTCAGTTTTGGGACGCAATATTATGGAACACGATAATCATGGAGAAATGTACTGCCTTTTTACTTGGTAACACTTGGATGTTCCTGAATCCCTGGATTTCAAATGTGACTTCAAGTACCTTTGATGTGCTCTCACCCTTTAATCATTAAATCGTATACATTCTATAAATCTGTACTAAATCATTAATGGATCATAGGAACGTTATGATTTTTTTCCTTTCTTTTTTGTTAGGTATCCATAATTTATTTAATTTTGCTCTGAATTTATTAAAGCGTTAAAGCAGCGTTAAATATTTAATGCTGTCGTTTGTAATAATACCTATTATCTAATAAAATTTCAACTGAGAAAAATTGAATCTAGGAGAAAATTGCTGTCTCCGAGCAGGGAAGGAAAACTATACAAAAATTCAATCTATCAAAGTAACTCATAATAATATAAATTATATTGAAATAATATATAATATAATGTTCTAATGGAAAAAATATACAGATCATTTTAATGGTGATGGCAAATATTTCTATGTTGTTGTGACTAGTCTACTATATTACCAGTCTGAGATATAAACCATCAGTGCAGCTTTGTGTATTCTCAGAAATATAAAGCAATTACTACACCATTCTTCACTCCAAGTCTGATATAATGCAATTAACACATCATTCCTTTTGCCTTAGCAACCATAATATAGGAAGTAGCAATTCCGAATAAGGATGCATTCCTTCCAGCAACCATAGCTTCACCTAGCACTGAAGAAATGTAGTTAATGATTTATAATTTAGGAAGGCAATCCGGTAGGCCTCTCAGATTATCAACAAAAAAGGCAATTTGGTGTACCAATTTAAAAAAAAACATTTTTTCATCTTTGCAGCCTGTTTAAAATAAAAATGGGCAGATCAGGAAGAAAGAAAGTGTCAATTCGACTGATTCAAAAGATTTTGATATAAAGGGTATCTTTCACTTCTCAAGAATTTTGATATTATGCTGATTTATCCCTATATTTAACAAATACTTAATTGTGAGGTGTGGCAAAAAAAAAAATTCAAGATATTAATCCACACCTGTTTATCCTGAAACTTAGCCGCCATTTTAGCTCCCTGTCAGTCATCGTTAAAAGCTCTGTCCTTTTGTACCTTGGCAGTCCGCAAAGAAAAAGCATTCTCGGAAGAGGAACATGAAACTATTTCTATTCTCCTCTGCAAACATTTGCAGTGTTTGCTCTGGCTTTGCCTTATCTGAACTGGATTATGATGTAATTTGCTAAATATTTAAAATAAGTTTAAAAGAAAACCGAGCGTTGCATGCAAAGGAGATTAAAGCAATTTAAAGGTGATTCTCCATGTTTTATTCAACCGTATAAATCCAGAGAAGTGACAGTATTCCTTTGAGCATAAATTGTATTAAAATATACAGTTTTAGTCTTGCACATGTGTTTTTGCAATAATAATACAGAAGGAAAGAATAAAGAATAAAATAAATGTATTTTATATACATAATAAAAGTGAACCAGATTTGGTGAGTTGTTTGTCAGTGTGACCCACACATCACTACATGGTGGATTCTATTCTATTTTTCCCAGATCAAGATGTTATTATAGATACACAGATTCCTAGAATAAATCATGACAACGCGGCCAGCCGGCCGGCCAACATTTTGATGTTCAGTGTAGTGAATCTTGCGGATAAAGGAATCAAATAGCAACGACCATTTGATTCTGTGTTAGTGCACATTTGAATTATCCTTTCATGAGGTTTAGAGAAAAAAAGCAGATTTAGTGTATCACAAAGACTCAAATCTTCATGTTCAAAATATCCCTCTGGGTTCCTGGTCTAATCAGTTATGGTAGTGAAATTATTTTGGCTTATTTTATACAGGTTTAGCTTTTATTCGCTAAACAGTGAATTTGAAAGAAATACTGCAATTTTGTATTCCAATCTCACTATTATGGTCTCCGCTTGCAGCTTAGGGAATAAACCCCTTTATCGTAAAATGCTTTTTCAACTCAATTTTTGATGTCTTAATGTATCATTATTTTATTTATTGTAGTAGGAGGCAGTTTTAAGCTCAGAACGGAACGCCAGAGTGTTTTAAAATGTTTTTTTTTTTTTGTTATTTTCTGTTCTTTTTTTTAATGTTTCAATTGTTTTAGCTTCCATTAGTGGAGAATGTTTGTTTCGTGTTCCATTAAAGCTGAAAATGTTCTTACTATTCAGTGTGATGTGTTTGTAACACGACGGCACTATTTCTTACATTCTTCTAAGAATGGGGGTGTTGAAAGAATTATGTTAGTAAATACACTCAGAGGTATGCCATTGCTGAGATTATTTCAGCTGCCTTGTCCCTCACAAAAATGGATATAAACAATACAAAAAACAATACCTCTCCCTTCTTCTGTGTCCAGGGTCCGTTTTGTCCCTGTAAACCACAGGTTCTAAACCTGTGGTAAGTGTACCTCAGGTAGTCTGCTGGCCACATTAGGGTCCCCCAGGAGGTAGCCAGCTGTGCGCTAAGAGTTGGCACCTGCTACCTGGACGTCAGGTGCCTACTATGTCCTGAATGTGCTGTGTCTAGAAGGGAGAATGAAGATTGGCAGTGAGGGAGTGCTGATGTCTGTGCTCTTCCAGCACTGCTACTTCGTGCACTGCAGTAATGCTAGGATCTGGGTTATGATGTCCATCCACACCCAGCATCAACAAAAAGTGTGTGAGGGAGCAGAACAAGAAGACTATCAAGATGACAGCAGCCACACTAGACAACAGGGAATGGATCCCAACTGGTCCCCAGTGGATCCCCACTAGACTCCATGGAAAGGATCCCCACTGGACCCCTGGGGAAGCATCTACTCTTGCACTCCCAAAAGTAGGGAGGCTGGGTGCACTTTAATACAGATAATTTGTAAAATTGTCAATGTGAGAGAATGCCTCACAGTGAATGTGTGTGTGTGTGTGTGTCTGTGTCTGTCGGTGTGTGTAAAATCAGTGACAGTGTGTGTCAGTGAGTATATCTGTCAGTGTGTGTCAAATTAGTGAGTGTGTCTGTCAGTGAGTGAGGTGTGTGTGTCAGTAAGTGTGTATGTCAGTTTGTGCCCCCACACACACACACACACACTTCCCATGCTGTAGCATTGTTATTCATCAAAGTGAGAATGCAAAGATAATTTCAAATTCAAAGGGACACTACAATCACCAAAACAACTTTATCTTAATGATGCAGTTTTAGTGTATAGATCATGCCTCTGAAGTTTCACTGCTCAATTCACTGAAATTTAGGAGTTAAATCACTTTTTTTCTGTTAATGCAGCCTCCCCTGTCTGTCACTCACACAGTCTGCATGAAAACAAAATTATTTAATTTTGTAACTTACTTTTTATCTCCTGCTGTGTAAATTGAACTTTTTTTAAATTTATTTTTATTTATTGGCTTTATTTCAGTATTATGACATCTAAAATCCCCATCTTAAATAATCCGTTCCACTTGCAAATGATTACTTTTTGCTATGAAAACTGTTATACCTGTTCCGTTCTAATGTGTGAAAATGATACCAGAGTTTTTATTTCGATTGATACAATAAATACATTTCCAGGTTGTGGTTTGTAGGAAGTAATTTATTACACCACAATTTAATTTATTTTAATAAAGATTATTATTGCTATCCACTGAATAAATACATTTTAACCCAATTCTAGATACACTCAACAACTGTATTAATGCTTTTAATTTTGTATACCACGTTACTGAAACACTATAATGATCATTATATATATAAATATATATGTGATATATTGTATCTATATGTCACCAACATATTCACTAGTGGTGTACATTGGTGACTGTAAACTGCTTAATTTTATTTTAGGATCAAAATAAAGGTTTCAGGATCTATGTGCTGTTGGGTGTAATATGTAGATACAATATAACTTGTATTGTGTTCCAATATTGTGTTATATTGTGATGTGCATAATATACATGTGAAAATAATGTAACTTGCTTTGTGTTCCATATTAATGTTATTTACAGTGTAACCTGATTGGTTTCATGGTAATGCTGTGTACAATAACCTGCTTTGTGTTCTCTATCAATGTTGTGTATAATATCTCAATACACAATAACTTGCTTTGTGTTCTATATTAATGCTGTGTATAATATCTCAATACACATTAACCTGCTTTATGATTTATATTAATGTTGTGTATATCTTTTTTTTTTACATTTGTATATTCTTTATTGAGCACAAACATTTATTTTCCAAATAGACTTTAAATAGACAAAAAGACTTAAAAAAACATAAGAAATACAAATCGATGACATAAACTACAGACAAAAACTACACAAAGAAAAAAAAAGAAATACACGGATATCTATTGCTGCCGTCCAGAGTTGGGGAAAGTTTGAGGTATTTATTCATAAGTATGGGTTCATCTAGAGATTTTTGACATATTTGTTGTTGTTTTATTGAGATACCTGAAAGCCATGCTCTGCCATTTTCCATTTTAAATTGCCACAGTAATTGAATAATAAAAGTTGTTTTTAGAAAGATGATCCCCTTGCAATCAAAAATGTTGCTGCAATTCAAGTATTAGTCATTACATATATTCATATATTTGTTCAGAATTAAATAATGAAATTTTTTTGTTCAAATAAGACATTCTTGACCCTTAAATCCCCTTAGGTAAACCATAGCTAACTTGCAAATCTTGAAGGGATTTTATTCTTCCAGATTGAGTTAGTTGTTCGACTGATTTTTTTCCCATTTTTAATTATGAGATTTTCAACATTGTTTTTAATTATGTGCAAATGTACAAATTTGGGGGCTTTGTCTTTAAGGTTAAACTTTTTTTTTTTTTTGTCATATGGGAGTTAAAAGGCCAAGTACCATACATCCTTTAGTTTGTGAGCAGTGATTCTTTTTTTTTTTTTTTTTTATACTCCAGGTGTGTTGACTGCCTCTGCCTCCATTCAGTTTCTTTTTCTGATAATATATTATTCATTTTTTGTATACTATATAGAATGCTTGCATCGTAATGTTGGTGTATTATTGGAAAACCAAGCCATTAATCTTTAATTTTCTTTGAAAGTCTGGTTGAACTAATTTGAGGGATTTTACCTTTCCACATTAAGTTTCTGATACTTCTCTGTATTAGATCTATCCAGCTCTTTGGAAATTTAATGATATCATCCTAAACAAATATACCCATTTAGGCAAAATGTATGCTTTGATTATGTTGATCCTCCCATACCATGAAATCTCTTTATTGTCACATTCTTTTAAGAATTTATTCAAAGACTTTATGAATTGTGCCACTGGTCTCGCATTAACTTAATTTTTTAACTTAATTTGATATAAAGTTGAAGTCTTTAATCTCTTTTATTAAAGCCTTTGAATAATTGATTGGATCTGTTACTGTAATGAAAACATCATCAGCGTAGAGACAGATTTTGGCTTCAACTTTAAGGGATGAGTAACTTTCAATCTGTATATTGTTCCTGATTTTTGCTTCAAATGATTCTATGGATATAATGTACAGAATAGGAGACAGAGGACAGCCTTGCCTTGTGCTGTTTTTTTTATTTGAACCAGTCGGAACATAAATTTGAGATGACCACTCTGGCTTTAAGAATTGTATAAAGAGCTTTGATGGCTTTCAATGTCCAGCCTTCAAATCCAAAAGATTGGAGCACTTGGAACATATACTCCCAACTGACACTTTCAAATGCTTTTTCCGCGTTCAATGAAAAGGTCAGATGGGAAGCCCAAGTCCTTTCAGCATGGTCAATAAGATCTATTATATGTTATATGTTGTTGCAGAGAGATCTTTCCTGAATGTAACTAATCAGATCGTGATGTACTGTCATAAGTATAATATAAAAAGCTGAAAAAATCTTTACATCTATGTTGATCAGTGATATGGGACGACATTTCCATAGGAAAAGACCCAGTCGTTACAATTTCATTAAAAGCATTGATTAAATGATCAGAGATGTTACTTTTATACATTTTGTAAAACGAGTTGCTAAAATCTGGGCCTGGTGTCTTGAATTGGACCAGATTTTCTATTGCTTTATCTAACTCTGTTTTATTTATTGGAAGATTTCAATAATTTAGATATTCTGATGGAATTATTAATTTAAGTTATATATACATTTTCATCTACTTGAATTGTCATAAATTTTTCCCTTATTTTCTTTTTTTATTTTATTTGAAAGGATTTTGTCTTCCTTTGTGGTAATATTTCATTTTTTTAAAAGTCTAATTTTTTTATTGATCTTATCAGACTCTATGTGGATTTTTTAAAGATTTATTTTAGTTTTAGTGCATCTTCTTTTGAAAACTTATTTTTTTTTTTTTTTCATATATAATTTTTATTGGTTTTATCGAGTTTTCCGGTTCTGATACATAATCATAATACTGATGTTGATACAGACAGTAATGATAACAGTAATAATAGTGATAAACATAGGGATAAACATAATGTTGTGCTGGCGCAGCAGCACATAGACCATTTACATCAAACATTGTTGCAATAATGTCATCTTTGTCGTTTATAACATTTTCAGCTTTATAAGGTAGTCCTTCTAACCTATGTGTATCATGTCTTAATGTCGCTCGTGTTGCGCTTATTTCGTGGTTGTTGTCTGCGTAGGGGCTGGGTGAGAGCGATTATTGTTTAGAATTTGAGGTTGCTGTGCCTCTTTATTGTTGAGTCTGTGACTTTAGGTGTGTCTGTCATATCATGCAACCGGGGATAGGGTGAGGGGTTTGGGGAGGGGATAACCTTTAACTTTAACTGTACCTATAATTTGACTGTACGTCTGACCCATCCGGCCTAGAAGCTGAGTGCGTGCAGTGTATGTGTTTGGGTCCTTATAGGGCCGTCTGTTTGTCAGTTGCCGTAAGTTGCACTCTTTGTGTGATGCAATTTCTCCCGATTTCAGCTATCTTAGTTTTGTATGTAGGTTAGTGATTGTGATTGTCTACCTGTACCGTCTCTTTCCGGGCGTCCAGCCATCCTCTCCAGTAGGTGTTGTGTTTCTCAGATGTTCCCTGTATTTTGTGTGCCATCTGTTCATATATGCATATACTGTCTACTCTGCGTGTTACTTCCTCCTGAGTTGGGGGTACATTGTGTTTCCATTTTGATGCGATCGCGATTTTGGCCGCGGTTAGTATGATTATGGCGATTGTGCTTAATGGGTTTCTTGTTGGGCTTGTCGTAGGTAGTATGTGGAGTAGGTAGTGTGCTGGGTTTAGTGGAATTGACAAGTTAGTAGTTTCCCTTATGACTTTTTGGATAGCGATCCAAAATGGTTTTATGACTGGGCATTCCCAGAAAATATGCAGTAGAGACCCTTGTTGTTGTTCACATCTCCAGCATAGTGGTGAGGTGTTGGGGAATATCTTTGCCAGTCTGAGGGGGACTAGATACCAACGCATTGCTATTTTGCTATATGCTTCCCACAGAGATAGGCTTTTTGATGCTCGTTTAGTGGCTTGGAAGGCGTCATACCATTGTTGTATAGTGATTGGCTCCCCTATGTCTTCCTCCCACTTTTCCATATAGGAGTGTTTATGCATGGATTTTCCCTTTTCTAGTGCATTATAGCATAAGGCTAGTGGTTTGATGGAGCGGGATGTCAGTATATAACGGGCTGAGGGTATTGCTAAAGGTGGTGTGAGTGCTGCCGGTTTAATACGTGTTTGTAGTATGTTCTTAACCCTTAGGTATGTAAAGATGTCTCTTGGATTGAGGGAGAATTCGCTTTGCAGAGTGGGGAATGTTTTCAGTTCGTTTTGGGTGTATAAGTCTTTTATTTTATGTATTCCTAGGTTTGACCATGTGAGGAGGGAGAGGTCGGGTGAGCTGGTCTGCAGTGCAGTTAGTGGTGCTTCCTTATGTAGTGTTTGTGCGTCAATTACCTCTGGACCCCAACGTTCCCAAGTATGTAGTGTTGTTTGCGTGCACCATAGTCCTTCTTTACCCACTGATTTAGGCTCGTGGAGCCAGAGAGCATTTGGGATAGTGGCTGGGTGTATGCAGGCGTTTTCGAGGGTTAGCCATAGTGGAGTTTGGTCGGCGCCCGTGGTTCGGATTATACGTAGGCCTTGTGCAAGAAGGGATGCTCTATAGTAGTTACGGATGTTTGGTACTCCCAGTCCTCCTCTCGTGTATGGAAGGCTTAGTTTGGCAGCAGCCAGTCTGGGTGGTTTGCGTTTCCATACATGGGCGTTGATTATGGTTTGGAACCTTTTTAGCAGTTTGGCTGACAGGGGTATGGGAAGTGTGCGAAAGAGATAGAGCACATGTGGCAGGATCATCATTTTGATGGTGTTAATGCGCCCCAACCATGACACCTCCAGTCCTTCCCACTTGTTCATTTGGGTCATTAGTTTATGAATCATAGGTGTGTGGTTTTCCGTCGTTAGTGAGTGCACATTTTTTGTCAGTTTTATCCCCAAATATTGAATCGATTTCGACCGCCAGTCGAAGTTATGTGTTTCCTTCAGTGTTTTAATTATATTATGTGGTAGGCCTATGGGGAGGGCTTGGGTTTTGGCTGCATTATTTTTGTAGTATGATACCGACCCATATGAGTTCAGTGTTCTAGTGAGAGCCGGGATAGATTGTATCGGTTTTGTCATAAATACTATTATGTCGTCCGCAAAAAGGGCCAGTTTTTGCTCCCCTGTTGGGGTGTTGAGCCCTCGGATTGAGGGGTTATTTTTTATGCTATAGATCAGGGGTTCTAAGCACAAGATAAAGATGAGTGGAGAGAGTGGGCACCCCTGGCGTGTGCCATTGCGGATATTAAAGGCTTTTGAGAGGAATCCGGTGTTATATATTTTTGCCGAAGGGCAGCTATACAACGCCAAAATGCTGGTTATAAAGGGTTGGGGGAATCCCATGATTTCGAGTGTCATCGTCATATATTCCCAGTTCAGGCGATCGAACGCTTTTTCAGCGTCGAGAGCCAGGAGAATCCCTTGTTGGTTCGATTTATGTGCCCATTCTATTAGATTGATAAAGTGCCTGGTGTTGTCTCCTACCTGCCTTCCGGGGACAAACCCTGCTTGCTCTTTCGAGATTAATCTGGGTAGGAATGGTTTTATTCTGTTGGCTAGTAGTTTGGCGTAAAGTTTGATATCAGCATTTAGTAGGGAGATGGGTCGGAGATTGGCACATATGGTGGGGGGTTTGTTGGGCTTTGGAAGGGTTACGATATGGGCTTCCAGCATTTCTGGTGGGACAGCTCCTACTCGTTTAATATGGTTGAAAAGTTTGGTAAGATGTGGGGTCAGTGTGTCTCCAAACATGTGGTAGTAGTGGTTCGTTAATCCATCTGGGCCTGGCGCTTTTCGTTTTGGTAAAGACTTTATCGTGGAACGGATTTCCTCATCTGTGAATGGCCTTTCGAGGGAGGTTTTCTGTTCTTGGGTAAGGGTCGGGAGGGTAATGTCAGTAAAGAAGGCTTGTAAGTCTCTCTTTGTAGGTTGATAAGTAGTCCTGTCATTGTCTAGTTGGTAAAGCGTGGCGTAGTAGGAGGCTAATTCTTCCACCATGTCTTGTGGGTTGAAGAGTTTGTCACCTGCTGCGGACATTATGTATGGCAGCTTAGACGCTTGATATCTTTTTTTAAGTCTCCTAGCTAGCAATTTCCCTGCTTTATTGCCCTCAACATAGTGGGATTGTTTGAGATAGCGCATGTGCCTTTCGGTGTTGTTCAGATCTATGGCATGGAGTTGGAGCCGTATTTGTTCTAATTGTTTCTGGGTATGTTTTCTGGGTTTTTGCTTATGGGAGGCTTCTAAAGTTGTGAGTTTCGATATTAGGTCAGTTTTCTGCAAGCATGTTCGTCGTTTGTTTTTAGCTCCCATTTGAATGAGTGTCCCTCTTATTACCACCTTATGTGTTACCCACTGGGTTGTAATATTTGTTGTGCAGTTTGCGTGATTCTCAAAGAAGTCGGTGATTTGTTTGTTTATGGTTTTGGTGTTGTCTGGGTTGTCCACTAAAGCTTCATTCATGCGCCATGTGCCCCTTCCACGAGCCGGGTACGGGACGCGAAGCGTAACCGCAAGCGGCGCGTGGTCAGACCATGTTATTGGGCCTATAGAGACGTCAACAAGGTGTGTTAGGGTGCTCTTGTCAGTGAGGCATAAGTCTATCCTAGAGTATGTCATATGGACCGGGGAAAAGTACGTATAGTCCCTGTCTGCGGGGTGGAGGCATCTCCATGAGTCATAGAGGTCGTGTAGCGTGATTAATTTGGTCATGTGGCGTCCTAGTGAGATAGACGTGCTTTTGGGGCCTTTGTTCCCCGTTCGTTTTACGTCCGCAGATGGATCAGTCGTGCAATTAAAGTCGCCACATAAGATTACATGGCCCCTCTTATATCTGTCTAGTTTTCTCATTGCTGAGGTGAGAAATGATTTTTGGCCCTCATTAGGTGCATACAGTGAGGCTATGGTAATTTCTATACCGTTTAAGGCTCCCACCAATATAAGTAGCCTGCCGTCTCTATTGGTATGCTGTTTACTCATCGTGAATGCCCAATCGTCGTGGAAGAGTATAGAGACTCCCCTGGATTTAGTTGGGGAGAAGGCGTGAAAGGCCTGTGCATACTGTTTCACTGAAAATTTCGGTGGATTACGTTTACAGAAATGGGTTTCCTGCAGGCAGGCAATTGCTGCCTTGGATGAACGTAGTTCCTGCGCAGCTAACCTTCGTTTATGGGGGCTGTTAAGGCCTTTAACGTTAAGAGAAAGAAGTTGTAATGTGTTAGCCATCAGGGTTGTGGGTCAGGGGGGTTGGGTGCAGTTAGTGCTAGGCATTCATCTGGGGGGAAGTTAGTTCGCCTTGTTTTAGTGCTGCGCGTATCATGTTGCGCCTCTGAGGGTTGGCTCGGGATACTCTTGGTTCGGGAGTGTTTGCCTGGTTTCAGGTGGCTTAGCCGGGTATTGGGCAGTGGTAGGTACATGAACATATACATAAACATTAACATTAATAAAAACAACAAAAAAACATAAACAAAGTATATACATGATGCCCTTTGGGATGCGGGCATTGTACTTGGTTGGTCTGCGGACCGCTCCTAAACTGGGCCGCGGATCAACCTGGGAGGCGTGAACTGAGGTGTGCTGCCGTGTCAACGGCCCTTTAAACAAATGTGTGAAGTAAGGCGTGTTTTTTTTTTTTTTTTTTTTTTTTTTTTTTTTTTTTTTTTTTTTGTGTTTTGTGTCGCCTTGCCAGGGTCTATTATGAACTCCGATGGAGTTGATATCTGAAGTATGCAGTGCTAGTGTGTCAATCATGTCAGTGCATACATACATACATATTGGTGTCTCTTCAGTTGAGGGATGTCACATATAGACCTGGTCTTTCTTGTACTCTACACTTAGTCCCGTTATACATTTTGTTGTGGTTGCTGTGGCTTAGGTGAGCCCGCCATGTGCCATTCCGTCGGCAGTCGTTGGTGCGCATGCTGTTTCTGTGGTGGAGGGTCTTTGGTCCCAAATAGTCCCCATTTTCGCAGGAGTTGTAGGCCCTCATCAGGAGTGTCAATATTATGATGCGTGTTGTCCTTCCATAGTAGGAGTTTAGTTGGGTAGCCCCAGCGGTATTGTATGTTATGGTTGCGTAGAGTCTTCGTGACTGTGATGAATTCCCGTCTTCTTTCCATGGTGAGCGCTGAGAGATCTGCGTATACCTGGATGCCTTGGTATGGTGAGGGGAGCTGCTGTAGTTTGCGCGCCGCAGCCATCAGTGTTTCTTTTGACTTGAAAAAGTGGAATCTGACCACCGTGTCTTTTGGTGTGTCACTCGTGAATCGCGGTGGCCGAGGAATGCGATGGGCCCTGTCCATAAGCCATCTGTCTTTCTCTATGGCCGGTGCCAGAGTGGTGCAGAGGCCTGTTATATAGTCAGGGAGTGCGTCGTGGGATATACTATCGGGGATGCCTCTGAATCTTACATTATTGCGCCTGGAGCGGTCTTCTATATCTGCCGTTTTTCTTTTCAGTGTTAGGTGTTCTTCCCTGAGCGCCTGCAGTTGTTCTGCAAGGTCATTTTGTGTGGCGCACAGTTCTTCCGTCCGTACCTCCAGGCGGTCAGTGCGGTCCCCAATGTCGGCCAGTTCCCGCTTAAATTCTGCAGTCATTTGTTTCATGTCCGCATTTAAGGTGGTTCTCAGGTCTTGCAGCATTATAAACAGCCTTTTTTCGCTGGCTGGTGCCTCTGTGTATGAGGAGGGCGTTGTGTCATTATCTGAAAGCTGATCTGGTGTCGGATAGCAGCCCATGCTGTCGTCGCCATCTTGCAGGGGCCTACTTTTTTCTTTTCTGGCGGTTTTCATTTGGTCCGTCATTTTTAATTGTTTGGACGGTGCCATGTCGTTGTATTAAGTGCCAGGTAAGTTTTTTACCGGGAATTGACCTCCGGGTTCGCCTAAATATTGCGTTCGGGTCCGTTGTGGCCGGGAGCTCCTACTCCATGCGACCGCACGCGCCGGCTGTTGGACACGCCCCCTTGAAAACTTATTTTTAATGTTAGAAGATAGTCTATAAAAATCAACATATAAGTCCGCTAGGGAGGCACCTTTTTTTTGATCATCTGACATTTGAGTTTTGTCAGGTAGCCTCTCAGTACAGATTTAAAAACACACTGTAGCATTTGCTGTTTCTTTACTGGCATTCTCTTGAAAATAGTAAGCAATTATTTTTTATAAAAAAATCTTGATTTCCTTTTTGTTTAAATAGATTCTTCCATATGCAAAGTAGTTCTTGGAGATTTTAAAATATTTTTTCCTCTATTTCTATATAAACAAGGCTATGGTCTTTTATGTAGATTTGTTTGGTATTATTTACTGTGAAACTGTCTCCTTAAATCACATCTATCCAAGAAAAGGATAAGTGGACTTTTGAAAAATAAGTCGTCTTTCTCATAGGGGTACAAAATGCAAGATATCAAATAAATCTGCAGCGTTCAAATAGTTATTTAATACTTTAGATTGTTTTATCACTGTAAATTGAACTTTAATTACATACAGGAGATTCATGCTGGGTCTAGCAAGCTATTAACAGAGCAGGAGATAAGAAATTCTAAATTAAACAGAAATTGCAATAAAGGAAGTGTAAACATTATATAACTCTTTACATGAAGTGTTAAAGAAGACTGTGTAAGCAGGGACGTTTTAGGTGCGAGGCAAACAAGGCATTTGCCTTGGGCGGCATTTTCCAGGGGGCAGCAAAAAAAAACGCCCCAAATGCCCAGGGCAAATGTCTTGTTAGCCTTGCGGCTGATGGTCTGGTTGCTGGGCGGACGGGGGGGTGCTGGTGTGCGACTGGCGAGGGAATGACGTCATATTCCGGTTCCCAGCATCACTCTGGGGCACGCGAGGGAGCTAAGCAGAGTGCTCAGGGAAAGTGCTCCCTCGCCAGTCGCACGCCAGCGCCACCCAGCAGCCACTGGACCCCCAGGGAGAAAGAGAACCTTCCCCAGCATTCCCAAAGGTAAGGAGGCTGGGTGAGGGGGGTTAAAAAAAATGTATTAATGTGAGTGAGTGTGTGTGTGTGTGTTAGTGTGTGTGTGTGTGTGTTAGTGTGTGTGTGTGTTAGTGTGTGTGTGTGTGTCTGGTTAGTGTGTGTGTCTGTTAGTGTGTGTGTCTGTTAGTATGTGTGTGTGTCTGACTGTGTGTGTCTGTTAGTGTGTGTGTCTGACTGTGTGTGTGTGTCTGTTAGTGTGAGTGTGTTTGCCTGTGAGTGTGTGTGTGTGTGTCTGCTAGTGAGTGAGTGTGTCTGTTAGTGTGTGTGTCTGTTAGTGAGTGTGTGTGTCTGTTAGTGAGTGTGAGGGTGTTTCTGTTAGCTAGTGTATGCGTATCTGTCAGTGAATGTGTGTGTGTGTGTATTTAGAAGGCGGGGCGGGGTGGGGTGGAAGGGTTGGGTGGGAGTGGCGCAGGGAGGGGGGAGGAGGGCGCCTGAGTTTTGTCCTGCCTAGGGCAGCACAAAACCAGGATACACCACTGTGTGTAAGTCACATGACTTGACTCCTAAATGGCAGAGCAATGAGCAGTGAGACTGCTGGGGCATGATCTATACACCAAAATTGCTTAATTGAGCTAAAGTTGTTTTGGTGACTATAGTGTCCCTTTAAGGTCAAAGAAACATAGTTGACTTGCAGATTTATTTTTCCAATTTTGCTATATTGGACTTAAATTAGAAATTTGCATTGAATTCACTTTGAATTCTCACTTTAGTGAATACCATTGGGAAACGTAATGTCTAAATTCTTGGAGGGGGATATAGGGACTCTGAGCATATTGATTGTCCCATGAATTTTTGCATAGTACAGAGGATTAGTGTCATTGTAATTACTTTATATGAGCTTTATACAGATATACGTACAATACTTTCTGGAGGAAAAAATAAATTTATAATAAATTAATCTGGTTTTATGAGAAATAACCATAATCAGGGGAAGTGTCCATTTTATTTGTTTTTGTCACACCTACTGTATGTGGAAAAACTATGGCAGCGTTTCAGACCCTGTCAAAAATAATGCAAAATCAAATATAGCAGATAATCTTTAAAATTCTTGATCACCAACATTAACAGTTCTCTAAAGGATGAACAATTAAATTGTTTATATAGTGCCAACATATTCCACGGTGCTCTACAGTAAGTAAACAAGACAAACATGATTAACACAGGTGAAGAGGGTCAAAACAAGCTTATGATTGTCACAGTGCTAGGGGATAGTATCTGCGTGGACACGCCTGCTCAGTGCGGCCACACCAATACTTTAGCCGCACATAAGACCCCAGTCGTTGCGGCCGCACACGAGCAGAGGGGTCGAGCAGAGAAGGTAAATGTATACTCACCTGGATCGCCGCCCGATCCTCCAGTGAGACGGGCCTCGACTGGTGCAGCGTTCTATAATCCCGTTGTGGTCCCGTTCTTAATAGTAAAATACACAGTGCCCACATTAAAGATGGCGCCGGCGTGCATGTGATGTCACACTGTTGACGCACACACACGTTTTGGGTTCAAAGGCCAAGTACTGACCAATCACTGCACTGAGAGGCATATTTAAACCCTGTAATGCCTTTTATCAATGCCCTTTCTCTTTAATGTTAAATCTGGCCATTCTAAGGCCCGCTTTACGTTGTTGTTTGTGTTATCAAAGTTTTGCGTGTTGGCTCATACAGTAGTATCAGATTCCGTAGCGCTGTACACAGGGATGTATTAGCCGCAAGGCAAACAAGGCATTTGCCTTGGGCGGCATTTTCCAGGGGGCGGCAAACAAAGCCGCCCCCCAAATGCCCAGGACAAATGTCTTGTTAGCCCTGCGGCTAACAGACATGCCGAGCAGGCGGGCGGCGCTGTGCGGGCAGCTGGCGAGGGAGCACTTCCTCTGATCATATTCCGGCTCCCAGCCTCACTCTGAGGCGCGCGAGGGAGCTGAGCAGACAGCTCAGAGGAAGTGCTCCCTCGCCAGCCGCCCGCCCAGCGCCCAGCGCCCAGCAGCCACTGGACCCCCAGGGAGAAAGGGAACCCCCCCCAGCATTCCCAAAGGTAAGGAGGCTGGATGGGAGGGGGGGTTAAAAAAAATAAATGTGTTAATGTGAGTGTGTGAGTGTGTGTGTGTCTGTTAGTGTGTATGTGTGTGAGTGTGTCTGTTAATGTGTCTGTTAGTGTGTGTGTCTGTTAGTGTGTGTGTGTGTCTGTTAGTTTGTGTGTGTGTGAGTGTGTCTGTTAATGTGTCTGTTAGTGTGTGTGTGAGTGTGTCTGTTAGTGTGTGTGAGTGTGTCTGTTAGTGAGTGTGTGTGTGTGTCTGACTGTTAGTGTGTGTGTGTCTGACTGTTAGTGTGAGTGTGTTTGCCTGTGAGTGTGTGTGTCAAGTGAGTGTTTGTGTCTGCTTGTGTGTGTCTGCTAGTGAGTGTGTGTGTCTGCTAGTGAGTGAGTGTGTCTGCAAGTGAGTGAGTGTGTTTGTGTGTGTGTCTGACTGTGTGTGTATGTTTGCCTGTGAGTGTGTGTGTCAGTGAGTGTGTGTGTGTCTGCTAGTGTGTGTCTGCTAGTGAGTGAGTGAGTGTCTGTGTGTGTCAGTGAGTTTGTGTTTCTGTTAGCTAGTGTATGCGTATCTGTCAATGAGTGTGTGTGTGTATTTAGAAGGCGGGGCGGGGCGGGGGGAAGGGATGGGTGGGGATCGCGCGCGTGGGGGGTTTGGGAGGAGCCTGAGTTTTGTCCTGCCTAAGGCAGCACAAAACCAGGATACACCACTGGCTGTACAATGGGTGGACTAACCAGGCCCGATTAAGAGCCCAGTGGGCCTGGTGCTGACAACTATGATGGGTCTAATTACAAAATTTTATTGACCAAAAACACTAAAACAGTCCTACCTCCTAAGCATCATATATCTGATGGAGATGGTGCTGGAGGGAAACTCATAGGATGCAGTTATGAAAAAACACATACCCTATGCTAATCTCATGCCTTCATCTTTCAAGTAAACCCATACCCCCTAACAGCAGTGTCCAGTAAAGCAGGAAGTCTAAGGATGGGGTAAAAGGGTGGGCCACTGACACAAATCACATAACCAGAACTGCCGAAAGGGGCGAACATACACAAAAAGGGGGCATGTCTGTGTCCCTATGTCTCCCGGTCCCATAGTGTCTGTGTCCCCATGTTTCCCAGTGTTCCCATGTCACTAGGACACTAGGGGACATTGAGAGACATTGGGACACTGGGAGACATGTGGACACTGAGATACTAGGGAACACTGGGAGACCTGGGGACACTGGGAGACATGGGGACACTGAGTGACTTTGAGACATAAGGGGGCACTGGGAGATATGGAGCACTGAGACACTGTGATGCATAGGGGACACTGTGATATATAGGGGACACTGGAAACTTGGTTTTGACCTGGGTACAGGTCAAAACGTTGCAGTGTCCAATAAACCTGCTTAAATCTATCACATTGAGTGCCTGAGATTTTTTTCTTTTATACTAGGGGACACTGAGACACTTGGGGGCCATGTGAGACATGGGGACACTGGGAGACTAGAGGATTTTGAGAGACTAGGGGACACTGAGACACTACGGACACTGAAAGACACCAGGGACACTGGGAGACATGGGGCACTGAGACACTCTAATACATAAGGGACACTGTGATACATAGGGGACACTGGAGACTAGAGGATTCTGAGAGACTAGGGGACACTGAGACACTAAGGACACTGAGACACTACGGACACTGAGAGACACCGGAGACACTGGGAGACATGGGGCACTGAGACACTCTGATACATAAGGCACACTGTGATACATAGGGGACACTGGAGACTTGATAAAGATCTGGGTACAGATTGAAACATTGCGGTATCCAATAAACCTGCTTAAATCTATCACAGTGAGTGCCTGAGCTTTTCTCTTTTATACTAGGGGACACTGAGACACTTGGGGGCCCTGTGAGACATGGGGACACTGGGAGACTAGAGGATTCTGAGAGACTAGGGGACACTGAGACAATAAGGACACTGAGACACTACGGACACTGAGAGACACCAGGGACACTGGGAGACATGGGTCACTGAGACACTCTGATATATAAGGGACACTGTGATACACAGGGGACACTGGAGACTTGATAAAGACCTGGGTACAGGTCGAAACATTGCGGTGTCCAATAAACCTGCTTAAATCTATCACAGTGAGTGCCTGAGATTTTCTCTTTTATACTAGGGGACACTGAGACACTTGGGGGCACTGTAAGACATGGGGACACTGTGAGACTAGAGGATTCTGAGAGACTAAGGGACACTGAGACACTAAGGACACTGACACTGAGACACTACAGACACTGAGAGACACCAGGGACACTGTGAGACATGGGGCACTGAGACACTCTGATACATAAGGGACACTGGCACACTACAGACACTGAGAGACACCAGGGACACTGGGAGACATGGGGATACTGAGATACTAGGGACACTGGCTGGGAGACATGGGGACATTGGGAGGGCCCCATGTCTTCCAGGTCTCAAAGTTGACCAGTGTCCCCATATCTCCCTGTGTCCCCCAGAGTCTCCATGTCTCTCAGTGTCCCCTAGTGTCTCAGTGTCCCCATGTCGCCCAGTGTCCCAATGTCTCAGCATCCCCAAGTCTCTCATGGTCCCCATGTCTCGCAGGATGGAGCTGCTGTCTGGACTCTGTGCAGAGCTGCTCCCACGCGGATCAGTGAGTAGTGAGAGGCAGGGAGGTAGATGCTGTAACTCCTTATCTCTGCCTCTCTCCACACAAACAGCGACCCATACTGGCCGGCACTGGTATTGCAGAATAATCTCTGTTTATACTCTGTTTTAATCAATGGGCCTATTACAGCTGCAGCTCACTCAGCCCCTATGTTAATCCGGCCCTGGGACTAACAGATATGTAATTGTAACCAGACAACTGGACATACAGGAACAGAGAGGTGGAGGGCCCTGCTCAATGAGCTTACATTCTATGGGCATGATCTAAATCTAAAATTAGCTAATAAATAAAATAAAAAATTTAAAATAGTGTTTTTGTTACATGTCTCAGACTAAAAATCCGTACATACAACTACTATGTATCATACGTTTATGTGCTGGGTATGTACCTTTTTTCTAATACATGGATTTTTTAATTTTTTTTAAAGAACTTGGTAACGACAAGGTTAAATATGCTAAAGAGAAGTGAGTTTTGTTGATTGTGGTAAAGAGACCAATTTCATTAGAAACCAACCTGATTAGATAAATTATTCAAACAGTCAGTGTCTGCTAATTTGATACAGATAGTGTGTGTAAGGAGGGGGTGTTCTGGTACATAGAATTGGACAATGAATAAGGACCATTCTTTTTTCCCCATAAACACGCCTGATCCAGTATAGTACCTATTATTGAACAGATATCTGCTATTCAATAGGAGTTCCTGCAATTGTTAACATGTCCCCAAGCCATTACAAGTCAGGGGGAGGCTGCATCTTGTCTACACAAATACTTGAATGCACAACCTGCCACATATTAATTTAAAAGGACACTATAGTCATCTGCAGGCATTTTCATGTAAACATTACCTTTTCAGAGAAAAGGCAGTGTTTACATTGCTGCCTAGGGTCACTCAGACGGCCACTATAGGTGCTTCCTGACTGTGCAGCACTGACATTCAGCTTCTCCACACTCTGCATGGAGATGCCAAACTTTTCCCATATAGATGCATTGATTCGATGCATCTCTATGAGGAGATGCTGATTGGCCAGGGTGGCCTCTTCCTAAATCTGTTATCTTGGCTGCGATCATCAGAATTGACAATATCAGTCAATCCAATGCTTTCCTATGGGAAAGCATTGGATTGGCTTAAATCAGTTATTCTGATTATGTCAGTCAAGGAGGCAGATCGAGGTTGGGGCCAGTGCCAGCGGTGATATAAAGGGGAGTTTTACCATTATATAAAGGCTGTGAGCAGGGGGCCTAAATAGTGTTTTTAAAACAATAGGGTCAGTAATACATGTTTGTTCCTTTAACAATCTCACCGCACAGGTTTTTATTACAACAGGAAAGTGAGCGAAGACAGTACTTTCTCAGTTCTCTGGGTTTCCTAGTGAGCATTGCAAAGTTGTTGTTTTTTTAATTATCTAGGAACTATCCTGCAAGTTGCAATACATAAGTAAGTTACTTACTGTAACAGGGCTCCTGGTCCTGCTTTTCCCACACTGCACCCAAACACAAGTGGTGGGACAAGACAATACTGTTTTTTTTTTTTTTAACAGGCAGTATATTTATACTGTACATGGTGTTACATAAAGGAATGGCAAAAGTAAAACTGTGAGTTGGTGCTTTTTACTGTCTCTTTGGAGGCAACCTGTTAAATTCTTAATGACGTTAAGGTGTGATATGTCATCCTATAAAAGGTGGGTTTTAACACCTGTAGGGCGTGCTACCTAACAATTGTGCCCTCCCTGAAGCCCTAATACTTAACCTCTGCAGTAGTCCCGATCGATCCCCACAAAATATATATATATATTTTTTAATGCAAGAATCCATTCCCTAGTGGTCCAGTGGTCTCCCTCCCTGGTGGTCCAGTGGGCTTATTCTCATGTGGTAGAGGTCTTGCAGCTCCCTGACAGCTACTTCACAGTCTGCAGCTCTTCACCCGGTGGAGCTGCAGACTGGAGACTGTGCTGGGCTCTCCCTCCTCCGTGTCAGTATCGGCTCTTCTGGGTTCTCCCTCCTCCATGCTGACCAGCTCTCCCTCCTCCATGCCGACCGGTTCTCCTGGGCTCTCTCTTCTCCATGCACTCAACATTTTTTCGCTGTCCGCTTAAAATTGTTTCGCAAGGCCCACAGACCATATGTTGTGCAGGCCTGGTATAGACTGATAAAACTACCTCTTCTCACAGACAATTCCACATCCTTATTATTTTTATACCATTCCCTTACTTTAGACTAAATCTTCTTTCTTCCAGTGTAAATGTGTGACCTTGTGTCCTATGTATAGTCCTGTTTATGAATAGATTTACAGACAATGGTTTGTTTTGGCCCTGAATATATTTGTATAATGCTATGATATCCTCTTTAAAGTGCCATTTTTTCGAAACTAAAGATATTTACATTTGTTAACCTTTCTTCATAACTAAAATATTACATTCCTTTTATTAAATTTGTAGCTGGCCTCTGTGCATTCTCTAATGCCATAATATCCTTCTTTAGAACAGGTGCCCAAAATTGCACAGCATATTCAATGTGTGGTATTACGACTTATATATGAAGAGGCAAAATTGTATTTTCATCCTGAGAATTAATGCCCCTTTTAATACTTGACAATATCTTACTGGCCTTAGCAACTGCTGATTGACATTGCAGATTATTGCCTAGTTTGTTGTCTATAACAATTCCCAAATCCTTCTCGTGTATAGTTATCCCTAATTCATTACCATTTAGGGTGTAATTGTTTACTCTCAAGGGCATAACTTTGCATTTATATAAGTTAAACTCCATCTGCCATTTTAGTGCCCAGTCCCCCAATTTATCCAAATACCTCAGCAGCAAAGTAATGTCCTGCTCACATTGTAATACTGTATTACAGAGTTTTGTGTCATCTGCAAACACTGAAACATGGCTTTCAATGCCCATTTCAAGATCATTTATAAATATGTTAAATAGAAGTGGTCCCAAAACAGAACCCTGAGGGACACCACTTACCACTTTTGTCCAGCTTGAAAATTTACCATTAATGACAACTCTCTGTACTAACGTACTCTGTGGAACCTTCTCAAATGCCTAGGCAAAATCCAAGTAGATCACATTCACTGCAACACCCTGATTTATACTTCTACTTAATTATTTTGACATGACCTATATTTCAGAAAAGAAAGGTGTTCTTCCAAATGAATTCCTGAAAATTATCCCTTAATAGCCCTTCAAATATTTTTCCAGCCACAAAAGTTAAGCTCACAGGTCTATATTTTCCAGGTAAAGATTTTGAACTCTTAGGTAAAGCTTTTGAACCCTTGTCCCTGCATTCTAGGTTGAAAAACAATTGGGGTTTTTAAAGGGACACTATAGGCACCCAGTTCATTGAAGTGGTCTGGGTGCAATGTCCCATGTCCATTGACCCCACAGTGGTAATTATTGCAGTTTTTGAGAAACTGCAATAATAACCTCTCAGGGTTAACTCCACCTCTTGTGGCTGTTTACCAGAGAGCCACTAGAGGGACTTCCAGGTGCTTAGACAATTTTGGGTCGTCTAATTGATGCTGGACGTCCTCACACTATGCATGAGGACTTCCAGCGTCAAGCGGAATCCGCATAGGAAAGCATTGAGGGACATTGGCGCTGAATTTGGGGGGGGGGGCGGGAAGTGTGGGAGGTGGGCACTGTAGGAACCTCTAGTGCCAGGAAAATGACTTTGTTTTCCTGGCACAATAGTATCCTTTCAAAGTAAATCACAATGGCAAAAATCTTTTCATTAAACTACACATTAGATGACTGACTGGCCATTTTCATAATAAATTTACTGCCCAAGTTTAATTTAATTGCCAAAATCCAGTGATATGTAGGTATGTAAAGATAAAAAGATGTTGGCCTTTGTCCACTATGTATGTTTTCTGTGTTGTTGTTATTTATATTAATCTATTTATAATGTAGTCAGACTACCTTCCCTAGAGTGCATTGTTCAGCATTGATTTATGCTAAAGGCACGGAAGTCATTCAAAGAGGCTTGTATGCAGATACCGTGAAACCAACTGAAGCTAGTGACTTGATTGTGTTACCCTCAGAACCAATATCTGCGAACCATGGAAAATACATAAAATTAAAGGGAACCTGTCACAGCAGGTTCACGTTAAGCCATAGCATCTACTTATGCAATAAATATATTATTTATAATAAAGATAAATTATTAACTTTTTTGGTCATGTGAGTACTCATCACCTCTCCATCGCTGCCTGCAATGTTATAATCTCAGAATTCTGGATGTAGCACAATTGTAACGCCTTTTGCCTTGCTACCCTCTGCCAGGATTAGCCCTGCTTCTCACTGCGACACACTGACTTCATTGGCAGCACATCGGCGTCAGAATGGAGTGACATCTGTCATTTCATTCATATATTCCTCTACAAAGAGCAAAGCTTGCCCGAGGAACATCACAGCAACTACAGAGCATAAAAGAGAATTGATTGACAGGAGAGGAAAGGGACTATATTTTTTTTATTTATTTTACTTAAAGTCTGTATGTTTCAGGGGATTCTACTAGCACAATCTATGGATTAAATTGTATGTGTTTTTATTTTATTTATTAAGTGTACAGGTACACTAAGAATACTGTGAGAGGTACACTTTAAATATAAAATCATCTTTCCTTTAAAATAGGTTGTTTACACGTCTGTTCTCTTCAGTTCGTAGAGAGCTGAGATTTTAAAATGAAAGTCTCAGTGTGTCCCATTGAAAGCAATTCTTTTCAAATAAGGAGCAGTTGGAAACATTTTATTTTCAGCAAAACAATTGTGGAATTTGCTCAACTGAAAGCTGCGGTGTTCTTCAGGAAATAAAATAGCTATTGAGTGTAGCAAGGGTTGTATTTGACCAAACCCCTGCTAATGCTATAGACTGTATGTGCTCAATGGGTTATTTCACTAAACAGTGAATTGGGATGAAATAAAAAATCAATTTAAAAGATTTTGGTCAAGAGAGACAAGCTGCAAGAAAATCTCCAACTCCAATGTAATGTCAACCTGACTATTTTGCTCCAAATGTATCAGAATTAATTTTGATTTCATCAATGACCACAGTTTAGTCATTAAACCTTGAGTGTCTGTAACATTGATATAGTCATTGCAGATATGTCTTTGTAAATATTGCTTAGCTTTAAGGCTGTCATCTTGTAGGGCTGATATATATATATGGCCAATGCAGATTATGAGTGACATGTGTTGTGCCATTGGCATGCCCCTATTTCATCTCTGCTCCCTCCACAATAGGACTGATAGGGGACTAGGACCACCATAGCATACCTTATCAAGGAACATATAAGAAAATGTGATCTTAAAGGGACACTCCACACTAAAGCACTTCAGCTTGCTGCGTGAAGAGTGTGTCCTCTTTTTCATTTTTTACAGAGAATGAAAAATTTACCTTGATACACCCCCCTGGCTATTAATCAAACAACCGGAACTGGTACTTTCTAGTTGTTTAACTCAGTGGAGCTAAACTCAAGAGGTGGCAATTGCCCACAGCACCTGCTTTTCAGAGACTCTTCAAGGATCTGCATTGGGAACTTCGGGACTGGACAGAGACAAAAGGTCTGTGATGGGGAAGAAGGGGAGGGCTTTCAAATCTGCAGACAAGTAGATCTGCAGCTGTACTTAAAAAAGTACCCAATGAAAGCCTAAATAGTGGTTATCACTTCATACTGACTCCTTAAAGTCTATAAGTGTAACATGGCATGTTTTGGAGAGAGGTTCCATTACCTTTTCATGTTTTCTATACATATGATATCAGAGAGACGTTTTGGAATTTCAGATCATTATCTTAAGAGGAGCTGAGCTGATCATCACTAAAAAGTAGCATTTTTCTTTTCTACAGACTTTAAAAACAAACAAAAACTATGCATTTTACAAAATGTGATATTTTTCATTTTTATTTTATGGGTCATAAAAAAGGTTCATGGAGATCATTTGAAATAGACAGATAAGGGGAAATTGCTCTCACCATGCTCTCATACATGTTTAATATTATTTGGCAGGAGGTAGGGTGCTTCGGTATTTTTGAGGGTCCCATAGAGTGTCAGTGGTTTGGCCATTCTCTTTGTTCTGCATCTATTGGGGGTCCAGGAGACTAAACACTGTAAGGACTTTGTGTGTCTCAGAATATGAGGAATTTGTTTCTATTATGGCCGTCTGTTCTATAATAACCACTACATCAACTACCGTACATTGGACAAGAAAAAAAAGGTTCCATTTACTGTGTCCATTTTGATTACATCTACCAAAACTATTCTTCTAATCTTGGGTGCCAACACTGCCGGATGACAATTTAGCAGATAGCCCATGAATATTCATGATAGATAGATAGATAGATATATCATTTATATATATATATATATATATATGTATATATATATATATATATATAGATGAGTATATGTGTGTGTGTGTACATACAATTATAAAATATTTATTTACATCTAAGTCTATATGTATTGAACACACGTGGCTCAGATCACTGTCTGAAGGGGGGCTTGAAATCACATAGTAACCATGGTAACCAGATCTTGAGAGCAACAGGCGGGGGGGCAGGGGGTACTGCATGCGCTTCTCTAATACAAGAAAAGACAAGCAAGGGGAATTGCTGTAAGCCTTACCAATGTATATAGGTGGTTTTCTAATATTTTTTCTTCAATATATAACTATATATAGTTATTACAGCTTTATTTCATACACAAAGAGTAAAAGTGATATTCCAAGGGAATAAGATAGGTAGAAATGGGATATTTACTTTATAATTCAGTTTAGCCATATAGAGAGATTGCTACCCTGATAACAATTGTGGTTGATGACGATGACAAATGGGGATAAGAAGGAACCATTTCTCAAATGTCAAAAATGTTAAATAAAAAAGAGCTTCTCCATCCAATAAATAATGTATCCGAAAAGCCTATATTTATGACTAACTAAGCATGATGGGAATTGTGGTTCAGAAACATATGAGATGCCAATATGATGTATTTATAATAGATAGAATGGAGAGACACGCAACTTGTCTGTTACAAAAAAATAAATTGTAGCACATACAATATGGTACATCTGATCTAGACCTATCTAGAGCAGGAATAAAGAAAAAAAACACAAACGGGTCCCCAGCTATTGCAGAACTCCAACTCCAAGAATACTTGGCCAGCCTTGATGATGCTAGAGCATCATGGGAGCTGAACCTTTGTAACAGCTGGGAGTCTAACTTTTGGGCAAACCTGTGATAAGAGAAATAGAAGCAGTGCATGATCCAAAAATTAGAAAGTCACATAATTATAGCCATGCAGTGGTAGGTAAATTAATCATTCTAGAGATATAGGGTGGATTAAGTTGGGGTCATACTGTCTATAGGGGCCCACATTAAACCATAGTACACACAGTAACATAACTAATAGACAATATTGTGCATAACTCAGAGGAGCATATATAAGTGGAGATTAGAACTAAAAACCAAATCTTACAATTTCAACACTTATATATATATATAGCTATGTTATACATCAGTCTAACCACTGGCTCTACTGTAACATGATCACTCTGGTATAGAAACATAGGCTGTTACACATAGAGGGTGGTCAATGGTGGGACAAAGTTCTTAAAGTGAAACAGTGAACAGGAACATTCTTTCGGTTTCCATGGTGACAGTATCACTTTTCGAACTTTACCCCAGAATTGTTCTTTTACTATGCACTGTTGTTTAGTAACACTAATTCATCATATTGTAACAAAGAGAGTGACATTTGAATATACTTCTCAAGGATTTTCAATAAAGTGTGAATTGTTTGTATGTCAAGCTGAATTCAAAGTAAAATTGAATTTTAAATTCAGATTAACTTTTCCAGACTGGAAATGTTTAGTTATATTTTCAGTTTAGTTATTTTGGTCTAAAATTAATTAATTAAATAAATAAATACAATAAAATGAAAGTTGAAATCCCAGCAATTCAGAGTGATTAACTCCGAATGAGATAGCAGCATCATTTTTCATAATATCAGATTACGTATACAGGACATATTGGAGAACCTCTAAAAAGAATGAGTTATTATTTTAAATAAGTGAGAATTATTTGTCTAATATAGAGAGCATGATGTTTCCATAATAGAGTCATTTCTTCACCAGTAAAGAGACTATATTAGATTGAATTACTAAAATGGAAATAATGGAGAAATGGCAAGGGAACTACAAATTTGAGGCCAAAATGGTCAGACTGAACAAATAGCTTGAGTTGGGATGGAATTTATTTACTAAACAGTGATTCATATCGAACTGATATCTAGTAGGTTTATTCAAAATACTCCAAATTGTAGTTAATTAAAATCATATTGGCAGAATGTTGGCAAAAAAATTACTGATCTGGAAAAATTCCCCACCTCAACTATAGTTACAGACTGGCAGCTTTACCTTGAAGTTCACTAAAAGACGGTACTTACTGAATAAACCCACAAGATTTTAACCCTTTGTCAGCTCTCTCCAATTCCCAGGAATAGCCAGTAAATGGATAAATAAAGCAGGACATTCTAAAGATGAGCCTTTTAATTAATAGGTAATCTAAGCTAGATACATCGATGTTGTAACAAAGCATGAAATGGATTTTACTATTATAGATCAAGGTGTTTGCCACGACAGTAACTAAGGGTGTACATTTATCTGATTTAGAGAATATGATGTATAAAGGTAGGGGTTTTGTTTTCAGTATAGATGATGGTTTATACATAATACAAAATGGGATAGTATGACAGGAGGGTTTTTCCCCTTTAGTTTTTTAGCACTGAGGGACTATTTTAAACCTTAATCAACCAGATGTCTATGAACTGCACTCCCCATCATGCCCAGCTAGCCTGTAGCCTTTTGTCTTCCTATAAGACTTAATCATTAAAACGAGTAACCATTACTCTCTTCTAATTCTGTATAGCCAGTTTCTTTATTTATGTATCCCAGTGCCCTCCTAGTGCTTTTCATATACATGGTCAGTGCACATATCTACCTACCCTAAGATTGGTTTCGGTATATATTGACAACTAACCCTCCTCCCCAGCCACCCTGCAAGTTCAATAACATGACAAATAAAGCCAGGCCCTCACTCCCTCCGCCAGCAATGCTGCACAATAATACAGGTAAGACCCATTGTAATGAGTGTTATTGAGTGGGTTTGAACTGGAAAGGCAGTTGTTACACCTTGGGTAATGGAATGTGGGGAATGATAACATTCTAAGGCAATAGGTGACAGTTCTATCTGACTGCCAGTCTCCTTCCCCTTGCCTCCCTGTGCTCCCTGACATAACAACATCCATTCACAAGAATTTACACACACTATCATTCTTCCTGTGTCTGTTCCATCTGCCAGCGTCAGCCACACGCCAACACACAAATATACATATCTTTATATATATATATATATATATATATATATACACACACACACGCGTATTATTCCCGTATAGCAACTACATAAAGCAAAATAGAAAAAGCACACATAAAATACAGTCACATATATGAAAATATCAATAAAACACACATTTGTAAAAGAATGCTGTATATAGAATATGTGGAACATACACAATATTTATATACACACACACATATATAAATATATACCTATACTATATATATATTTCACATTAAATTGCGAGACAGACACATACTATAGATAACATAAACTTTTGAAAATTGCTCACAGCTATATATAATTATTTAGGCGTTTCTAATGCATAACCGAAATACACACTGCATTTCTTCCTCTCTGTTACCAGCACTACATCTTGCTACTTTGTTTTATCAGAACGTGCCCATCTAAATGCCTATCTTCGTTTTCTAGTAATAAAACCCCACTACACACAGACACCTATCTAACCTTTAAATCTCTCTCAATGCTTGCTCTCTCCAGGCCTTTTTCCCCACATCCCTTCTATCCCCTGCTTTGTTATTGATCCAATTGTGTATTATCTATGTATTTCTTCTTCTCTTTTCTTCTCTTATCATGCCTCTGTCATTATCATTGTATTTATCCCTTCTGACTGCCCTATAACACCCTCTCTCCTGCCTTCCCTCTAACCCCATCTCCCCCTCTCTCCTGCCTGCCCTCTAACCCCATCTCCCCCTCTCTCCTGTCTGCCCTATAACCCCATCTCCCCCTCTCTCCTGTCTGCCCTATAACCCCATCTCCCCTCTCTCCTGTCAGCCTCTAACCCCCATCTCCCCTCTCTCTCCTGTCCCATCTCCCCCTCTCTCCTGTCTGCCCTATAACCCCATCTCCCCATCTCTCCGGTCTGCCTATAACCCCAACTACCCCTCTCTCCTGTCTGCCCTCTAACCCCATCTCCCCCTCTCTCCAGTCTGCCTTATAACCCCAACTCTCCCTCTATCTTGTCTGCCCTATAACCCCATCTCCCTCTCTCTCCAGTCTGCCATATAACCCCAACTACCCCTCTCTCCAGTGTGCCATATAACCCCAACTATCCCTCTATCCTGTCTGCCCTATAACCCCATCTCCTCTCTCCAGTCTGCCATATAACCCCAACTACCCCTCTCCTGTGTGCCATATAACCCCAACTACCCCTCTCTCCTGTCTGCCCTATAACCCCATCTACCCCTCTTTCCTGTCTGCCTTATAACCCCAACTCTCCCTCTATCTTGTCTGCCCTATAACCCCATTTCCCCTCTCTCCTGTCTGCATATAACCCCAACTACCCCTCTCCCCTGTCTGCCCTATAACCCCATCTACCCCTCTTTCCCGTCTGCCTTATAACCCCAACTCTCCCTCTATCCTGTCTGCCCTATAACCCCATCTCCCCCTCTCTCCTGCCTGCCCTATAACCCCATCTCCCCCTCTCTCTTGTCTGCCCTATAACCCCATCTATAACCCCTCTTCTTTCCCGTCTGCCTTATAACCCAACTCTCCCTCTCTCCTGTCTGCCCTTATAACCCCATCTCCTCTCTCCTGTCTGCCCTATAACCCCATCTCCTCTCTCCTGTCTGCCATATAACCCCAACTCCCCCTCTCACCTGTCTGCCCTATAACCCCATCTACCCCTCTTTCCCGTCTGCCTATAACCCCCTCTCTCTCCTGTCTGCCCTCTAACCCCAACTACCCCTCTCTCCTGTCTGCCCTATAACCCCAGCTACCCCTCTTTTTTTCTGGCTGCCCTCTAACCCATCCCTCTTTCTGCCCTCTGAACTGTAACTTCATACCTCTCTCTCCCCTTCTTCCCTAAAACACAACCGTTCCTCTCTGAGCCTTCCCAGTAAGCCACTCTCTCCCTCTCTCCTCCCTGCTCGGGATCCCCCTAGTTCCCACTCACCCCCTTGTCCTGTAACCCTGTCCCTCCCTCTCTCCCCCATGCCCTGTAATAACCAAATCACGCTCCCCCTGCCCTCTGTACTGTCTCGTTACCAGTCTCTGTCAGTCCCTCCCTCTCACCTGGCTGTCGCTGTCCGCGGTGCTGAATGCGGGTCCTGCTGGCTGTGATCCGTAGAGAGAGTGAGAGGCTGAGTGGAGAAGGGGGCTCCCTGTCTCATTAAGGAGTCTAATAAGGAGGAGGGGGCTCTAATAAAGGCTTGTCTGATACAGAGAGCCCTTTGTGCTCTATAACTGGGGTTCGTGGTGTCAGTTTATCTCTCTGGCTCTTATGCAATAAGTCGGTACAGTGTGAGTGGGGACTATGTACGAGTGGTCTGTGGAGTGTGAGTGAGGACGGAACAGTAGGAGTGGGGTCTGTACAGTGTGAGTAGAGTCAGTGCACTGCTAGTAGGGTCTGTGCACTTTTAGTGGGTTCTGTGCAGTGTGAGTGGGGTCTGTGTGAGTAGAGAGTGCACTGTGAGTGGGGTATGCGCACTGTGAGTGGGGCATGTGCAGTGTGAGTGGGATCTGTGCAGTGTGAGTGGGTCTGTGCAGTGTGAGTGGATCTGTGCAGTAAGAGTGGGTCTGTGCAGTGTAAGTGGGTCTGTTCAGTGTGAGTGGATATGTGCAGTGTGAGTGGGATCTGTGCAGTGTGAGTGGGTCTGTGCAGTGTAAGTGGGTCTGTGCAGTAAGAGTGGGTCTGTGCAGTGTAACTGGGTCTGTGCAGTGTGAGTGGATCTGTGCAGTAAGAGTGGGTCTGTGCAGTGTAAGTGGGTCTGTTCAGTGTGAGTGGATATGTGCAGTGTGAGTGGGATCTGTGCAGTGTGAGTGGGTCTGTGCAGTGTAAGTGGGTCTGTGCAGTAAGAGTGGGTCTGTGCAGTGTAACTGGGTCTGTGCAGTGTGAGTGGATCTGTGCAGTATATAATTCCGTATAAGGAATTGGGAAAGTTCTTAAATGAACATGTCTGTATGGGGGTAATGTGGAATGAGGGGAAACTCAGTGTAAGCGCTCAATGTGATGTATGTGTGGAGAACTCAGTGTGTGTACATGGAACGGGTAATGTCAGAGCAGAATGAACTGAGCTCTCTGTGTAAAGATTTGTAAGCATCAAACTATGTATGAGGATCTATAGACTGTGTCTATTAAACTTTGTTCTGAGTTCGCATGAATATTCTCTTTACCGTCTCATTTACTGGATTGTCTGTAAATCCATGTTTGAAGACTAATTGTGGATTTATGTCTTTATGTTAGACATCTAAGAGTACTAGCAGTGTCTCTTATATTACAAATTTGACGTATAATAAGGGGTGTCTGTGTATAATAATATCTACAGTGTAAGTGCATGGGATGTCTTTCATTGTGGATAGCTCTGCATATTAGGCATCTGCAGTTTAGGAGGGGATGTGTCTCAGTGTATTAGGTGTCTCCAGTTTGCAGTGTGGTCTATATACATTGTGTCTGGAGTGTAAATTGGGATGTCTCTTTGATCATTATAATTATGTATTGCAGTTTGCCCTCTATAAGTTTAGGTCTCTGTATAAAAGCGGTCTGTAGCTTCTCTGTATATGTGAAATCTGTGGGTCTCTGTATATTGGGGGAAGTAGGTGTCTCTTTGTATAGTGGGAGTACAGTGGGTTCCTATCTGTATGTTGGGGGTCTATGATCTCTCTCTGTACTCTGGGGGTCAGTAGGTCTCTCTGTAGATTGAGGGTCAGTTGGTCTTTCTCTCTGTATGTTGGGAGTAAGTGGGTCTTGGGAGTCAGTAGGTCTCTCTCTATCTGTATATTGGGGTCAGTGAGTCTCTTTATATTGGGGTCAATGGGTCTCTCTCTGTATATTGAGTCAGTGGGTCTCTTTATATCGGGGGTCAGTGGGTCTCTCTCTGTATATTGGGTCAGTGGGTCTCTCTCTGTATATTGGGTCAATGGGTCTCTCTCTGTATATTGAGTCAGTGGGTCTCTTTATATCGGGGGTCAGTGGGTCTCTCTCTGTATATTGGGTCAGTGGGTCTCTCTCTGTATATTGGGTCAATGGGTCTCTCTCTGTATATTGAGTCAGTGGGTCTCTTTATATCGGGGGTCAGTGGGTCTCTCTCTGTATATTGGGTCAGTGGGTCTCTCTCTGTATATTGGGTCAATGGGTTTCTCTCTGTATATTCGGCCACTGTGTCTCTCTCTGTATATTGGGGGCCGGTGGGTCTCTCTCTATATATTGGGGGTCAGTGGGTCTCTCTCTATATATTGGGGTCAGTGAGTCTCTTTATATTGGGGTCAGTGAGTCTCTCTCTGTATATTGGGTCAGTATGTCTCTTTATATTGGGGCTGGTGGGCCTCTTTATATTGGGGGTCAGTGGGTCTCTCTCTATATATTGAGGATCAGTAGGTCCCTCTCTCTGTATACTGGGGGTTAGTAAGTCACTCTCTCGGTAGATGAATCCCGGCAGTTGAATAGCAGTACACACTGTATAGTGGATGCTCCCTGTGTTAGGTAAGTGCGGTTCGGAGAATCCGCTCTTCCTCAGGTCTCTGCCGGCTCCAGTTTCTCTGTTCTGTGGGTCCCCGGAGTGAAGCTGTGTCTGTGCAGATGCTCCCTGGCTCTCCGGGCTTCCATGGGAAGTTTCTTCCTCCGCCTCTCTCCTTCTCATCAGCTTCTGAGCCTGTCTCTGAGTTCCCTCCTTTCTAATATCCCTGCTCGGTTCCCTTGCTCACTCACTCCCCCTGAGCTGTCTCTCTCACACTCAATGTGATCACAAATCTCTCTGCACTCTATACCCATTGTATTCTCCGATATTTACATGAGAGATCTTACTCCTTTCACCATTATAATATCTTCTCTACAATAACACTGTTTATCACATATGATCTGAATATTGAACTGTAAGCCCCTCTCCATCTCTAACACTGCGTTCCATTGCTCTCTCCTATATACACTGTCACTGTGTATCACTCACTTTCAACACTGCTCTCCCCTGTGCCCTAGATGGGTAATTACTAATAGACAGGTAAATAGATAGATAGATAGATAGATAGACAATGAAGATATGTCAAATAATGTAAACATTTAAAGATGAATAGAATTCACCTTTTTCCACATAAAACACTAACAAATGAAACACTTACTTTCAGTTACCATGAGTTTGCCATTCATGCATTTTGTATTAGATTCTATGACCACCATTTACCTTATAGACATATTGTATTCATTATTTTATAAGGGTTCAACTTAAGAAGCACTATGATTCCCTATCACAGGCACTCTACCAAAACATAAGATTAGCGAGTCCGTAGGTAACTGACACGACGCATAGCTACCAAAAACACACCGCATACGACGTCAACCTTCATAGGTTCCCATATCCACCACGAACACCCACAAAAACACTAGGGAGAGCTCGTGGCTGACCAATCACGTAGTATAAATGCACCCTGAGGGGTAACGATAAGAACTATGTACAAGTTATATAAACTGAGCGTTGGTTGTCTAGATTGCAGTAATGTAAGGCAGCGACGGAGTTGTTCTTAGGAACGAATGTTATGCTTGTTACATATTTGCACATATTGTAGCAGATACACACAGGTCGTACGTGACCTCAATCTGCTGAACACTGAATCGAATAAGCTGTACTACCATTACTCTATCTAATAAACACAGATTTAAAAAAAAAAAAAAAAAAACTTAAGAAGCACTGGACCACTATAATATAATTTATATTTATCATACTTATCATTTCTTTACAGTTCTAAAACCTCTGTGTTTTTAACTCTAATTAAAATCAATACAAAAAAACAGAAAATATCTATCTACCTATCTATCTATCTATCTATCTATCTATCTATGTGTCTGTCTGTCTATCTATCTATCTATCTATCTATCTATCTATCTCTCTATCTGTCTGTCTATCTATCTATCTATCTATCTATCTATCTATCTCTCTTTATGTCTATCTATCTATCTCTCTTTATGTCTGTCTGTCTTTCTATCTATCTATCTATCTATCTATCTACCCCCCCTCTCTCTCTCTCTCTCTCTCTCTCTCTCTATCTTTATGTCTGTCTATCTATTTGTCTATCTATCTATCTATCTATCTATCTATCTATCTATCTCTCTTTATGTCTATCTATCTATCTATCTATCTCTCTTTATGTGTGTCTGTCTATCTATCTATCTATCTATCTACCTCTCTCCCTCTCTCTCTCTATAGCTTTATGTCTCTGTCTATCTATTTGTATGTCTATCTATCTATCTATCTATCTATCTATCTATCTATCTCCTCTCCTTTCCCTCTAACCCTTCACCTCTGTTTGCTACAATTATAATGCCCACCTCATACTCCTGTCTTAACTCTTTAACTGCTCCCCCTCTTTCTATTTTACCTTTGTTCACATGTCGCTTCCTTTCGATCTGTCCATCACTCAGGACACCTCTCAGTGTCTCCTGCTGTCCCCTCTGCCACAAATCTAGTGACATGATATCCTCTCCCCCCCCCCCCATCAGGAAGATTGGGTTTCCTGTTATATTTAGCTTCCTCTACAAAGTGTTAATGAATATGGGAATTATGGCAGCCCAGTACTGCGGGGTGTTGGAGGGACCTGAGAGCTAGAACACGCTGAGACATGGTATCTTTGTCATAATGGAAGTGGATGTGACTCTCTAAGAGACTGTTTTTGACTGTCATGACTTTGACAATACGCTTCCTATTGATACAGTGATTTAGATTATTGAGGCCTCTAATTCACTGTTTTATCATCCTTCTCCATCTGAACCATTGGTCTTAACTTCCTCTCCAATAATAACCTCTTATAAAGTATTTTATAACTAAATACCATTAATGGCTTCCCTGAACACATCTGGTGTCCCCTTAAAGCATGGTACGTAAACTACAAGCAGAGGAATACTGCTTTAGCTGGGACCATCTTGGACCACCAATGGCAATTTAAATAGCATATGAATAGCATAGATTGACAGACAGACAGACAGACAGATAGACAGACAGACAGTGGAAGGATCGATAGATAGATAGATAGATAGATAGATAGATTGATTGATAGATAGTGGAAGGTGGATAGATAGAGAGATAGATAGATGATAGATAGATAAATAGATAGTGGAAGGATGGATAGTGGAAGGATAGATATAAAGAGAGATAGATAGATAGATAGATAGATAGTGGAAGGATGGATAGATAGATAGATAAATGGATAGCGGAAGGATAGATTGATAGATAGTGGAATGATAGATAGATAGTGGAAGGATCGAGAGATAGATAGTGGAAGGATTGAGAGATAGATCGATAGATAGATAAATAAATAGCGGAAGGATAGATAGATAGATAGATAGAAAGATAGATAGTGGAATGACAGATAGATAGATAGTGGAAGGATAGAGAGATAGATAGATAGGGGAAGGATTGGTAGATAGATAGATAGATAGATATTGTCATTTTAAAATTCTGCACAATGTAATATCTAAAGAATGACCATAAAGTGCGCTATTTATTTATTTTATATATATGTCTATTTGTTTATTTCTGTAAAATATATCTCTGTGTTTTGATCAGTTCTACAGTACATTATAGTCGAGGCTGTCATACTGTGAACGTGTATGCGTGCCAGTGATGTAATGAAAGGAAGATGTCTTATGTGCACGTGTGCAAGCACAAGCCATCTAGCTTAGTACTTTATATAAAAGGGCTGTAAATGCGAGATCTCCTCTCATGGCAGGGTCCGCTATTCCTTTTGTTTTGGATAGTTTATACTGTATTGTCTATTTTCCATTAATGTACTGTCATAAACATCAGTAATAATAATGTGCATAATGGGAATATTGGCACCATAACAAGATGATTGAGCTGTTGCATAGCTACATGCAGGGCCACCATTATAGCGTGACAACCATGATGGCTGTCACAGGCCCGGCGGTCCTTGGTGGCATGGACAGCAGGGAAACTTTCCTCTAATCCCTCTCATCTTGTAATCCACTGTCTCATATATAGTGAAGAGGGTGTTGCCATGAGTTACCATGGCAATAATCCGCATGGTACCCATTGTACAGCGCTACAGAATCTGATGGCGCTATATAAATAATATAATAATAAATGGCAGGCAGGCCAGGCTCAAGAAACAGGGAGAGAAGAGCTGCCGGAAGCTGTAGACCACATGTGTTGGGCCCCCTCTTCACTATATATACAGCTTATATACAGCTTGCAGCCTGCCCAATGCAGGACCACCAGGGAGTGTAATGTCACCCCAGCCACAGGTAACAAGCAGGCAAGGGAGAATAAAATGTAAATTTTTTATTTTTTAAATTAAAAAAAATGTTTTTTTACCATTTGCCCACAGAATGCAACCACTATCCTACCCCACATATTTACACATTCACTGTATCCACTACACACAGTGTATCCACAACACACACACTACATCCACAGACACTGCAACCACTATGTACACACTGCATCCACTACACAACTGCATCCACTATACAATTACCATTTGAATCCACTACACACACACACACGCTGTAGTCACTACACACACAAACTTTACATCCACTACACACAAACACTGCAACCACCATATACACACTGCTTTTAATAAACACACACTGCATCCAGGGCCGGACTGGCCCACCAGGTGGCCGGTGCCACCGGGTGGCCGGTCCGGTGGCACTCTGAGGGGGCCGGCCGCGTTCCAGGCACTGCTGTGGCTGATGGCTGAAGGAGGAGGAGCATGTCTATCATGCTCCCTCGCGGTTCCTGTGCTGGGAATTGTGGGAACCGCGAGGGAGCATGGTAGACCGTTTCCTCCTCCTTCAGACACCAGTGCCGCCGGACCGGCGAAGCTGCCACCCGGCCCGGCGGCTTCGGCCTGGAACGCGGCCGGCCCCCTGCCTTCTCTAAGGTAAATGGGGGGATGGGGAGACACACAGAGAAAGGGGGGGGGGGGAGGGAATAGAGAGGATGGTGGAGGGGAGGAGGGAGAGGGGAGAGACATGGGGAGAGGGAGACACAGGAGAGATGGGGAGAGGGGAGAGACACAGGAGAAGGGGACGGGAGAGACACAGAGAAAGGGGGGCAGAGATGGTAAGGAACAGAGAGATGATGGAGGAGGAGGGAGGGAGATGGGGAGACATGGAGGACAGGGAAAGGAGGGAGAGAGAGGAGAGACACAGGGAAAGGAAGGGAGGGAAGGGAGAGATGGTGAAGGAGGGGAGAGACACAGGGAAAGGGGGAGGGAGGAGAGGGGAGAGACACAGGGAAAGGGGGAGAGAAGGGGAGAGACACAGGGAAAGGAGGGAGGGAGAGAGAAGGGAGAGACACAGGAAAGGGGGAGGGAGAGACACAGAGAAAGGGGGGCAGGGATGAGGGGGGGAGAGAGAGATGATGGAGGGGAGGGAGAGGGAGAGACACAGGGAAAGGGGCAGGGGAGAGATGGGGAGAGAGGAGAGACAGAGAAGGGGGGCAGAGATGGTGAGGGGAATAGAGAGATGGGGAGGAGAGGGGAGAGACACAGGGAAGGAGAGGAGAGACACAGGGGAAGGGGAGAGATGGGGAGATGGTGAGGGAATATAGAGATAGTGGAGGGGGGAGGGAGAGAGATGGGGAGAGGGAAGACACAGAGAAAGGGGGAGAGATAGTGAGGGGAATAGAGAGATGGTGGAGGGGGAGGGAGAGAAATCAGAGAGGGTAGAGACACAGGAAAGGGGGGAGAGATGGGTTGGAGGGAGAGAGAGATGGGGAAAGGGGAGAGACACAGGGAAAGGGGGGAGATGGGTTGGAGGGAGAGATACAGGGAAAGGGGGGAAGGAGAGAGATGTGGAGGAGGGAGAGACACAGGGAAAGGGGGTGAAAGAGGCAGAGGGGGAAGAGAAACACACAAGGGGAGGGGAAGAAAGAGGCAGAGGGGGAAGAGAGAGACTGGGAAGGAGAGGGGAGACTTTGACACAGAAGAGCAGAGGGGGAGAAAGAGAGGACCCGGGGCAACGCTCCGGCTCTCACGAGGTGAACTCTAGCCCTGGAGCTACGGGCTAGAGTTCACTCTCACCACTTCCTGGTGGTCGCAGTAGTAGGATTGAACTCTAGCCCCATACACACTGCCCACACACACACCATACATATTCACACACTGCCCCCACACACACACACATTCACACACTGTCCCCCACACACTGAACCTTTCACACATATTGCACCCCTCACACATTGCACCACTGCTCCTATACCCTACTACACTCCCATATCCCAGCAGACTCCAGGTAAGTTGTCAAACTGTTCTTAAACGGTTTGACTACTTACTCTGGGAGGGGGTGCTGACACTCCTGGCACCATAACCACTACACAGAGGAGTAGTGGTTATTGTGCATGGAATATTTCTTTAAATAATCTACAAGTGCCCCTCCCGGGCTCAGGCTCTGGATCCGTCACTGGTATATGACATGTATATTAATGTGTATATTAGTTATATATATATATTTATCTATCTATTATATTTACACATATTAATGTACATTTATATATGCATAATACACAGAGAAATTTCATTAATATGTACCATATCTAATGAGCAGATATTGGCCCAGTCTTGTTGCTAGGTGTGTACTCCAGCACAATAACATATTTAAAGTGAAGAGCACACCCACAGGACTTCAAAATAATTTTTTTTTACAGTTGTGCCCTACATACATTCACCATTTCAGTCCCATTAACAAGCTTTCCTTAATATGTCAAGGTGGTTGGACTGAAACATTGATTACATGCAAAGGCACGTCTGCTTAAAATAAATCTGCACTTTTGTTTATTTTGAAGCCTATGAGTGCGCTTTTTATGTTGAAGTACTTTTTATTTTAAGTTATCTGTTCTAACTCTGTATCTGCACACTATGCTGGCGCGACGCATTATGGGGCTGGTAAATATTTTTTTTTCCAGGGCTACTTTTAATTCCCAGTCCGGCCCTGACTGCATCCACTCTACACACACTGCATCCTTGAGGGTAAACTCAGATTGTGCTCTGTGGGCAGACTCTGGTCCCAGGAGCCCAGACATTTTCCAAAGGCAGTCCTGGTTACATGTATTCAGATGCAATTGAGCATGATTTAGTATCTTCAATCACTGCTATAGTAGTGATATCCCATACCATTGAGTACTGTGGTGAGATACTCACATACATCCTGTTAGTTAAGGTATGGGTACACAGAGGTCTTCCCATAAGCAGACATTACTGAATCAGTTAATAAAGCAATGTTTCGGTCACTTTTCTACCAGTTATCACATAAGCAAAAAGGTGTATCTCTTTGGACTGTGAAGATACCTCTGGTGACTTCCTTCACTGAGATAGAAGGTTCCTTGATTACAATTACTGAAATTATGTAATTCCTGGTTGTGATCAATTGGAGGTAGCCATGATATTGGTTTTATTTTGCAGACACCTAGGCCCAAAATGGTGAATCTGAGTTTGGACACCTTGACTGGTTACATGCTGACTTTGGAGGAGGAAAGTGAGGAGACACGAAAAGATCTGACATTTAATTAAAACATCTTTTATTAACTAAAAAAGTGGAATAGTTAGAGGTTGGAACTTAGCATTTGGAATTTGTCTCAAGGAGTACTCTCTCACTTTATTCATAGTTGGTTCTCTGCAATAATGCCGCTCAATAGACAATAGGAATGTCCTTGGATGGGTTGCACCATCTCCATACATTTCCATGTGCTCCATACTCCATAGTCAGTGTCACAAGATGTCGTCATTTTTGCTTTGTACTGTGGGGTTAAAGCTAGCTTTCTCAATGCAGTAAGGGACAGGCCCTCTTACTTACTAAGAGCCTGAGCATACTATATGCACACTATATGCAGATATATGTAAATAATGTTTACAGGCCGATTTTGAAATAGACAAATCAATTTGTTAACACTTTATTAAGTTAATTATTATTTTCTTTACTCTCTTAATGGTTTTTTTTTGGGGGGGGGGTTTGCCTCGCATTATAATAATACATACAAGTTTGAGGTGCCCCAAAGGCAATCCTCAGACATATTAGCAAGTTTCACGTTTGGGGTAATCTGAACACATGCACAATTTTATGTTTTATACAAGCTAACTTTAGGCATTATTGAGTAACTCTTGCTTATTAGGTACTGTGGGTAGATAGAAAAGCGAGTAACAGACTAAGATAGGGTAGTTTAAACATTCCATCTTAGAGAGATATAAGTGGGCAATGCATGCTGCTTGTAATAAGCTGGGTAGCTGCCTTAACTGTGGGACATAAATTCGCCCCATAGGCCCCTATAGTTAAGCAAGGGTATGATCAATGAGGTTGGCTTATCATAAAAGCTTAGATCGCGGCTTTGCGATACACATACTAGGTAGATTTGGATCAGTGGGGCATATAGGCAAAGTGTCCTCTTGAGTCTCAGCTTAGCCGATGCCCTCTGTGGGCTTAGCGTGCTCCCGCTGAAAGTTGTCTGTCTGTATGCGTCGCAGTTCCATTGCGGCTGATCGGGAGGTGCTGTATGGCAATCCAGGGGGAGGATGCTGTGTCTTACGTGGGAGACCAGCTCCCCAGCACGTTTGGAGGGTAGGTTTTCGCAGGTTAATTTCCGGTGGCTGCTTCTGTTTTGCGGGGAAAATGCTGTTAATCCATCTGGCCTCGCACTTGTGCACATGGCCTCCGCCATTTTAGGTGAAGTGCCTGGGCTGCAGGTCGGGATGGTAGTATCACTGGGTCTTGGTTGTGTTTTAGTGGGTGGTCAGGGCCACAGGGTGAGGACCAGGGCCAGCTCCATGCGGATTCGGGCCTCTGGCTGGGCACTGTTAGGCAGGATAGTGGAGCAGCGGCCGTCTGCTCCACTCATCTCCGAAGTAGGCCTCATCTGGGACAGCGAAGATTTCTCATCCAAGGGACTAAAACTCAAGGAGCCAGCCTTGCTTCAAATCCAGTACACCCTGCACACTGAGGGCCACCACTGCCAGTCGGCATATAGGTCGAAAACCATAGTTTAGAGTCTTAAAGAGTGGTAAATTGCAGGAGTTGATCTCTCTTGTGATCCTCCAGCCTGGCGGTCCAGCCTCACCCCCTTCTCTTAATGTTTTAATGATGTGAATGATGGTTTATGATCAGGCAGGCTGAGCATCATAGGAGATGCTATTCACAAATATCTGGGGTGCCAAGGTTAGTCATTACAACCTACACTAGATTAAAGAATAGAACAATACAGAACGAGGCTTCCAAATACATCTAGTACCTGCACACTAGATTCATTTTATTGATTAGTACAATAAAAGCTGATATGTGAAAGTGCACACGTAGAAAATAGAAATAGTGTGATTAACTGACCACCCGAAAAGCAATAAATATTTGAACATATATAGAAATGAACAAAGAAAACAGAAAAGATGAAAATCAATAATAAATAAGCAATATATATATATTCTTTGTAATAGTTTAAAAAAAAAAATATTAAAGAAGCAGTATAGTGTTAGGAATACAAATATGTATTTCTATGCTATTATGGAGGCATTCATTTGCAGGAAAATGAGGTGTACATTTCTCCATTTCATCTTGTTTTTCACACGAATACATATTTGTTCAATATAGGAATATATAAACAATAATAAATATACATAGAAGAGACCGTTGCCGTTTAAACTTGAAGTGGTCAGTCACAGAAAGTAGCATTTGTAAAGTTTAAGGCTAAGCAGAAGCATGTTTTGAAACTTTAACTACATAGGACCTGGCAAATCCCTTCAAATTCATTTCTGCAAAACGGAAAGGAGGAATTAAATGGTTACTCCACTCCAGCCACCAAAAGCACATTGACTGGCTGAAATAATTTATGTGTGTAGATTGTGTCTACTTTTTTAAATTTACATTTCATCTTTTAATCCCTTGCTCCCCCCCCTTCTCCGGCTGTCAGTCAGACAAGTCCTTTTACTTCCTGGTTGGTTAGCTCAGTGGAACTAAACTCAAGAGCACCAGCCTTGCAAAGACTTCTCATTGAGCTGTATGAGGAAGTCTGTGATTGGACAGTCACAGAATGTCTGGGCGGGGTTAGAAGAGGAAGGTTTGCAAGACAGGAGATTTAGATATACCCCCAATTGAAAAAAATGCATAATGAAATGCATGCATGTTGTCATTGAGGGTATGTTTTCTGAAAAGCAATTTTTGAATTTTATTTTGTATTATTTATTTGGGTAGTGAAGTGTACCCTGTAAACAATATATGTTTATACTTGTGGATGTATGTATTTATGAATACTGTACATAGACAGACAGGCACTGTAGAGAGACAGGAAGCTAGACAGACAGACATAGAAGACAGACATACAGACAAACACTGTAAAAAGACAGAGACACAGATAGATAAGCAGATACATATTTTCTGTATTTTTTTATTCTAAATCACAGGCAGCATTTGTACAATTAAGCGTGTAAGTTTCTGTCCCTTCTGGTGGCATAGCACATAAAAAATATTGATTCACATTGCTATTCCTCTGCTGACAGAAACATTTTTGAAACTCCACTTCATGCGAAGCAGCCTGCTTTGCACTACACCTACTCAGTGAGCTGTAGTGTCTGTCTAGCTACACGAAACATAACATTAAAGAGACTTTGCCAGCTCATTTAACTGTATATTAAAAATGATGAAAACAAAACACTACCGCAATGATAGGTGAAAGATAATGCCATACCTACATGGATGCTGATGACTGTGGTGTTTAGTTTCCCTTTGTAAACCGGTCTCCTCCGTATCTTACTTTGTTACGTGAAATACTCTTGTCTTCCCCTCTTCTTTCTTGTTTCTTCTGATTTTCTGCCGTTGATTCTCAGAATTGCCTGCAATACCTAAGAAATACAATCACATGATAACATTTTTATACTACAGAAAAAAAATCAAACTGACGGCAATTTATTTTAGAACCAAATGTGGAAACATTTTATATTCTGTTATTCTGAAGTATAAAATTGTGGCAAGAGAAAAAGAGGAAGACATGTTCAGAGTGACACTATTTACGAGCATTAAAGCGCTATGCTTGCTTCAATTCAACTACAGCTTCCAAGGGGCAGTGGGCATATAATGCTATTAGGATTATTCACTAAATTTCACTGAATTTAAAAATGTATCATTTAAATGGCAGCACTTTGAGACAAAATAAAGCAAAGCTATAGTCACTTGTCTATTTTAGTCTCCACTTTGCCATACAAATTTATTTTGCTACAATTTGGCGTTTTGTGAATGGGTCACTCACAAAACTCTGAATTGTAGCAAATAGAAATTTAGATTAGTGGTGTGCACACAACGTTTCATAAGTAGAGTGCCAGGGATCTAGGCTGCATTCCAACAACACAGAGAAACATAATCAAAATATTTCTTCACTCCTTCAAAACTATGTAGGCAATCCTTTATCAAGGCAAGTACAAAGAAACAACTTTTTGACCATCTAATTGGCCTTCACAAAGTCATCTAGCACATAGTGATGAACTTCAATATATAATGAAAAGAATATATTTTTTAATATTCATATTGCGTAGATATCATAAACAGATACATGATACTTGATGATGTTTTTTTTTTACTTTTACCATGGTTACTACACTAATACCATGGTTACTACTTGTTCGCATGGTTCCAGTGGACCACCTATTCCTTTTTCATTAATTGTTGTCACTATATATGAAAGGCTGTCACTAAGTACTAGATGACGTGATAAAGAGCAAAGAGGTGATCAAAACATTGTTGCCTTCGTATCTGACCTCACTCAGATATGTTTTTATTTCTGTTTTGTATTTGCATTCTATTGAAAGTTTTCAATGAGATACAGAAAGCAAAAAAGGAGAAGGGGAAAAACGAAAGAAAACATGACATCCATACAGATATCACAATCTTTGATCAGTCAACTATACACAGGAAAGATGACAGAATTATAGAATTTTCTGTTAGTCCTAACCAGAGCGTGAGTATTGGACCATTATGATAATGTGATCCAGTGCTCAAGCACGATTTACCATTTTCAGAATTTCTTTTGGACAGGCACATGTCAGCCTACCTATCATGCACTTTAAATAAAATTTAGGACATCGAAGAAACAAACATGGACAATGAGGCAGGGGTCCAATATCAGGACTGCCTTGCCAGATCAAGGACACTTGGGAGGTATGCATTATTAGTATCATTCATTTTAATACCGCCAACAAAATCTGTAAAACTCCATGATTGGAGAGACCCTTTAATGGAGAATCCCTCGTTACTATTGTAATTGTCATTATTTAGTTCACCCACGTATCACCCTCTCTTTTTTCCGCAGAATTCCACTTGAATATGTTTTATTTTCTTTCATCTACTTATATGATCAGGAAGACAGCAGAGAGTTATTCACTAGCCAGGTAATGTGAAAAAAATTGATGGGCAAATCATACATTCTAGGCCAAAACTGCTGAGCTATAAAGAAAGCCAAAATTAAGTAATTTACCAGTTTAGCTCGGGGACATTCTGCTGGTGTGTATCTCATTCATCGGTTCAGAATTCTCAGTTAGGTAAACAAATCCCACTGACACAAAGACAAGGCAGAAAAGGATCGAGGTGTTGGAAAATTAGTTCAGGAACGCAATATTTCAGATTTTAATAATTTTATAGAGAAAGCTTTTTTGTTTTTAAAAAAATTTCACACACAAAAATATATATATTGTTTTTAATATTTTTGATCAGTATAGTCACTAAATGTGAATGTTAAAAGGGGGAGATTTTTTAATTTTAAAGAAATAAAAAACAACAACAAAAACATCATTGCAAATATTTGCTGCTCTGTCATATCCAAAGGCTAGTTACAACTAAAAATAGTATGCTTGCAGATTCTCTGCAAGAGGGTATGCGGCTCAAATTCATTGCAGTTCTTCTCTCAAGGGTCAAATCAGGCCTGGCGAGAACATCACAAGTATATATTGCAAAATAAAGAACATACTATAGCAACAACAAAACTGTTGGGATTCATTCACTAAATTAGAATTGTAGAGAATGGATAAGGGAATTGTGAATTTTATAGCAGAATTTTGGTGGTGGTGAATTGGGAGTTATTTTTCCAGTTTGGATATATTTCCCTAAAATCTTTAAATTGCCTTCCCTGTTTCCCCCGATTCACATTTTACTGAATACCCCTGTAAATATTGAAATGTCAACTATGAATCATCACCAATTTTTGTCTGTTTTGTTTTGTCACAAAATATGTCGCTTTTACACAATCTGCTTCATTAGAATTCATTTTAAAGACTGTTAATCAGTGAAAGGTAAAATCTGCAGAATTTGGTAGAGTTTTACAAAATATGACTTTAAAGTGTCACGTCTCTGGCTAATACACCACTGAATAAAACATTGATAATTGCTTTAAAATTATGTTAAAAAAAAATTAAAATTGTATTTAATTGAGATTGTATTAACATGTGTTAATTCTATTTAACTGAGTTTTTTTCAGGTTACAGTTAAAGTACCAGTAAGTAATTAAACAGCATATAAATGGCCCACTACTAAAGGGTGGTACCCAAAGTAACAAAACTAAAATGACATAACAAAAAAGTAACAAATAAAAGTGAAAATATGCCACAGCAATAAACAATGGAGCACATTGGTACAACATTCCAGCACAAAATCTCCACCCTGTGCCAATGCTAGAGGATTGGTAAGGCG